GCAATCTTGTTTAAAAAAGGATTGATTGGTGCCCAGCAAGATTTTCTGATTTAGAAAAAAATTAACAAGCAAACAATGAAATACATTGGGTCAATTTTCCTCCTGATGTCATTTTACTCATTTCAGTGAAACAACGCTAGGAATGCCTGTGATCTGCACAACATATTTGGCAACAAACTGATCAATGTACTACTAAGATAGTAAAAGCAACAACAAAAAAAGCCGAGACTGAAACTGGCTCCTTTCCTGCTTCCAGTGAAGGCAGAGTAAATACCTGCCATTTGCTCATAACAGTCAGCATGAATAATAGGAATATGAGTGCTAATTAAACTAACCACTTGTTTTCTCTTTCATTTTTGTAGTTTGATAATACGAATGGCCACTTTTATCTTTGATGCTTCTCAACAAAGCATTCCCTTGCTTTCATTTGAAAAGTGGTGTGGGCTGAATTGCAGTGCCTCTCACCAATTTGATGGTGGTTGCAGTGAAATTACCCTGTATTTACACTGACAGAAATGTCAGAGGGCAGTAAATCCCTACCTACTAAGATACATGCTGGGACTCACTCAATAGTAAAAGCTAGTCACAACTCCTGGGAAACAGTGTCCTGCTTCTCTGCTATCCCTCCTTGTGCAAGGTGATGGCTGGGACATCACAGTCCAGTCCTGGGATCTGGACTTGGGGCAAGACCTTTGCCTTATTTCCTGTCATCTGTAAGACATCCCCAGACAAATGCTTTGATAGTTCCAAAAGAAAGCCATGATATAAGAAGAGTCCCAGGCAAGCAGTAATCTGAATAATTTAGACAACAACATTCTCACACAGTCATAGCTGCTTTCAGGGAGGACAAGAACCAGATACACTTGAGTCAGCTGTGATTTGCTGACCCTGGAGGAGGAACTAGAAGTGATTACCCTGTTTCTCTTGGCATTTGTGAAAGACATGATACGGCATATAGCGGGGAGGAAGCAAAAGAAAATGCTGTGTGTTGTGATTAAAGGTTGACAAGGCTAAAATTGGATAGCTGATTTCAGTGTGATTCAAAGTGCCTCATCCATTTTGAAACGTGAAATCTCTGTTGCATCTTCTTCCAGGAGAGAAATGAACAGTGGAGGTGCAAGTCATTTGCTGGGATTAGGAACCGTCTGGGAGGAGCTGATGAACTGAGAAACAGCTCAAGTCCACCAACCCTCACCATTATTCACACAGAATTCCTTACATGTAGGCTGCTATTGCGGTTGTATTCTGAAAGTGAGGAAAAAAGAATAGGAGAGGTGTTTGTTTTATTCTTTTCAAGGTGATGCCACTTCAGTCAGTGTTTACTGAACCATATCTTGACAAGCAATGCCCTGCAACCGTTTGAGTCCCTTAAACCATTTCTCACTGTTCTCTCTATGCTTCATAGAAAGTGTATATGGGCAGGAAAGTAACAGAAGTGCAGTTTGAGGTATATGTGTGCATGTATATATTTATGTGTGCATAAATACCTCCAAGTATTTGTTATGGAAATTTTTACAGTATAAATTGCAAACATAAAGATATATGTATGTATGTCACTGTCTTTCAAGTAAGCAGAATACCACATCAAACAACATCAAGTTGTGCCAAAACCCAAATTCTACAATCAGGCACAGTAAAGTCTGTCACACCGGTTCACCCCAGCATTTTTCACATTAACCTAACCCTTATTTTCAGGGTATTTTCCAGTTTTCATCCCATAGAAAATTTCCAGTGGAGCTGCAGATCTCTTTGTAGTGATTTGAACCCTATGCCAGTGAACATCTTTCAACAACCACATAAGAACAGTCACAGACCATCAAGAAGCTCACAGTCTGTAGGTTGACAGCTGCTGCATGCAATAGACAGAGGCAGTGGTGATTTTTTCCCCCGTTTGTTGTTCAGACTCGTGAGAAGAGTCACGCAGGCTTTTTTTCTGCATGCCCGTCCACTTCACGCTTCCATTCTTCCATCTGGGAAATCTCAGCACAATGAGTTCACGCAGTGCTGGAACAGCTCGGTGCTTGGTGTGGGCACGCAGATCAATCCAGCAGCTGAAGAGCAGGATGCTTAGCACATCCCAGACACATTGGACTCGTTGCACATCCTTTGCACTGTTATTCTCCGCAGCCGCCATGGCTATGTCTATGGGACTTGGGACATCTGTCTAACAGCTGGGAGCACAGGGTGAAGCTTACCTTCTTCCTTTTCTGACAGTAGAACATTGCTGGGTGGAAAAAGGTGTGTCCAGACATGTGATTGTCCTGCTTTTGAATGGGATGTTGCACACGCAGAAGCAAAAGTAGATCTTAACTGTTATGTTTCTGATGAAAATGAACAGATTCTCTTTAAAACCTCTATAGGTCTAACTTATATTTCCTTGCTCTGACCATATTAGCAGCCATTACTTATCCTTTTGCTTTACATCAAGTATGTGAGCCATTCCATTTTTAGTCATCATTACTGCTCCGCTATTATCTGATTGTGCAGTTTTAGGGTTTGCCCATAGAAAGTCTGAGAAGAGGGAAATCACAGAGTATTTTCTCCCTCCTAACAGTTAATTATGTCAAATCTGAAAATTTCAGGCTTTCTTCTGTGCAGTCCATCAAGCCCCAGCACCACAAACTATTTAACAGGATTTGGATCCCGAAAAGATTTATTTCTAGACTTAACTTTAAGCAGAAAATAAAAAAAAAGAAATACTTGCATTCTTACATCCAGGGCTAGTTTTGTGTGGAAAGAGGTGTCAGAATGCCAATACATATGGCCAGGACATTTTAGCTGATTGAGAAATACATGCTTTTTTCTTTTTTTCCTGGAAACAGATATGCCCATTCTAGAACTTTCTGTTCCCAAATTAACCCCATTTAAATTTAAATACTGGAAAAATTTCTTACAGAAATGGGGTCTCTATCTTCCTTCTTTGCATCAGGAGTTATTCCAGACTTCTGGCCAGCAAATTTACGTGTTCTGTATTGATTTTCCTTTGCTGGCACCAGCCAACAAGGCAGCAAAGCCCAGAGAAAGCTAGCTGAGCTCAAGGGTATTCACAGCCTTTATTGCAATAGACACCCCCTTCAACCCACATGGGAATGTTTAATCTGGCTGGTCGGAACATGCTAGTTAACCATCGGCTGGAAAAAGCACTTGACAGTGTCCTGTAGAGAAGTATCTGAATATTGACAGCGGCTGAAGAGCAAACAGATTTTCCCAACCCCGTTTCCTGTGACTTGCTGTTCAGAGCTGTTTAGCGGATTACAATATACTACTCATAAATGTTGGATTATTATTTCTTTTTTAATTTGTTGTGTGTTTAGAATATCACAGTGGCTTGAAAGATGCTTTCAATGCAAAAGAAATGGAAATCCCCAGAAGACGTAATAGTTCGTCAAATACAAGCTGAAGCTACGGGAGAAGGTGAAAACACCTAAGAGGAAGGAATGAAAACCACGTCATAGTCATATGCAATGAACAGCTCTTAAAATTTGAAAACATCCCCTCCAACCTGAACGTAAGATGCAGCATACATTTTAATTGGCTATCAAGAGGACCCCAAAGGTCATCGTGGCAGATTTAGAGAGATGAGGAGGCATTGGGATAAGAGGCAGCTACAAATCCTAGGCCATCTATGCAACAGGAAGCCTGAGCAAGGAGCTGGAAACTTCTGTCCTCCTCCTGTCCTCCTAATGCTGAAAAAGTGAATGGAATTGCAGGATCATTACTGCTGTGTAAATTAAACCTCAGGTTAATCCTTCAGGGCAATGTAGCTCCAATAGCTCCAACTAAATTACAGGCAGTTTTCACAGTGTTGAGATCACAATCTATTTTTTCCAATCTAAAAAATAAAAACCAAAACTTAAAAAAGCACTGACTACATGACATACATGACAAAGGTAAACAGTTTGTTGGAGCAAGACGCACAACAAGCTGACCAAAACATAGGTTGGCATCGCTTTCACTGACCATCAGCAGCAGGTTCACGTTACACCTAAGTGCAAACGTTACTGTGCCAAACAACAGAATAATATCAGAAGCTAGATCATGTTACTCACCCAGACTGAAACAACAGATTTATTGACAGAGAGGAAGCTGGCTATGGTTGTGTTGCTACTACCCCTAATCAGCACAGCTACATTCATGAATCAGAAAGATTTCTAAAACTGTTTTTCAATAATTGATTGCTGCGATGAATTCTTAGTTAGCAACAGCATGGTGTTTTACTGTGAGATGGCAGCAACATGAGCACGATCTTAAGGAACAAACAAAATGGCCCCAGCATCTATGAACTGGCAATCAACAGCCTTCCATGCATTGGAAAAATATTCAGGAGGGTGTTACTGTCACTTATCCAGGACCAGTGCAAAAAAAAATGCATGCTTAGATATTTCTGTAGTGAATGTTAATCTTCCAAACCAGATTTTAAGACTCTGGTATTAAAAATGATTGAATAAGGGAAGGAGTTATACTATTTTTATTTTAATTTTCCCCTCACCTAAAAAAGGAAAAACCTCTTGAAATGTCTACGTCCACAAAAATCCTGAGTGTCCTTTTTCTTCTCTGCTTAGGGTTAGTTCTTTCAAAAAAGGGAAGGGAAGGGAAGGGAAGGGAAGGGAAGGGAAGGGAAGGGAAGGGAAGGGAAGGGAAGGGAAGGGAAGGGAAGGGAAGGGAAGGGAAGGGAAGGGAAGGGAAGGGAAGGGAAGGGAAGGGAAGGGAAGGGAAGGGAAGGGAAGGGAAGGGAAGGGAAGGGAAGGGAAGGGAAGGGAAGGGAAGGGAAGGGAAGGGAAGGGAAGGGAAGGGAAGGGAAGGGAAGGGAAGGGAAGGGAAGGGAAGGGAAGGGAAGGGAAGGGAAGGGAGAGTTTTTTCAGTGCAAGCAATGTTTAAACACCAGATTACTACCATCTCAGCAGTCACACATATTATAGCCCAAAGATTAGTTCAAGGCTAGAGATATGAATTGTAAGCTAAGGACTGATGGTCTGAATTTTGCAGGAAGTTTGATGAGATGATCATGATGGTCTGAATAGGTTTAATTATCCTTTCAGTGCATTCACTTTATTACATCTTTTTATTGCAAGGTCAGATATTCTTTCAACTGAGAACATCTAGCACATTAAGCACTCAGTGCACCAAGTCTAAGAATTGGACTTCTTTTCAACTTCATTACTCAGTTCATGACTTCTGCATTATACTTTGTGTACGTGGTTCCAGTCCTTCACAGGGATGCTTCCTAGAGACATTTCTGTCATGTTTGCCACCCAGCAACAAACATTATTCAGTGGTCACCACCTAGATGAGGAGAGTGTTCCATTAACAAGGTAGCAGATGATGGTTAATTAAAAGCTTGTCCTGAAACACATGTGCAGAGAAGGCAAGTTAATAGTCTCGTCTTATTCTTTTATTTATCCATTCTTAGGGGTTTGGATCATAATTTGGTACTGTTTTTTTGAAGTACTGAAGATAGTCAAGGAGACTAATGCCCACACAAACACACGCACATCATATCTGATTCCGTGTAATTTTTATTAAGTGCTGTTTTTCACTTTTGTTTCCAATTATAGTTATTGTAAGAGCTCTTCCAGGCAAAGTAGGTGAAATGTAACCTCTCTGACATATCACGTTCCCAATCTCATCTTTATGTAAGAGTTTCCGAGTAAAACTTCACAATGTTTCTTAAGCATACCAGTAAATATACATGTAAAGGAAAGGGAAACATGCAAACAGTTTTTGGAGGAGACTTGCACTGGATTTTAGTCTTGTGGGTTTATTTACTAAGAGCTTGTTTTGTTAGAGCTATTTTTCAGACTACATTGACTCTGAGTCATTTGGAGAGAAAGAGGACTGATATTTCTTGTGGCATGAAACAATCCAAGCAACCCTATTTCTTGCAAATCAATAGAAGAAAGGGAAAAACCGAAGTTGTGATGATCAATTTAAAGAAGTGTTGCTTCTTCTTTAAGAAAAAAATGTACTTTCATAGTGACTGTAGAAGAGTTTGTAGCAGCCTCCTCCCTTTCTTTATCTCAGTGGATGCCTACAAAACCCAATTACTGGGTGATCCTCTCTCTAAGCCAGGTGGTAATGAAATGATGATACAATATTTCCAATTACCAGCACAACCTCCAACTTGTAAAATGCTGAGACATGCCCAGAAAATACAGGCAAAAGTAGGCAGGGCTGCTGTTTAATAGTAGTCATAATAATAAAATGTTAATGATATCGAAAACGGAGTGGTATTTACTGCGAAACTCACAGAGAGGAAAAGTCCTTCAGCTATTTTCTTTTCCAATGTCATTTGAGATTAGCTTGCTTATTTTTACCTCTGCCCGGCATAACTCTCTGCTTTCTGCACAGACTGAGATGCTTGCACGTGTTGTATTTGAGTCTGTTTTGTTGTAAGATGTAATTTATCTTCTAACTTTTGCTGTGATAACTCTCAGCCCTCGGGAAGGGCTGAGACAGGTTGTCATTTGTACTATCACCCCGCAGAGATCTTATAGCAGGTATAAATGACATTTATGCTCCTAGTACCTTCCTACTGCTGAAGTCCTCGTTTTGGCAGGAACCAGGCACGGCACGCTCGCTGTCCTAGATATGGGCTGGGTCCAGCATCCCTCCATCAGTCACTGGTGTGCATCCAGCACAATTCAACTCTGTGAATGCACGCAGTTACAGGCCTTGCAGTTGTTTACTCGGTCCTCATTCACTAAAAGTTTAACAGCTCCGTCAGTTGTCAAGTGTTTAAGCTGAGAAGCTTTCTGAAGTAACAGAAAGATGTGCAAACGGATGGTGAAAATCTGCACATTTTTCATACACCTTAAATTTTACTGCGACTGCTGTCAGTATTTGTCAAATTTTATAGAAAAAATCTTTTTTTTTTTTTTTAATATATATACAGATAATTGGGCAGTCATTTCAATTAAATTTCTTCAGTTGAAAAAAAAAAAAAACAAAGACATAATAAAAACTCAATTTTTTTCTCATCAACAGAAATGGCAGCAAAACCAGGACAGGCCTGTAGATGTGCCTGAAGCATAGCTGTGGAAGGGATAGCATTTCATTTCCCTGTAGTAGCAGTTCTTACTCCAAAGTGTTACATCTAGATACTCCTCTCAGTACAATTTCTGAGCTGCTTTTCCTAGGATTAAAACAGCCTTACCAGGCTGAGGAGCCCAACAGAGGAGCTGAAGCATGGGCACTGAATTCACTTCAGCCTGCTATGATTTGGTGAAAAGAATTAAATGAAAGCTCTGTTGTGGTCTTTGTTCTCCTGTTGGACAAATGCCACTGAACACCTTGAGAACAATTTCTGTACTGAAGTCCTGTGAGATCTGCAGTGTGAAGTGTGCACTGTATTGTAGAGCTATTCTGTCTGATCCCACCACTCACCACAAAATGCAGCAAGATATGCCTGCAACAAAATGAGTTAAACTGAAACTATATTTCTGGTCTCTTAAAAGTAATTGGAGAACAAAGCATGGTTTTGCTGAGTCCCACCAGTGCTGCCATATCTGCAAGTGTAGATGAGGGGCAAAGCAGCAGTTCATCTCACAAGCCGTTGTGTATTTTGACACTGTGGTTTTCCCCTCTTGCTTCCCTCTTCACTTTGGCTTAAACAATGTGTCTGTCTGCAGATGTTCAGTAAAAAAACATGGTATTCAGGTGCCAGAAATGATCTGCTGCCTTTTTTCCACTCTTTTGCATCCTTCCCTTCTTGCCACCCGGTAACATTACAAGTAACAATATGTCCAAAAAAAAAATGAGCATTGTAGATCCAGAGATTTCAGAACTATGGAAGCCCTGTTCTGGGTAGACTCTCTGCAGAGGGCTCTTTTGACCTGGAATGAGACAGCTCCTGATTCAGTCTCTGCATACCTGAAATGAGCTGTAGATACCATCTCCTCTGCTGCTCTGGGGACTAGGCTCCCTGTTGTTTACCTTCTGCAATAACAATTCAGCCTCATATAGAGTAGGATTGGTTTCTCCCTTTTTCTTTTTTTTTTTTTTCTTTTCTTTTTTTTGTTTTTTCACACATGCAACAGCTGGGTTATGCAATCATTTCAGGGAGGGGGCTTGGCAGGCAGTCTCTACTGCAATTACACCCATCAATCTAGAAAACTGTCACTGGTGTTTGTGATATGGGCTCTCATCCACAATGCCCTGGAGTGGAGGAGCCTCCAAATAAAATAAAATAAAAAATATTTTAAAAAAAAATCCCCAAATGTCGAGGAAATTTCCTTCTCTTTGTGTACGCAAACATGTGCTCCTCACATCAGGATTTGCTTATATGAGTCATAGAAAACAAAGGAGGGGGAATACATTGTACTTACATTATTATGTCTGTCACATAATCTTCACCACCTGGTTATTTATTAATTTCTTTGTGCTAAAGCCAACCTGTAGCCCATCTCAGGCACAGAAGGTGTTTATATCTCAGGAATCGTGCCCACATTTCACATCCCAGGAGCTCAGCTCTGCCTGGGGTTGCCTGCGATTCCCGTTACGGAGCAGCACACGTCCCCCTGGGAGGGAGCACCCCTCAATCTCCAGGTGCCAACACTACCTGCCAGCAGAAAATTAATATTTCATAGCTGATAAAAAGAACTGGAAGCAACCTCACCGTACCGTAGTAGCCGGCGCCGTGCGTGATGTATAGCATGCTGCCTAGCAAGGTTGCTAAGCAACACGGCACCATCCACGAAAATCCTGCATCAGCTCGTGGTGGCTGGTGGGGCAGGCTGGACGTGACACTTGGCACACGGAGCAGTGTGGAAAGAGAAGTGCTCAGCTCAGGAATATTACAGCAGCCTACCGATACATGCCCTCCGTTCTGTTCCCTGTGCTGCTCAACAACATTACAATGCAGCGGGCACTGCGATCATTTTCCGCTGCAAAAAAGAAACAACAACAAAAACCCACACACACAAAAACCCACCCTCCCCTGCCTGCTTCCTGTTTCTTAATGCTCTTCAAACCTGATTTACAGAGTAGTGGAATTTTACAGCTGCATCCCATGATGCTCTCGCTCTCAATCCCATGGCCTGGCTCATACCTCAAACTAACCGTAAAGTCAAATCACAATGATGTGACTCACTATTATAACTAAAGATAGATCTTGTCAAAGCAGTCATGAGCCCTGGATGCTGGAGGGTATTTTAGTGTTGTTTTTTTTCCCCTATTCCTCCCTCTCCTGGCTCCATAGTTTTTGACATTTGGAGGTCCATCCCATGTTAGGGAGTATTTGCGTGAGCAGGCAGGTAGGGAACATGCTTTTGTAGACCAGAAGAAACCATGCTGAAGCACACTGAAGTCTAGCTGAGGGCAAGTTCATAGAGCTGCCAAATCAGAGCTTCACAGCAATGAGGGCTGGAGGGTCCCAAACACCCCAGACAAAGGGCAGGACAGCCACAGGAGGGAGAGAGGAACATTTTTAACAGGGTCCTCTTCTAAGCCTAACAAATCTTTTATATAGATATATAATTTTCATGATTACACACCAGCTGTTTTCAAGTGTGAATATTCAACTGGAGCACTTACTACCCAAAGAAGAACTGCTGCAGGAGACCACATAGTGGAACAAACCAGACACCAACTGAGAAAAGCAGGGCTCTTGCCCCAAGACCAGCAGCTCCTGCTAAGGTCACACAATGGCTCAGCATCAGCTAGAAGCAGGGAAGTGGCAGGACAGGTGAGAGCTGCTTCAGTGTGGCAATGGGGATGTGTGAGTGAAGCTCCACAGGCATATCTCTAATAGCTCTGCAGGGCAAGCACACCTGATATCTCAGGAGATGCCATGCTGGAGGAGAGCAGCTCTTGCTGGTGCAAAGTGATCTGAATTCCCTCAGCCTCAGTTGCCCAAACCTGGAGAAAGGAGGACTGACTTTGGTTACACCATCAATACAGAAAGCGGCAGATGAGGGAGCCAGAGGTAGTTCCCTGTTTGGGCGTACTGGATCTATTTCAGCCCTGTATAATTCCACTGGTGTCAATGGCATTACATCAGGGATAAAACCAACCCGTTATTAACCTGGCCATTTCCTTTTATGCCCTTGATGCAGGAAATCCCTATGCAAGTGCATGGTTTTGGTCATGTGAATATTCTCACTGGAGGCAGTGTGATTGCTCACGTCCATAAAAAACACCTGCACATATACATGCAGGATTGGGGCCTGAAACAGCACTGGAGGGAAAGGAAAAACAGAAGCAGGGTGAGAATACCTGAGAAACAATGCTCTGGAAGGGTCTGTGAGAGGTGTCTGTCCACTTGGGGAACAGCAATATTTCTGGCTATTTAACAATTTCTGTGAGACAGCAGTACCTTTAGGAAAAAAAAATTAAGGTAAGACTGCTCTAAAGGGAGAGGGAAGGAGAAGAAAATACCCCAAATATCATTAAATGTTCCTAAAGTATAAAAAAAAAAAAAAAAAAAAAAGTTAACAAAGAAGCTAGTTATGCAAAGGCCCTTTGGGGACTGCAATTTATGTCTGTGACTTCCATAACCTTGCCCCGATTCCTTCTCCTGCTCTTGCAGGGAACACCCTAGGGGGCTTCGTAGGAAGCCTCAACATATGTGTTTTTCTGCACTGCTTCTGGCTTCATGTTTCTGCTGTGCCTCCAGAAAAAAAAAAAAAACATGAGCCAAATCATGACTTCCAAATACCAAGAATTATGATCTCTAATGATTGTCATATGACAGTAATGCTTCACAGAAATCTTCTGAACAGTCACTCTCATGTATATATGCATCTTGCTGCAGGAAAATACTAGCCAAAGAAATGTGGCTGATGAATCCCTGTTCACTTTCTGTTTTACACCCAAACAGTTTTTTAAATTCCTATATACAAAAGCACTGCTTTCACCAGTTTCTGAAGACCTTTCTGAAAAGTCTGTGCATGCAATTTAATGCCTGGATGCAGGATGAAATGTAATAACAAATCTTGACCTATTAGATTTAAGCCTTCAGCATGTGATCTACATAAGGGTGACTTTCACAGATAACATACCACAAGATAAGTGATTCAGTGAAGTTCCTGAAATCAGCAGTTACTCTGGTTTGCAGCACAGTAAATGAGATCAGGTCTGACATAATAAATGAATCTATAAAGAAGGTGCTCTCATACATTGCAGAACAAGCTAAAGAACAAGAGTCAGCAGGCTTACTGAGTTCAGTTGCAACTATTTTGAGTAGTTCTTGCTCTGTAGTAATGATGACTGATTTGTCAAATACTCTTTAATTTTTCACATTCATAGAATCGTGGGATCATAGAATGGTTTAGGTTGGAAGGAACTTAGGATCACCTAGTTCCAACCCCCTGCTATAGGCAGGAACACCTCCCTCGTTGCTCAAAGCTCCATCCAGCCTGGTCTTGAGTGCTTCCAGAGAGGGAGGGGGCATCCACAACCTTGCTGGGATACATGTTCCAATGTCTCACCACCCTCACAGTAAAGAATTTCTTCCTAATATCTAGTTTAAATTATTAATATTCAGCCAAATAAGGGAAAATACCTTTTTTATTTTACCAGCTGCCATGCCCAAAAAATTTTCCCTTACAAGCAAGTGGGCTGTTTAAGTTTGCTATGAAAACAAACAGCTCAGTTTTGCCCCTACTTTCTGTTTCAGGTTTATGTATGCGCTGTTCAAACGAGAGAGACAAATCCATGAAATTCATTTCACAGGGCATTGAGCAAATGGAATGTAGAATAATGTTCTTTAGTTACTGACATATGATCAAACGCAAGTTTGCTAAAAGGAAAGAGAAGGAGACATGCAACAGCCTTGAAATGGATAAAAATCTTGCCACATTAACCATAGTTAATCAACGAATAGTTCTATTATTAGTATTGGCTTCCCTCTTGTGGCAATGAGCAAGTTGTAGTTCTAATATGTAACTAAAATCTGCTAAAGCATCTGTCTAATACAAAATGCTGCAATGTGTTCATTCAGCAAGACCCTTGCATCCTGGGTACCTCATTTCAGCTCAAGGCAGATACAAAGACCTGCACATGGCAAGCAGGGAGCAGGTTGGGATCTCAGGTCTGTAGAAATACCACCGATATGAACATTTCAAAGGCTTACCCTGGTATGATTCAAGCCAGTATCTAGCCCAACTGAAGGAAGAGACATTTTCCACTTGAAGGTACATGTTTAATCTAGGAAGAGAGTTAGCTAAAGTGCTAGCTGGCTGAGAGAGTGGCTCGTATTCCAGGCCTATTCAATGCCCCCGGCTGAGACTTACAGTTTAGTGGTCATTTCTGTGACAGACCCTGAAGAAACAGACCAGCATCTCTCATTCCCTGCATACATGGCCATTCTGATGAGACGTAATATCCCATTTTCCCCAGCACTGATGGAACAGGCATGGAGGTTCTCCTTTATTTTCTCCATAGCTCCTTGCACATTATCATCATTTGATATTTGTGAATTTACAACTACTTTATTAACAGCAGCACGAGTGAGAAGGTATCATTGCTATTAATAAAGCATGTTTCATCAACAGAATTTATAGCTATTTGTAAAGAGTGTTGATCTCATTCTTTCTTTTTTGCAGGTGGGAGAACTGAGGCACAGAATAATTAGAAGCCAATCAGTAGGCCCAAAGCAAAGCTGAAAATAGACCCCAGCTCTCCTGAGTCTCAGTGCAAAGTTCTTGCTGCTACTCTGCCAGCATGTGAGATAGGAAAGCTCATCTGTTAGCACTGCCTGCACTGAACTACATCCATTATTTGCATACTTTCTGAAAGAAGCTCTTATTACCACTGATATTTTGTAGACATCCCCTAAAATGACCGAATATTCAAGCGAGTTCTCTTCACCTTTTCCAGTGGAAGGTGTTCTTGATTAGTGCTTATTTTCTAGTCTATTAAAATCACATAACAGTTTGCCCTTAAATAAATTTTTCAGGCTTATTAGACTATCCTAGAAGAGGCACAGAGGAGATATTTTACCAGTGAAGCTACAAGTATGTAATTGTGACTTTTTTTCCCTTTTACATTAGCTTACTATGGTAGCTCAGAAAATATACTACAGTCACACAATATTCTGGGGTGCTCATGGTAGAATAAATGATAATGATTTATCATTTTATCATATATACTATATGGTAGTTTGAAAACTCCTTTGGAGGGTAGGAAAATGTAGGCACAGGTGCTTGGTCCTGCAAATAATCCTACAAAGAACTTTCAGTACAGTGTTCTGACGTTAAGGTCAGCGCATTCAGCATCCTAACTCAACTAATAGGGCTGCAGCTCCTATTCTGAATTCCCCTCACAACGGTTGTGGTTCTACAATCATTCTTGCTGGTTTGGAGGGAAAATAAATAAATAAATAAGACTGTTGAAAAACACTTTCTTTTTTTTTTTTTTTTAAACAGGAAAATGAATCAGGTCTCCCCTAGACAGCTAGGTTTTAGCAGGTGGGCCACTCCAGCTGTAAAGGGTTAGTCCCCAAGGAGTTCTTGTGACAGAGCACTTGAACTTACCTGCCCAAGCAGAACAGCTCATGGAGCAGAGGTTTGGAAAACAGCCAGGTAAATTAGATTCAGCAAGAGTACCAACTGCTTCCAAGGATGAAAAGGGCAGCCCCTGGGAGAGAAAAAAACAACGCTTCCTTCAGACAGCTGCAGGAACAAAACCACAGTAGCAATAGGGAGGTGAGGCGGGTCGTAGCTTTTCTGTACCACATTCCCTGAACCTAAGAAGCACTGTGAATGAAAGCCTCCCCGGTTTCTTGTAAATAACATAAACTTTTTACAGAGGTCATGAACTTGTTTGCAGCTACACCCTAGTTGTTCTGGGACCTTCCCATGCTGCTGAGTGTGGGAATCCCAGGCACAGCCAAAGGAAAACAGCTGGGTGCAATTGCTGACTAGCAGGTGCAGAGGAGTGCTCAAAACAGGCTGAAAGCTAATGTTTCAGGTGAGTTGAAAGGTGAGGGAGCAAAGTACTTACTGCATTCAGCCTTCCTTTTTAAGATTTGACACGCTCATTTACTTATGGGAGGTTTTATTATGTTGTTGATTTTTTTAAAGGAGCTGGCCATAGTATGGTGGAGGGTAAGTTTGGCATATTTTTTTGAGAGAAAACAGATATGCTCTCATCATTGTGAGGACACCAGATGTGCTGTTACAAGTTTAATCTCATTTTAACACTGCACTGCAAGCTCTCTGTGGAACGGTCTATGTCTTACTATGAATTTCATGAGACTTCATGCAGCTGTGCCCTGGTTGAAACGCATCCCCACTGCCACTGTGGTAGAATAATAATGAAGAATCATCGCACTCTTTCTAGAGACGTAAAAGCGCTGATTACTGTAGGCTCTGTGGCTGTTATGCTGGTGTGAAGTCCATGTCTTCAATAAGCAAGATGGTCTGTTTAAATGAACCTAAACTCAGGCCAATTATTTTGAAGATCTCTCAAACAGAAGTAGAGAGTATATTTTGCAGGATTTCAGTTCTGGTCAGTCTCAGTAGGAGAAAAAAGGTGTTGTCTGTAGTATCACTATGTTTAGTGAGAACGGTTACTCTAAGGTAACGCTTCAAGCACTGACCCTCCACATAAACTGGCAGACCCATAAGTGGATGTTCTTCCAGGTATTTCTTGTGGAAGAGCTTATAAACAAAGTACGTGCTTGAGTGCTCAACTGCTATAGGACCTACATCAATAAATTGAAACAAATTGACAGACAGAAGTGAACGCCCAATGATGAGGGCCTGGCACTACAGGGAGTTCAAATCCTTTCTAGGGGGAAAACAACTTGTAAGATATCCAGATACAAGAACAAGCTTTATCAAGATTTAAATTTTCCTTCCTAGGACAAGGCATAAAGGTACAAACTGTTCATCAACTGTGTGATAATACTTGTCTAAAATTAACTGAGAAAGTTGATCTGATTTTATTTCTTGAGAGCATTATCAGGATTTGGCTCAGACCACAGTTCCTTAAAGTACCCTCAGCTCTCAGTGATTTGACTGGCCTCAGTAAGACAGATTTTCTTATGTATTACCATAGAATGTAGAATCATAGAATCATTTGGGTTGGAGGAGACCTTAAAGATCACCTAGTTCCAATCCCTCAGCCTTCATGTTGCTTTGACTACATTGCTCAAAACTCCATCCAACCTTGCCTTGAACACCTACAGGTATGAGGCAGCAACAGTTTCTCTGGGCAGCCTGTGCCACCTCACCACCCTGACAATGAAGAATTTCTTGTTTACATCCAGTCTACATCTACCTTCTTTCATTTTAAAGCCATTGCCTCTCAGCTTACCATTACACTCCCTGATAGAGTCCTTCTCCAGCTTTCCTTTAGGCCCCCTTAGGTACTGGAAGGGTGCTATATGGTCTCCCTGAAGCCTTCTATTTTCTGGGCTGAACAACTTCAGCTCTCTCAGTCTCACTTCACAAGAAAGGTGCTTCAGTTCTCTGACCATCCTCCTCTGGTCCCACTCCAGCAGGTCCAAGCCCTTTTTGTACTGGGGACCCAAGAGAGAGATGCAGATGAAGTCCCCAGGGGAAAAGTAGAGGAAGAGAACCTCTTCACTTCACCTGCTGGCCATGCTTCTTTCTATGCAGCCCAGGAAATGGTTGGCTTTCTGGGCTGTAAATGCCCACCTCAAGCCTCTCAAGGTCCCTATGGATGGCATCCCTTCCCTCCAGTGTGCCAACTTTGTCACACAGCTTGGTGTCATCAGCAAACATGCTAGAGTGTGTTCAATCACACTGTTCATGTTGCCAACAAGAATTTTAAACAGTGCTGGTTCTAACCAACTCCTGAGGCATGTTATTAATCATTGGTCTTCACCTGGACAGTGAACACAACACTTTGAGCACAACCATTCATCCAATTCTTTATCCACTGAGTGGTCCATCCATCAAATTCATGTCTCTCCAATTTAGAGACAAGAATGTCATGTGGGACAGTGTCAAACACTTTGCATGTATCTGGGTAAATGACCTCAGTTGCTCTCATCCACTAGTGTTGTAACCCCATTGCAGAAGGCCACCAAATTTTTCAGGCACAGTTTAGCCTTACTGATGCATGGTGGCTGTCACCTCCTCATTTTCCATGTGTCTTAATAGAGTTTCCAGGTTCTGCTCTATAATCCTAACAGGCACAGAGGAGAGACTGACTTCTCTGCACTTCTCCAGGGCCTTCCTTTTTTCCCCTTCTTCAGAATTGCAGTTGGTGGCAACTCCACTAAACTGCCACAGCTTCTAAAAATATGATGGATAGTTGCTAAAAGATCATAGAGTGCTAAAAGATCATAAAGTGTTCCAGAATTACTATAATAACATTTTGGATATGTGGCTTAAAGCAAGTATGGGGCTGGTAAGGCTGCACCTCAAGTACTGAGCTCAGTTTGAGGGCCCTCGCTACAAGACAGACATTGAGGCCGTGGAATGCGTCCAGAGAAGTGTAATGAAGCTGTGAAGGGTCTGGAGCCCAAGTATGATAGGGAAAAGCAAAGGGAACTGGAGTTGCTCAGTCTGGAGAAAAGGAGGCTCAGGAGAGACCTCATTGCTCTCTACAGCCACCTGAATAGAGGCTCTGGAGAGATAGGGGTCAGCTTCTTCTCTGAGGTAACAGCGACAGGGCAAGAGGTGATGGACTCAAGCTGTAATAGGAAACGTTCAGGTTGGGTATTAGGAACAATTTCTTCTCAGCAAGAGCAGTGAGGCAGTGGCACAGGCTGCCCAGGGAGGTGGTGCAGTCACCGTCCCTGAGGTGTTCAGGAGCCGTGTGGATGTGGCACTGAGGGACGTGGGCAGCGGGCGTGGGGGGGTGGGCTGGTGGTTGGACTGGGTGAACTTAGTGGTCTTTTCCAACCTTAATTATTCTGTGATTCTATCCAACCTGGTCTTGAGCACCTCCAGGGATGGGGCACCACAGCTTCTCTAGACAGCTGCGCTAGCACCTCATTGTCCTCTCAGTGAAAAAATTTCCCTCTGACATCTAAATTAAATCTCCCATAGCTAATAAGCTGCAGAGAGCTGAAGGAGCTCCATTCCAGCATCCAGAATAAAGCATAATGATGACACTGACTTACTTCTGATGGGATGCTAGACAATCTCTCTTATTCAGACCGCATTTCCTGAAGGGCGCTGCTCTAATTCCCTGTTTTTGACATCGCTAAAGCGGGCGCTAATTTTCCAATCTGTAGCAACAGCAACATCTAGCGTCTGGAGCCTGCCCTGCATGCTTGCAGCACGCTTGCCGTTAGCGCAACGCAGTTCGTCCAGCAGTTCAGCAGCACACGGGACCCGAGCGAGCAGCTCAAGGTCGAGCAGAGGACGCTGGCACAGGTGGAGCTGAGGGCTGAGCGCCCGCCTGCCCCGCGCTCCACCTGGAGGGCCGTCTCTCTGTGCCCTAGCAGACGCCCAGCGCCTTTATCGGAGGGGGAGACAACAACTCGTTGTATTTCAGGGGTGGTTTCACCCTGTTAGAGGACAGAAATATCCTCGAGGGGCGTGCAGCCAACATCTCCTTTTGGAGAATGTATACGAAACGGCTGAGGGCCGGGACGCGCTGTTATACCGACTGCAAGAGGCGGGAAAGCTTTCTGGGGCCTAACGGGCCTATTGCGGCTCCTCTCCTCTGCGGGAAGCCCCGCCCACGCCGGAGAACTACGCGTCCCAGCATGCCCCGCGTGGCGGGAGGGGGCGGGGCCTACAGCTGCGCCTGCCTCCCGCCGGGCCCGGGCGCAGCGGTGACCTCGAGCGGTGGTGGGAGAAAATGGCGGCGGCGGGGTTCGCCCTGAAGGTGAAATGGGGCCGGGGGGAGAGGGGACACAGCGCGTTGCTGCTGGCCGTCACCTCCTTTCCGACGGGGTTAGACAGCCGCTCTGTGTCCCGCAGGTGCGGCAGCTGAGCACGTCGGCGGCTCGGCCGGTCTCCAAACTGGTGAAGGTGAGCGGGGCCGGGGGGTTTGGGTTTGGGGCCGGCTTCCCGCTCAGAGCCGCGCTCAGGCGCCGTCTGTCCCGCAGCCGCCCATCCAGGTGTACGGGCTGGAGGGCCGCTATGCCACCGCGCTGTATTCCGCCGCCACAAAGCAGAAGAAGCTGGAGCAGGTGGAGAAGGAGCTGAGCCGTGTGTCGGTAAGCTTCCTGGGCGCGTCTCTGGCCTGAGGTCACCCAGGGGCTGCTGTTAGGACTCTCTTGCGTGCTGTGAGACGTGTCAGGCCTGCCTGCCTGCCTGTGCTCTGCACTCTGCCCCTAGTGCTCCTCCGGGGTCTGGTGAGTTGCTTGAAGGAGCAGCGGCTCTAAAAGGAGCATCCTCTCTATGAGCTCCACCTGGAGCTGCCATTTCACTTCCCATCTGCTCTCTTCTGTCCTCTATCCTTGCTCGATGGATGACTTTTTTTGCCTGCATGGGCCTGGGAAACTCGTGACCTTTACAGCGTTACTTGTGTGTTCTCTTAGACTCTTTTGAAGGATCCCAAGCTGTCCAGCATTATTATGAACCCTCACACCAAGGGCACAGTTAAACAAAAAGCTGTAAATGACGTTTTAGCTAAAGAGAAGATGTCCCCTGTTACCACCAACCTGATGAGTGAGTAATCATTTACATTTTGAAAAGCATCTGATGCTGCTTGTGATTAGTTGTTGCTAACCGAATTTGCTTCTAGGGGGTGTGCTAAACCCTTCTGATACATCTGCATCTTCCAGACCTGCTTGCTGAAAATGGTCGCTTGCGCTACACTCCGGGCATTGTTTCTGCTTTTGGGAAGATCATGAGTGCATTCCGAGGAGAAGTGCTGTGCACAGTCACCACTGCACAGGTGGGTTAGGAACAACAGGGTTGAGTTTAATAGGAACGGGCATGAAAGGCAAACTTCTTTAGCTATAGTGTAAGCAGCTTGCTGCATGAGGAATGAAGAAAAATCTCTCCTCTACAAAACACTCCAGTAGTGTTTCAATATACAGAAATTATTGGTTAGCAATTATACATGTTCTTCTTGTTTCAGCTTGACAGGTAACATCTTTTTCTATGTGTGAACCCAGGGACTGATGAAAGTCAACTGGGTCTGTAGATAAAACTGCCTCTGCTTTTATTTTTGTCATTAAGATCATACTGATCAAGTTAGAGCTAACAGACCAGCTCTTAGCTGTAGTGAGGCAGATCGCTGAGGTGAAATCAAAGATAACATCTCTGTATGCTCGATACTATCTGTAGGTAGATAGTAACAGCACAAAGGAGAATGGCTTTAAATTAAAAGAGGAGAGATTTAGATTGGATATCAGGAAGAAATTCTTTCCCCCAGAGGGCAGTGAGGTGCTGGCACAGCTGCCCAGAGAAGCTGTGGTGCCTCATCCCTGGAGGTGCTCAAGGCCAGGTTGGATGGGGCCCTGGGCAGCCTGAGCTGGTGGGGGGCAGCCCTGCCCATAGTAGGGGTTGGAACTCAATGGTCTTGAAGGTCCCTTAAAACTCAGACTGTGAAGCTGTAAACTTCAAGCTGGAGATGTGATTTCTGGCATTTCAGTAGTTTGTGTGGGGATAGATCCATGCTCAGGCCTGGTAATGGGAAGCTTGCCTGCTGTACACATAACATAAATGTGTAGCTTTTGTGCGCTAAAATGAGCTTCCAATGTGGACTGAATAAAAAACCTCATCCATTTGGGCTTGACAGGCTCTTTATAAGCCACAGGCACAGACTGTAACTGATAGCTTTCAGGGGTTCACAAATGCAAAACTTTTTTCTGAGTTTTCCCAAATAATTCGTAAGGGTTGATATAATAATAATTCCTGATGCCTCTTTGATTGATAGCATTTGATTTCTTTTGACTCTCAACTGTTAACCATTAAATAGGAGTTGTTATTGCTAGTAGCGCTAGCAGCAGTATTCTTCTGTGGAGTCTGTTTAATTTCTGTTGCAGTAATATCTGAACAACTCACAGGGAAAGCGAGGGCAGGCTCGTGGTGCCTCCCTCCCTCAGGGATGCAGAGTTCCTCTATGGTGATAGAGAGAGGTGTACTTGGCTGAGCCCACACAGCTGTGTTGGCAGCATCTTGAGTCCCTGTCTCGTGCTTCACATGAAACTGTTTTTTTCTTAAGCTTATAAACTGAACTGTGAGAAGCAACAAATTACTCTCTCCTCATGTAGACTAAATGCTGCTTTGAAATGGATGTGAGGGTCTTGTGTTGAGTGCTTAGTTTAGCAAGTCAGGATTCTTGATGCTTGCTTTCCAAAAATATGAACAACAAGCATTTGCTGGGAATATGTGTGCAGGCAGCACAATACTTCATGAAATTAAAGGAGCACCAAATGCTGCTGTTTCTGTGCTGTTATTCGATTACTGTTATCCAAAAAGGCTGCTTCCTCTGCCTTCCTGGGAGTGTCTTTCTTTAATGGAGTCTGAAGAGAAAATGAAGTGTTCTCATTGTACCCTTTGAATTTTTTACATCCTTCATTTTCATTGTGTTCTGTGCAAATTTTTTCAGCCCTTGGATGATGCCAGCCTTACTGAGCTAAAGAGTGTTCTGAATGGATTCTTGGCTAAAGGAGAGATCTTGAAGCTGGAGACCAAGGTAGGGGTTTTATTTGTAAATACACTTAATGCCAAGCTGTGCTTCTTGTGCTGTCTCTCATCTTTACAAAAAAAATAAATGAAAGAGGAACTATAGGACACCAGTGTATATTCATTTGGTTGAATTCAGTAGCTATATAATATACTTCTGTGTTTTCTTGTACACCTGATGCTTCAATTACTGAAATCTTAACTCTGGAATATAATGGCTGCAAAATTATCTTAAATAAGGGTCTTTTAAATGTTTACACTTTAAAAAAAGAAAAAATACATATTAGGGTAAGAAGTTTTTGCTAATGGAGTTTCTGTTAAACCTTTCTTCTAGACTGATCCCTCCATCCTTGGTGGAATGATCGTCAATATTGGGGAGAAATACGTGGATATGTCGACAAGGTCAAAGATCCAGAAACTGACCAAAATAATGAAAGAGACTGTCTAGTAAGCTGTTCTCTTTGTTCACAGTGAAACCTGTCACATGGAAACAATAAAATCATTCTTCTTGAATAGCTGTTTTAGAGTATTGATTCTAATGTACAGCTGTACAGCTGTGGGAGAAAGATGATGAGGCCTCCAAAAGCTTGCTAGGGAGAGGTTAAGGTGTTTGTATCTTAAAACTACTTCTAAAAACATTCAGCATAGAACACTGATTCACAGCTACCTCATGTTACACTGGTGTTCTAATGGCAAGGCCGTGTGTGCCTGCTTCTGTTTAATGGGATATTGAGGATATTGACCTCAGGGCAGCTGGCCAGATGCAGTAATTATTAGCCAAAAGGAGGGGGCAGATCAGAGAGGGACCTTCTAGTCCTATTATCAAAAATACCAATCTGAACATTCATCTAATGTTTTTGAGACCATATCGCTCTTCCTCAGTGCTTCTCAAGAACATCACAATAGGCTGTTAAAATAAAAAAAGAAAAACAACAGTGTTTATTCTTGCATAATTTCACTTGCACAAATACAGTCTTGTTTGTCTAACAATTTGCACAGACTGAAGTCTGATCTGCACCTTCCACCTCAGTGAATGCAGTCTGGGACGCGGCATAATTCCTCAAACAGGTGAATGCATCATTTTGAAGACTTTTGTTTCATTTGACACTGTCCATAAACAGAATTATTTAATCAAGTGCAGCAGAGGAAGTAACACATTCAGAGCAACCAAAGTACAGTTGAAATTGTCTTACGAGAAACAGTGGCATCCAATTTGTTGTTAGTTATTTGTTATACCAATTAGAAATGTTATATCTGTTAGAAATGCTTTCAAATAAGCCCCTTTCACAGTATGGATGTGTTCCTGTAGGATAGTTAGCTGCAATGTAAATGAACAATACAAGTGAATTACATCTTCTCCGAAAAAAGGAACCATTTCTCCTACCTGTCCAGCTCTTAAGACCTACATATAATGGTTATTTTCTAATGTCTTTGTAATTTTTAAGATCTTACAAATACTACATATAGTACAACACTTCTTTTCTTAAGAAGAAAAGGAAACTAATTGATACCATTCGTTTGGCAACAACAAGTGCACTAAAAAGTCACACCACCATCATGGGGTGGGGATTCCCCAGTTCTAAGTATTGACACTGAAAAAATACTACGGCCATCTTTTCTGAATGATGTATCAACACTGAATAAAAAGTACTCCATGAATAAGTCTGTAAAGGCTGTTGGAATCTAAACTATTTTGGCAAAGTGAGGACTGGAATAAGGTATTCTGCAAAAGCTGGGGGTTAGCCTGGTGAAAAGCTTTAAGCCTTTACGAATCGTCACCCAAATAGGAATTGCTTCAACCCAACTCGGGCACTTCGCACTGCCGAAAGCTGTGCACTCTCACTCGTCTTTCCATATGCTCCTCACAGAGTGACTTGCTCTTGACATACTGTGTGATCAGCATTCCGACTGGTGCCAGGAGAGCTCCATGATCCTGTGCCCAACCTTCTCCCTTACTCCTGATAAGTACAGATTCCACCACCAGTCCCATCCCTGTGGAGTAGGCACCATAACAGGGAGGGATTTCACTTCTAGTCCATCACAGGATGGACAATCCATCCCACACTTCCTAAGGGGAGAAGAGCCTGCTGCTCACCAAGCTCTGGTTTCGTCTCTGCCAGTTTTTCCCCTATTTTCCTGCAGCCCAGCCTTCCCCTGTCAGCTCTGCTCACCACGACAGGCGGGAGAGCCTGACAGAAGGGCTCTGAGGAAGCAAAACGCCTTGACTGACACGTCAGGTTGGGATCACAGATCCAGTGCTAAATCTGGGGTTAGCAACACTTTGCAGCTTTACAAGAAGTGCAAGGATTCACTTACAGTCGCAGCAAAACTTTTTTTCTGACAGCTATGTCATGCAACTAGGCTAGTTTAACGTGTTCTTTATTCATTTAAGTTCCGTCCTAAATATATCTGCCTATGTACAGAAAAATAATTTCCCAAGAATGACCTTTATTTTAAAATACGTAAGACAACAAACAAAACTGTGTGCCTATAAACGTTTTCGTTAGATTGACTCCGTATTTGACAACAACAAAGTAGCTATGCTCTTATATTATATATACAAATGATCACATGTATATATATATATATATATCTATATATATATCTATAAATACATCGATATGGATGTAGGACAGGAGTGTTTGGTCTGAACAAATGTGGGGTACGTGTGGAATGTACATAGAGAGCAAACGGCTCGAAGTGAAGGTGAGTTCACCTGTTTCCCCACTGTTCTGCTTTTCAAGGGTTTTGATGCTCAATTGGAATAGTGAAGCAGCACAGTGCAAAAGGAGCAGTATGAAAGCAGACCCCGCTGTTGCAGTGAAAGTCTGGACTTGTCACATCTTCATCTGGAAAATGTATTTAATAATATTACAAAAATGTTGTTATCCACAATGTTCTTCCCCCCCAAACCCAACTCACGTGTAACAAAAAGTGTTTTTTTCTGAAGGGTAAAAATATTCTAGAATGAACATTTAAAAATTTCTGTCATAAAAACTCATGTTGAGAAGATATATAATAATTAGGTGCATCTAGAAAAAGTTCTGCAATGTATGGGTCATATTCCTTAGGGTCAGCCCAGTGACGTGCTCTGTCCCTTGGGGTGCCCACGTCAGACCATCAACTGCACACAGCCTCTCAGGACCTTACAGACCACCTCCCTACAGCACTGATCTTGGGGAAATAGCATTTCCAAAGCTAAGATCAGCTTTATGGTTTTTATTTTACAGTGCTTCCAAATCATTATAACCTGCAAGTATATGACTTATGATTAGCCTGGTAAATACCATAGTGGAGAATCTGGTGGCTATAACCCAATGACCATGCACTTTCAGAAAGACAGGGAAGAAAACAGATCTGCAAAGAACATGAACTCCTTTATCTTAACGTTGACTTGTTGTTTGACGATCTCTTCAGCAACTGCAATCTACCAGTCCTTATACAATTTGAATCAACTTTGTCATGTAGGCTCCTTGAACTCATCCCTGCATCTCCAGCATACCACACGAGCATCCAGCCAGCTTCTAGTATCCTTTGTTCTAGCTGAGACACAAAGGTAATTAACAGCAATGGATCAGAGCCTATGGATCGGAAAGTGGAGTTCGCAGTGCAACCCTGCTGGGAAAGTGTGAGGTGCAGCCCTGGCAGAGGAGAGCTTAACATACCCCAGGCTTAGAACCACAATACCATTAAGGTTGGAAAAGACTTCCAGATCCCCCAGTCCAGCCACCAGCCCACCCCCCCCCGCCCACTGCCCACGTCCCTCAGTGCCACATCCACACGGCTCCTGAACACCTCAGGGACGGTGACTGCACCACCTCCCTGGGCAGCCTGTGCCACTGCAGCACTGCTCTTGCTGAGAAGACATTTCTCCTAATATCCAACCTGAACCTCCCCTAGCACAACTTATCGTATCACGGTTACCTGGAAGAAGAGGCCTTGCCAGTCCCACAACTCCACAACACATGAAGTCCTGGATGGACAAGGGAAATTACAAGGACTGATCGCAAGTTAGAAATCCAGGAGCTGAACCCCAGCCCTTCATCATCATCTCACACATGCATGGCATTCATTGGCATTAACAGGAACTAAACGTTCCCATGCATTGAGGGCAAGCTGGAAATGACAAGCGATGGTGGTTGGGAAGGTGCTCAGTTGTGTTTCCACATAAAAAGATGCAATCTGACGTATCGATGATGGGGTCACAGTCCAAGAGGAGCCCCCACAGCTACCTGGCAACCACTTCCAACAGCAATTGAATCTCAGAGGAAAACGCAGCAACTTGAGGCTTCTTCTGGAAACCTGGACTGGATCTCTGCATCACATCCATAGTATTTTTTTCCTATTTGTCTACTTATTTTTTGCTGAAATTCATGCTGTGGAAATGATGCCATAAAAAGATGATCCGATTTTCTAAACACTGAAAGGAATTCACTGTATGTCCAGCTAGTGAGTAAAATTAGGACAGCAATAAAAGGTTAGACATGACATTAAATGACATTTAATGTTGCCCATTAATAGATTTTATCACTTTTTTTAATTCTACCACAACAACGTGTATTTTCATATACGTTATATTTAATAAAATGTATTGATATGGAATTAGGAAAACATGGGTTTAGTACTATTTACATATTTTAATCGAAACAATTTTCTTAACAACATTGAAAAATAGAAACTTAAAGTTCTCTTAATCATGTTTTCTGCCAGTTAGTGGTAACCAAATGCATGCCCAGGAAGTTGCACTCCCTCTAAAATGTGATCAGTTGAAAGTTTCTAACTAAAGTGTGTATCTCTGCTTTTCTGTTTCAAAAAATACATAAGTATGTCTGTCATTTCTGATACAAAATTCTACACTATCTTCAATAAATAAATAATAAAGCGATTCTGAAAAGTATGAAATGTAAACTTTGTCGTCCCTCCAACATACATTTTTTCCCATTGCTTGAAACATTACAGTGGTCTCATAGGAAATTATAATACACAGACACTTCCCAGCACAGTTTACACTTATTACCATACTGTTTCTACCTATCCGTTATGAATATATCCTAATTTCCTAATGGAAATCAATAAGAATTGTAGTGCTAGAGAACACCATCTATACAGGGAAGGTGGAAACCAGTACTGAAAGGACATGCAAAGAACATCAAAACCTAACAACAGGCTCCACGAGAACATTCACATGCTAATGGAACAGGCTGACACCTCCCATTCAGAATTAAAGTCATTACAAAAATACCAGTGTATGCATGATAGGTAATGAACGAAATGATTCCAGGCAGAACAAAGATGAATTTTACTCTTAGGGGTCTGTCACATCCGGTCTTAGCAAAGCACTCAGTTGTGTACTTAAGGGAAATGCAACCTATGTGTGCACTTAGGGACAGATGGTTTGCCAAACGTGGGAAGTTTGCTGGACGTTGGCCTGTATGTGTGCTACGTGTTGAGTTTAACGCATATATAACCTTTTGTGTTCCCCAAGATGAAAAAGACATTACCCTCGGGTTACCCACTCCATACAATCACAAACACTTCATTCTGTTCACGTCTACCATCTTTGCCACCAACTTTGTGACCAGCCTGGTTTGCAGCAAACACTGCTGTGAGTGACAATGTGCTACTGCCCTGAATTCAGCAACACGATGTCAAATGCAGTCAGGCACAGTACAGTTTAATAACTGGTCACTGATTGCTTTGCAAACTAGACTCTGCGGGGTAGAAATGAGCTTCCTGAGCTAGAGCCATCATTGCTTTCCTTCCTCACTGCAGGTGACGGAACATCCATCTGCATTCACACAACTGAGCAGCAGCAGTAAAACAGTATTGAAGTGGTACAGCACAACATTCAGCAGGGCTCTATATTCCGTCCTTCACTCACTGTTCAAACACTTCTTCCGAAGGTACTGAGTGGGTGGACTCTTCTGGAGTGTAACTCATCTCTGTGCACAAGGCCTGCACGTAATTTATTCTGGGGGCAATGTGAGTCATGAAGTGGTATGTTAATAGAATCTTCTCTGTTTATAGATATAGACTATTTATTTTCTAAATATTTTCAGTATCGCCATGAAGATCTCCAGAGATCTTCTTACTGCATAACTGCTTGTTCCATTCACAAAACATTTACACGCCACTTTGCTGAGCAATAGGCACAGAATTCCTTATGGGGGAAAACCCTGCAGAAAGCCACCAAACATACCAACATTGCCTTCTTCATGTAAATTAACGAGTAGAGTAACTGGAGCAAGCACGGGGACCTATGTGGTGTGCCAGCCTTTCAGGCTGCAGCACAACGAACAGCCAGGTTACTTCATAAACCCAGGAAACTAACATCAGGTTCCACATAGAGAAATTGAGGGAGATTTCCTCACTAAACTGGGACTCGTTTTTCAGTGAGAATTATCAAGGCACAAAGATGCTCCTGTTTGCTTTGATAACCCTCTTGTGTGTGAAGGGCAAGCAGTAGTTTCGTATCAAACCAATAAGGGTTTTGTGACAGCTTCTGCAGATACCTATATTGCAGTGAACTCAGACCAAAAAAAAAAACCCAAAACATTGGTCCCTTTCCTTCTAAGGCTCATCAAACAATTGCAGGTCCAGTCGGACGACTATCTCTCCTGTTGGGACTTCATGGAGAAGGAGACACTTTGTAACTGGTCCCTTTGAACCCTGATCCTTCTTAATGTCTGCCACACGGATCTCTGTTCTGCCCAAAAAGTCTGAAATGCAAAAAGACAGCATGCTTAGAAATGAACCGTTTTCTGTTGCAATAAAAAGCTAAATTGCAGTAGGAGCTAAGTTTCCATTTACATACAACAAAAGGAGAAAACAAACCCTTGGTCCAATTATATTTTTGCAGTTGAAGGACAAATGCTGCCTGTCTGCACAGAAGAGACTTTCTTCTGGACCAGTGGCAGCATTTAAAAATAAATGATGCCGAAGGCAGAAAAAAATCCACCATGTACTTCACAGATGCTCTGCTTAAGTAGCTTACTTATTTTATGATGTGTTAGAAAAAAAGCCAAAGGCCAGTGCCCAGCCTGAACTGGGCGAGTAGCTCTCGGGAGATGATAGAGCAAGGGTGGATCACAACAGCGACACGGTCACTGGGGCAAATGGTACTGGCCACATGAATGACAGTCCTGCCCAAATATTCCTGGGAGACATTACTCCAAAAGACATAATTCAGTGCTCAGTATGTCTACTGCAATTATGAAATTAAAATGGCTTGGGAAGCTTGAGTTCATTTCTGCTACTGCCTGTTACAGGAACCTGACGACATTTCTTTTCCTCCTCCATTAATTTGTCCATTTGCAAAACACATCCAGAGTTTCACGTAAAGACTTAGCAGAATTACAAACTGCACTTCAGTTACTGTCAAACCACACAAGAAAGGAAACCCAAAAACCCAGAGAGAGCGCAATTCTTTTTGAGCCAACACAAGCATGGGAGTGAGAGTGCGTCGGGTCTCAAACACACAAAGGGTTCAGTATTTACCTCAGCGGGAGTGCACCTCTTCAAAATGGCAGGTCTGAAACTACCCTTGGAAGGGTGGCTGCCCCTTACTTACCATCTGGGGAGAACTGGTCCCTCTCAAACACCGTGATGCAGAGTACGTCCTGCTCGAGGTCTTTGATAAAGAACTGGCAGTTGGAGTTCCACTTCGGATTGAGGGTGTCCTGCATTGTCTTGGTGATGTGGCACTGAGAGCCCATCGTCACCTCACAGTATGGATTACTCTTTCCTGGGAATTAGGAAACAAACAGAAAAATGTAATCATGTTTTCAAGTGTGTGTCTGAATACCCTCTTCAACTTGCAGCCAACAGACCAGGTAAAGACAGTGGCTTTGCTGTCCTTTCAGTAAGTATGGACACAATTCTGCAAGGTGCTGAGCACTTTCCACTCTTCATTAAGGAATTTGTGGCTTATGATCTCTTATGAAATAGTTTGTGTGGTAAAAGCCATTTGTATGACCCAAATGATAAAGTGCAAGACAACTGCATGACTGCTACTGAAAAGCACAGAACCACCTTTGTGCTTTTTAAGTTCATTAAAACAGCTTTGTTAAACAAAAATATACTGACAGAACATCTAAGATGGTCAAATAGGAATGTCTCCTTCATACAGCATATTATGAAATCACAAGGCACTTACCATGGGATCTGCAAGGTTTTAGTTCAATGCCTTCAACAATATTCACCATCAACCTCCCAATGCCCGTTGCTCTTTGTGAGCGAACTGTGGTGAAACAGAAGAGGAGAGACAGAAGTCTTTAATATATTTCCTGGCCCAGGGACTTCCCCAAGGAGGATGAGAACCCCTGCACCCCATGCTGTACCTAAGTAGGCCTTTTCCCTCTTCTTCTTTTCAGTCTCTATGTAAAGTTCCGAAGCAGCTTTAATTTTCTGAACCCATGCAGTCCTTCAGAGGGAAAGGAGAAAAAGGTTGCAAAATATCATTTCCACTTTTACTCCCTGCTGTACTGCAAATAACAGTAAAGCCGGCCCTCCTTCCCAACCTCTTTCAGCCTAAGGCCCTCACCCCACCACAGGCTCTGCTACGCTGAAGCTGTCTGCTTGGAAGAGATCTTGCTGGAATTCATAGTGCCTGCAGAAACGTAATCATTCCAGCCTAGCAGATCCCATCACACAACGGAAGCTCAAGAGAACTATGAGCAGGCAGGGAGCAAAGATGTTTTATAACTTTTTATGCATTGGAATTTTTCCAGATAACGCATTCTCAAGCTGGCATAATACTATCTATGCAATGTGTTTGGGGGACTTTTTGCTGATTTTTCAGCTTCCATTTTTTAACAAAAGTTATTTTTCAAGATCTTACAAATCTGCAGACCAATCTTTTCAATATAAGTCCATGCAATCCCATCTTTGTAAGCTTGCCAGAGACACAAATCACTAGCTGAAGTTGTCACTCTTCTGACTTACTCATTAAAAATGGAACCAGATTAAAACTGAGTTTTGTTGGCAGGGTTTTGCTTCAGGTTTTAATCTGACTTGTTCCTGAATCCCATTCAACATACAGACATGCAGATGCTTGCACTGGCATAGAAAACTGATGGACATTAACAGAACAAGATCGGCCTGAATCTTTTAGCTTCTTCAAACTACCACAAAATGGAATCATCAGCCCTCCTAGTGATCTCACCATTGGTATTACTGAAATTCAGGAAGCATTATTCTTTCTCCATTCTTTACATGTACTGAGTATCACCTTATTCTCAAGCACAAGGATATGTAATATTAACTGCTTGGACACTGCTATGCATGTGTACATCAAATACATTTGCACCAGACCTTTAAAACTCAGTACTAATGTGGCCTGTGCAGGTACTTACCTTTCATTAATGCTTTCAGCCCGGAGTGTATAGACTCTGTCAATGTGGGAGATATGGAAAATGGGCTCATCTCCAGAAGGGTCTGTGGGTAATTTTACTAGTACTTCATTTAGAAAAATGGGCTGGAAAACATTAGGCAAAGCAAGCGTTCTATTGCACAGTATCTAAACAGAGGCATGCAAGATAGAGCAATTCAGAACAGATTTCATTTGTGCCCACTATTGCTTCTCCCCTTCAGCTGGCCTCCCATCTGTCTTAAAATATGTCATTTTAAAAAATGTTCTTATTATTAAGGTGTGTTCACAGTCTGGAACATTTCTCCTCAACTGAGAAAACAGCTTTATGAAGTTTAGCAATCTCTCCTTTCTCACAGGGAACAGCAAATACTGCTCTCTGCATCATTCCTTGTTATGTGACCTCTGTTGAAGAGGTTGTTTTGGCCAAATTTCAAAAGCATCTTCCCTTACCTAGCAGACTACCAGCTTGCTCAACATTGGTCCCTGGAATCCCCAATATATGCCAAAGCTTTCAACATTCTTCTATATAAAATCCCACACGTACAGTATGTGGGTGCTGCCTCCTGAACTTCTGCTAGTATGTAACTATCCAAGCCACCATTTAAGAATGGTACTTACAGTTTTGTACATTTTGTACTGCAGATTAGACTTGGGGCTGAAGACCTTGTCTGTGCCAGAAGAGCCAAGAGGTTTTATGATCTGAGTCAAGAGGAGGAAATCGTTGAACAGAAAGCCATACAGTTCCTTGTTACTCTTGGCTTTATAGAGCTTCCCACTGTGCAGAAACTTGCGTGGTCCCAAGCAGTTTGTAACAGAATTAAATACGAGTTGCTGCGAAAAGTAGAAGAAGAAGAACAACGCACTGTATAAAGTAAAACAATCGAGGTTCCCCTGAAAGAGATCAAATACAGTTTTGAGTCCTGACATTAGTTTTACTTTGTGTCACAGGGATGATGAGCAATGTCTCTGCCTTGCGCATGACAAGCAGTGCAAGTCATAAAAATGTTATGTGAAATTTAAGGCAACCTATCAGTTGCACAAGGCATGATCTGGGCAGTCAGAGAAAAGCCAGAAGCATTTTTGCCTCCTTTTGAGTTTCTCTACCACATACATGCACCTCTGTGAGCAGAGCCGAGTTGATGATGACTTGTCCTGGATTAGCAGTAGTTACACAAATGACCTCTCCAAACCATGAGCTTCCTTAATAAGAACAGCATTCATGAATTGTGTCTGAATTTCACTCACTAAAACATAACAAAAGACTTCCAGATGACCTGTCTTTGTGTCCCTGTAATAGCTGGGCTTAGAGGACAGCTGCTGACCAGTGGCTGGAACCAGAAAGATGCAAGACTCATCTGGAGGTTACAAGGTCTGTAGAGGCTTACTAGCCCTTTCATTCTTAAGTTCATTTCCATTGGTCAGGATGGTGTGGGCTCTGGCATCCTTGCTAGCCAGGCAGGTAGATCTGGAGTAGCTCCTTCTACAGGTTAGAAACATCTCAGCCAGAAAACTACTGGGGGAAGGCCTGGTCATTGCTTGCCACAGATTTAAGGTCTTAGTGGCATTAACTTGTCAGCAAGCAGTCAGTTGGCCATTCAGGTAATATTACTGATGTTCCAAGGTTAGACATCATGTACAAAAGACAAAAGCAGCCATCTCCATTCAAGCACTAGTTTTAAGACAGCCAAACGCAACTCTGGCCCTTCTGAACTTGTCAGAATTGTCTTTCCCCCAAAATAGATTTTTAAGATGAAATGCAACATTGTCCAGTTTATAAATCAAACAGTGCTTATTATTTGTTTATCTTGAACTGAAAACTCAGTACACACTTTAAAAATCACATTGTGATCTGTCTGCCACTAGTATCTTCGCCACTATAGAGAGGTCATCAATGCCCACCTCTGCCCATCTCTGCCCGCCACAAATATTCTATTTTCAGCAGAGAGGCTTAACATGTTATCTTGAAATATAACATGCATTAGTAGGCAGTGATTCTCTCTGTCAAGTCTTGAGAGGGACTTGATCTGTATCCTCACATTTTCAGAATGTAAACAAAGTTTTGTTACAAAAAAAGCAGATACTGTGATGACTTTTAAAGCACTCCAAGACAGTCAAATATTGCTTCAGGATGAGATACAGTACAATAATTCTTGCAAAGAGCCACGAAACTGAAGAGTTGTAGTTGAAAACTGCAGCACTTAATCTGGCACTAGTCCAGAGGCAGGAAACAAAAGCAACATTTATCATGTAGAAGACAATAATACAAGCAGCAAAAAGGATTACGTGCATAAATGAAAGGGAGCCAAAGAAAGATAAAAGCGAATGATTTAAGATTATATGACATGATTACAACATTTTCCCTTGATGCAGAGCCAAAAGTGAGCCATGGTTTCTTCCCAAACAGTGAAGTGTGCCCATTACTCTAGACAGCATGTTGTTTACCTCAGAGAGGCCTTCGCACTGAACATGAGCCTGGATCCACTCCAGCCTATCTGAATTTTCTTTCTCTCGCACTCCTTCATTTACTTGAGAACATAATTCTTCTGCTTTTTCAAGAGCATGCTTCAAGTGACTGTGGTCAGGATGGTTTTCAGGAGTGTTTTCTATTATCTACAGGCAAATAAAATACGTTAGCTTTTTCTATTACCTGCATTTAAAATATATTCATCTTGAGAACCCTAAATTTCTGTTTTATTTCTTTATTTTCATCAGAGCTGGTCAGAAGCTTCCACATTTCTCTTCCTGCTTGACAAATGTGAAAAATAAGAGACAAACTCACAGTCGGTAGGTGAACAGCTGTCTGCAGAGCCATTACATCAGAGCACTACTCACTCTTCTGACGTAAGCATGCAAATTCCAGCCATAAACAGAAACATAGCTGATTATGGAATCTCTTAAACGACAACATCCAATTTGTAGCTGGATTAATTCCTATGAAAGTCTGGGGTCAATTTCAACAGTACTATTCAAGATGGTAAGTGTTAGGCAACATATAAAAGTTAGGAAAGTGTTGTAAGTTATCCAGTAATGTAAGCTGCAATGATTTGGCATTCAGGATTGTATACTGAATGCCATTTTTGAGACTATAAGGAAGGAATGATACCAAGGCAAAAAGGCAAAGATGAGCATAAGATGAACCCAATACTTCCATTTTCTGAATTTCAAACTTTTCATTCAGCTTTTATTGCCTTCTGGTTCTCTGTGCAAGTAAGTTTCACCCCTATTTCTAGTGGAAATCCAAAGACATTTTGTTGAAGGAAAATGAATTACTGCATTTGCTCTAGTGTGGTAAAATGTAAAAAGGCAGCCCACTTTCCCTAGCATATCAGACATCTAATAGTGACAATGTAGGGAAACTATTCTTTAATTAAGCTACAAGCAAAGCAGCATCAAAAACATCATCTTTGCAAAAGAACATACATTTTTAATTATTAGTGGGTATCTTGTTACCCGTTGCATAGGCTTTAGTAGAAAACTTGATAGTGGCATTCCTTTACAGCGAGGATCCATTGCTAACCTCTGAAACATTAGAGAGGTAAAATGGTGTTAGTCAATTTGCTTAAAATCCAGCAAAATAAGGAAAAGGTAAGGCAACAAATGAACATAAGGCCTCAACTAAATCCATTAGGTCACAAACAAGATCAATGCATTAGAATTTCTTGTACAATGCATTCTTCACCTAACTTGTCAGCACAAACAAAAAGCATCTTCTCACCATTATTTGTCCAGCTCTCAGCATGTTACTGCATAACCAGTGCTAAAGTAATTATTTTACAGCCATACAGCTCACTGAATAAAGGTATGCCTTTAACAAAAAAAGTATTTCTTCAGTGAGTGCTTAAGTCTCTTCATTCTTAAGACCCTTCATTCTAATTCAACATACAGCACTATTTCAGACAATGTTTTGGAAATTTGCAATGCAGTTTATGGTGTACAAAATACACAGTGAATGCTCTTCCCTTACTTTTACAAACTCCTTGAATTCGGGGACTTCATCTGTTTTCTGCTGAATGAGTGCTGCCCCATTGAGCTGGCAGCTACAGAACCGAATGTATGGCTGCATGTGTGGCAGCTGAGCTGTCAGGATGTCGCCAATCATTTTCACTGGCATCTTCTCTCCAGACATCTTCTTACGCACACGCAAGGCCCTAAACACAAAAAGGTCATGAGTGTTGGATAAGTCAGCAGACCTCTAAATAAGGATTCGTGATCTATGAAATAAGTAGGTTGATTGTTATTCATTACTGAAATGAACAGACCTCTGAATAATAAACAGATCAGCCACAGGACTTATTGCACATTATTAGAACATAATAATCAAGACTGCACCCTCAGCCAACTGAAGTTTTCCCTCTTGTGATCACCAATTTATTATTTGACATTAACTTAATGCAATGCCAGATCAGATACAACGTAGGAAGGAATATCATTACTCTTACTATTAGAAAGTATATAGACAAGCTCTTGAACAAGGGATGAAAACCCTACCACCACCTTGGGCCCAAAGCTATTTCTAGCTTTTACCCTGGTTTCCTAAGGAAGGGCATTTTATTGTCATCTGCTGTTTTATTACCAATATGTGTCATGTTATCAACATATATGTCTCTGCCCTATCACTGTCATAACTTGTTATTTTGTGAGCCATTTTCAAGCACATTACAAAAGCGAAGATATCTCAAAAAATTCCTACACTTTCAATGAGAATTAGCAAATCAGTAGGCAAAAACAAAGGGGTTTTATTAGTACTCTTACTTTTTAAGATGCAGGTGTAAATTGTTACTCATTTTGTCGGGCAAGGGCCAAAAGAAGCAATCTGTTTGTACATGCCTTCAAGGAAGTTCTAATTTATCTTATAGTGTCTCAGGATTGCATAGCTTGACCTCTTTTTCAAAAAAAAGAGGCTTTCCCTCCTGCTGAAATAACAAGGATGGGTGAGAAAAATGAGAGAAGGAAGATGGGATCTGGTGGAGGCCACTGAGAATGAAGGGGGAAATAAGGGTACTTGCACTTTGTGGAGTTTCATGGTAAAGAGTTGGGGTTGCAGTAGTTGGAGACTTTGGTAGGAAGGGTGCAGGGTGCACTGGGCACAAATCCATAGCAAACCAGGCTTTCTTGGGCCAGCTTCTCACAAAACAGCTCATTCAGGTGTTAAAAAGTTTACAATAACTAAAGGAATACACTGGGCAACTCAGAATAACGGTGGCAGTGAACGTTGGTTGTAGTTTGCTTCCCATTCACAGATAATGGGACTGGAAGTCGATAAGGGGCTGTGACAGAGAAAGAGGAAGCAGAGGTATGGAGTGTGGGCAGCCCTGAGAGGCACTATTCTTCAGGAGAAGCTGACCTTGCCTTCTGCTGTGCAGGTAACCTAAGAGCAAACTAAGCACAAATCCTCACTCAGTGAAGAACTGATGCATTTTTGTCAACAGCAATAAAAAATTATAGCAAACAATAATATCTTGTTTTTTCCAACGTGGAAAAATGCCTGGCTCCTTTGGCGACTATTTTCATAAGTGGCAAATATTTGCATGCAGCTAAAAGAAGAGGCCCATGATTTTGTAATTGATAAGTACAGAGGAGAAAAAAAAAAAGCAAAAAGAACTTACTTCAGTAGTTTTATATTGCACATAATCAGTTCCTTCCAGTTAACAAAAATCATAGCAACTTCCTTTTCTGTTAGCAGCTCAGATTCCATTAGTGGTTTCTGGAAGATCTACAGATTTAGAAAATTAAGCAATTTAGAAAGTATATGTTAAGTATAATCAAAGTTGCTAAGACTGATGATGCTTACTTCCTTAGTCTGGAAGTGAGACAACTTTACATCAGAGTAGCACTTGGTACTCAGCAGAACAGACCTCAAGCACGCCCTGTGCCCATTATCAGATCTACCTGATTATACCTTTCTGAGTAGCTTATCTCTTTGAAAGATAATAATCTGAGTTGGTCTTGGTGGTTGCTCACCATGGCCTGGATAGTCTGTTTTAACCTTGGGAATTTTAGTGACAGGTCTCCTGTGAAATATCCCAGGGTTACTTTGGTAAACAACTGAAAATACGTTTTACTTTGGACTCCTTTATGGAAGCTCTGACTTATCTCATATTGTCTCAGGCTTGTGTAACTTGACCTCCTTTTCAAAATAAAGGCTTTCCCTCGCTGTCAAAAGAATTGCCCACATCACTTGCCCGTATGAATCTCCCCAGATAAAAGATGCTATATACACTGTAACATTTAAAGAGAAACAGGCTAAGTGATAACTGAGTGCCGCAGTGCACATGGAAATTGGTACACGATGCGCTTCAGGCTTTACGAACCTACATATGAGAAGTAAACATTCAAAATCAGGAATGAAAAGATTTGACTGAAATGACAATGGAAACATTGAAGCATTTCAGTAAGGCTAACACAAGGGCTCGCCATCAGTTAATTACACTCACACCCAGACATTCATATATGTTCATATATGAAAATTTAACACTGATCATTCCTAGGAAATGCAACACAGCAGTGATACCAAATGAGTTTGTAGGGTGAAATTATTGATCCAATTCACTTCAGAAAATGTGTGAGTGAATAAAGTGAGTGAATAAAACCTGCTCCTAAAAGTGCCGTGCCTCCTTACCTCTGTGACCAACTGCAAATCATTTACATAGTTCTCTTCTGTGACAATGAGCTCATGGATGTATCCCTGCCTTTTTCTTTCAGTAGGTGTCAACATATCCAGAAGATGCAAGTCTGCACACCCTGGAAAACACAACAGAATCCTGGATTTTACTTACAGTGGCTTTTAAATTGATCCAGATCTGCAGTAGTTTGAATAACGCCTAATGAACAGTAACTACTGCCTGTTCATTTAATCATAATTCACTTTTAATGACACAGTGCTTACAATCTTTCATCTCTTAGTGAATAAAAACATTGACATTAACTTTTTTTTAAAGATTCAAGGTCATTTTTAAGAGATAGCCAGTTAACAAGGCAAGTGAATGGAGGTCTCATTAAAATGAAAGCATGCAGTCCAGAAACAACTAAAGAAGACCTCCCTGTGGCATGAACAGGATTTCTAAATGTTTATTCTCTGGTGGCAAAACTTAAAAGTTCCCCTCACCACTACCTGCCCATTTCCAACCTCACTGCGAAGTTCAGTTTCCCTTAGTTGTGTCATTCATCTGGAACCACACTGTAAAATAAATCCCCAAATGGATCACTGTTAATAAAAAGGGGACAAAGACTTCACCTGGAATTAATGCCAAAGAACACATATATTTATCCTAAAAGGGAGCAGAATTAAGGAAGAGAACTATAGTGACATTAATGCTCTGATGAGCTCTTTAGATTTTCAGCTCTCAGCTCTGCATTCAAGTTTGATCTTTATCATTGAAGTCAAAGTAGGCATCCTCATCAAAGCAGGGTTTATTTGCTTCTTCATGCTTCAGTTAAAAATTGCTGGAGAACTTTTGAAGGACTTGAGCCAAAAGTCATGAAGGTCAGTGGAGTCACCTCACAGACCTTACTAGTTTACAGACTGAGCCAAAGGGTTGATTGATTGTCGTTTTGTACCTTTAAAAGCAGTAGGAAATCTTATAACTAAGAACACACGTTCCATCAAGTTTGTCCTTCTGTTTTTCCAAACCATCTTCTGTGTAAATTCTAGAATTTTTATACTATAGGCACAATTCAATTTTCATGTTCTATTTTCTATTCTGCATTACAACAGAATACTTAATTACTTTTTTTCCCATACATCTTGGTATGTTTCAGCACAGCTCAATTAAATTCTCCTGAAATTGCCAAGGAAAACGTTTTCTCCCTGTTTCACTTCTAATAGCTTTTATAACTGTTCTGCATAAAATACAATGTATTTCAGAAGTTGTTTTGAAATAGGTTTAAAATATTTTGCTTCAAAGAAATACTATGCTTTGACACAATCAAAATTCTTCATTTTAATTCTTTCTCCCACCTCTCAACAAAGCATTGGCAAATTCAGTACATTCCTCATTGAAACAGATTTTCCACATGGAGAAAAATCTGAATGCAAAACATTCAATGAGACCTTCACTTCGTGGGATTTTAAATGGCCAAAGCTTTTTTTTTTTAACTGTTCACCAGCATCAGTCGTGGCTCCAACACAACGTGATCCAACAGGTGTGGCTTTAGATCAGATGTTCTCAAATGTTTTCGCACAGTGAACCGCTGCTGCTTCTAATCATATCACACCCTAGCCAACCCCTTCAGTTCTTTGATATAAAATTAATACTTAGATAGTATCTACTGCATCTTCAGCTTCCCAAACGTAATTCAGGACCTGATTCTGCACTACACAACTAGCAAGGTCCACCACGTATCACCATTAAATTTTTCATGAATGCCTTGGGACAGGTTGCTTGAACTAATCTGTGCTCCAGAAAAGATAAAAGATGGATTTGTTTAAAAACAATAAATGTTGATGCAGATATTCTCTATAAGTAAGAAGCTGAATACATATCAGACTGTAAGCATAGCACACTGACAATGCTTCTTTGAAATGCTGTGTATTGCAGTCCCTTCAAAGATACAATTCAAACTTTGCCTGAAATTAAAAAGTTGGCTTGGAGAAGTGTCAATTAACAACTTCAAGCCGAAATAATCAAAATTCTCACTATTTTTCCAAAGTCAAAAGTTTCAATTCTGTTTAATAAGTGATTGCTTTCAAAGCATTTTCTCAGTTATCATGTAAATCACAGTTCTAATTAACAGAATCAGTTCTCCCCATGCACTGTCAGCTTCATTAAAAGTGAACAAAACGTTTAATGATTTTTCTCCAGAGGCTGAGGAATTTTAGTGTTCAACGATGCCAATGACCTTGGCTTGAAGTGCTGTTTCCAACCACCACCAGCTTTTAGAAGGAAGTATTTAACATTTTGAACTGTTACATTTCAGTGGCCAGCTTGACAGATAGCCAGCTGGGACTTAAATGGGTTACTCTGAATGTCAATGGAGGGTTCAACCTTGAATGCTAAATATTTGGGGAAACTGCCTACTGTGTTATTGCAGAAAATGCAGGAGAGACTTTTCTCATAAAGGATTTTCTTCATTAGGTGCACAAGTATTAAGAATTGTCTCATCTTTGTATCATAAATATCAAGCAAGAACTCTGTTCTTTTCCAAGCTGGAATGTCAAGGTCATACGGCTCTAGCTGGTTATTCATAGAAGCCAAAGTACTGTGTAAAGTACTTTTATGTACATCCAAATTCCATGTGCAGCTGAAATAACACCACCATTCATGAATTCATCCCACTAAAAGGGCCAAGTGCCAAAGTGCCCCTGATATTAGGCATTTCCCCTGACAAATGGGAAAGTTCTGCTATTGGTGAAGTCCCGGACCTTACCTCAGTGTAGAACCAGTTAATTTTTCTAGCTTAAATCTCACAATTAGTCACCATTCGAGTACTTAAAACTAGGCACTGTATTCTACCTTGTAGGATATCAGATTCCATTCTTTTCTATTTTCCCACCCACTCTGGCGTTTGATACCATCTGAAAGATTGCAGAAGCTGAATTTGAATCTTTAACTACCAAAAAATCTAGCAAATGCAGAAAATAATGGAGAAATTAGGATAGTTAATCCAGCATGTTCACAGTGCAGTGAATACGCAACCTTCTATCTTTTAGCTGTGTAACAGAAGTGAAGCCCAGCAGTGTCAGAAATCTGGTATCCTATCACCTCATGACCTGTGGAACTGAGAGTTCTAGAAATTTAATGAAAATAATTTAAAATAACGTTCTAAAAAGTAAATGTGCTTTTTCTTTTCCTTGCAAGGGCAAAGCTCTGAAAATATGAGAAAATATGAAAATATGCTAAGCTTGAAAGCAGTTGGTCATTCGTCATGGATTGTGTCTTTTCAGGAAGAAGAATCCATTGTGGAACTCACTGCTCTAAGCACACAGGCATAACTTCTAATTTCTTCAAATTCAGGGAGATTTTCTGAACTCCATAACTGCCAGTTTTCACCGTAACTTCATACTGGCCCAATGTGCAACAGCAAGGTCACAGTAGACAGGAGTCCACTCTGTTGTCACAGAACTGTGAAATTGGACTAGAAGGGAACTTAAAGATCATCCATTTCCATCTCCCCTGCAGTGGGCAAGATTGCTATTACAGTGAACCAGAAGCACTACAAAATTATACACCACAGTTTTCCTCCAGAACCTTAAATGAGGAGAAACAGTACTCCTGACACCACAATAGCATTCCTTCCATCAAAAGACAGCATTTGAACATTCGTTCTTCTTATCAACTGGCTTCAGATGCAAACACCAAAACTGCACAACCCAGCTTCGCATTTTCTTCAGCAAAAATAAACATAATATATAGGTACTGCACTTGGGGTCAGAATTGGGGTATCTTGTATTCTCAGAGTTCAAATATTGTATCAGTTTTCCACGTTCTCATGCTGACCTCCACCCATTACCTTTCCTTGCTCCAGGTCTTTGCCTCCACAAAAAAAAAAAAGTAATGTAAGGGAATCGAACCAGATGGACTTTAACAGAATTAATCCAACACACACACAAAAAAAAACAGCTGAGAAATGCACTTGGCAGAGATGAATATGACGGGGGAAAAAAATCCACGAAATCAGATTTCAGCAAGCCAGCCCAGGGAGCAGAAAACTGCTATCTGTCATACTGATGTGAGCCCAGCGCAGAGCAGTGTTTCAGTAGTGATGGCACCAGCTCACAGCTCTGTGGGTATCAGCAGAGCTGGCAACATCAGCTCAGCACTCAGTGGGTACAAATGGGCAACATGATGGGCCAAATGTAAGTCGAGATCAGAGGAGAGCAGAAGCACTGAGCTTTCTTCTTGCTGCTGGGTAAAGCTGCTGCTGAGGGGGCACTCAAAGAGGTGGGCTATACACCAAGTAAAAGGAGAGGCTTATGCTATAACGTGGAGCCAAGTTCCGTGATCATGGAGCAATGTAATGCTATGAGAACTACAGCCCCTTCTAAAAGTTGTATATTCACTTGCTGTAAAATTACCTCAGGTACAAGAATCTTTCCATTTAAACACACTAGCAGATACATTGTCCATTAAATACTTAATTGAAATAAAAAGAACACAGAATAACTCTTTCGTGAATACGGGTTTCTTTTTTTCTCAAGACAAACAGAACAACTCTGAAGGAAAAGAACCACCAGAAGTTAAAGCACTCTCTAAATGCAATCTCATCTACATCCCTCAAATGATGGCTCCTTATTCCTGACTTTCTGCTGAAATGGGAAAAGGTTCACAAATGAAAGCCGATTTAAAAAATGCATTCAACTGATTAGACAGCCACAAGGCTGCTCTTTATGCCGACTTAAAATGTAAATCAAAATGAAAATCATCTGAATGATTTCTTATCTTAGTCTATGTAGATTGTGGAAATCTTATTTCAGCCTTGACCAAGATTAGTGTTTGTCAGCTTTCCAGCCACAAATTCAAGAACTGAAGAGACAAAAGCATGGACACATCTCCATCACAGGAGACAAGTGTATTTTGGGAGGTAATTGTGTGGTTGTAGGAGACTAAAGAGCTTCTCAGATGTACCACTAAGGACAGGAGAGTCAAAACTGGATTGAGACACAACCCTGAAAAAGTATTATTTCTGATGGATTATTTCAATTTTCTTTATTAAGGAATTACTTTCAGACTCCCTTTCTCACAAATATTAATAAAAACCCAGACAGGTAAGAGAATAAGTGCAACATCATTTTTATAGAATCATATCATTGAATCATCATAGAATGGCCTGGGTTGAAAAGGACCACAATGATCATCCAGTTTCAACCCCCTGCTGTGTGCAGGGTCACCAACCAGCAGACCAGGCTGCCCAGAGCCACATCCAGCCTGGCCTTGAATGCCTCCAGGGATGGGGCATCCACAGCCTCCTTGGGCAACCTGTTCCAGTGCCTCACCACCCTCTGTGTGAAAACTGTGCTCATAATATCTAACCTAAACCTCCCCTGTCTCAGTTTAAAATCATTCCCCCTTATCCTACCACTATCCACCCTCATGAACAGCTGTTCCCCCTCCTGTTTATATGCTCCCTTCAAGTATTGGAAAGCCACAATGAGGTCTCCCTGGAGTCTTCTCTTTTCCAAGCTAAACAAGCCCAGTTCCCTCAACCTTTCTTCATAGAAGAGGTGCTCCAGCCCTGTGATCATCTTAGTGGCTCTCCTCTGGACTCCAAGAGTTCTGCATCTTTCTTGTACTGGGGACCCCAATTTTCCCTGCTACCTAGTGGAAATAACTGATTATGGGTAAGTTCCATGCTGATCTATGGTAGTATGCACAATGATTTTTAATAATTTTTAACAATTGAGTAAATAAACATCATAAGTCTTTCAACGATGAATTTCATTACAGTCTGAATATCTTTGTCCAGGACATTTTAAATGTCTTTTGAGGTTTTTGTGAGTTAACTGTTCTCAAGAATAGACTGATTTATAAGATGTTGCTCAGTTGAGTAATACGCAGTGCTCTTCTGTATGAGAAATCCTGGCACAACATACATCAGTGTGTGTATCTACAGAGGGACAACTTCAGTCTGTTCTATTCAATTTAGTGGAAAATTGTCCCCAGGAACTTCTAGGGTACTGTGATTCTGAGTATCTTTCATGAGACATCACTCTGTGTTTTTAGAAGCATGTTAGAAAACATAGAACCTGCAGATATTGTAATAGTTTTATTTTTTTTCTCCCTTAATGTAATAATAATAATTAAAAAAAGCAGCATATGAATCTCCTATATTCAAAGTATTGCCAATATTTCAATATGTAGAGAAAGTGTGTTTCTGACCTGAAGTCATAAAAACCATAGCATACCTTAGGACAAAAGCTTTTAGTCAAGTTATGAATCTTTCAACACAACAGCTCATTATGGGAACACAGAGATACCCTTTCATTAAAATAACATTTTAATGCATGAAATATTGAAATAATGGAGAAGAATCTGCTACATAGTTCTCAGCAAGCAAAACAAGAGTAACTGAAAAATACAAGTATTAAGTTATGTTCAATTTCTGTCAGATACAAGGCAGCACTGTGTTCAGCAAATGGCTATGTTGAAGAAGAAAACCATTTTTTTATGGCAGTGATAAAGGAAAAAACGTGCATGTTAGAAACTATCCTAAAAACAGAGAAAATCTGTGCAATTGTGCATGTTTTAAGACTAGAGCTTCTGGCATACAACGCAGAGCCTAGGTCAATGTAAACCCATTGTAAAATAAAAAAGTATACTTAATAGATCTAATAGCATAGTGTCAAAAAGTACCTACTGTTCTGTAACACATAGAAGGCAGTGAATAGAGAAAGAAAGGTGCAGAAGTTTGCAGCTGATCACAATGAGTAGTTATAATCAAATAATATTCAAAGTAACAACACAGGTGTCATTCAGAAATTAAACAGGGCTTCAGGCTACTCTGGTGGCAAATTCATTACATGCACTAATGCCACTTGGTGAATTCTGCGTGTACACAGCAACAAGACGACAAACACATTTTAGTCTAGCTTTTATATGAAGAATTTAATTATCTATACATGTGACTAATTTTAAAGGCTGTATTACAGTTGTTAAAGCTGCAGGTTTTTATATATTTATATATTTTACATTCATATTGATGAAATACTGAAGTGCAATTGTATACGGAGCTTCACTTGTTCTTTGCACCGCATGGTGGGTCAGAAGGAGGGAGATGGGATAGGATTAGAAATTCTACAACACTGCCAGCATGAAATATAGAAATAAATGAAGTACATAAAACAGAAGATAACTAAATGGTAAAGTAGTTAGTACAAATGCTATATTGTGCTTGAGGCATTGGGTAGAGGGGGTTTCTGCACTGACAGCACCAAGCATTTCATCAAGAGCTTGTTACTAATGCTGGAAAGGCAAACATGGCTTAGCTACAGCACATCTACTACATATATTTGACTGTAAGCTCCATTTAATATTAATTTGTATAAATTCCACAGTCTAGTTTAAAAAAAATGTAAACATTGGAAATTAATCGCAGGGAGATATTTCTATACATTCTTTCTTGTCAGGAAAATTACTTGTTCAAAAAGTGTTGTTCCATAGTCACGAGAAAGGAAAAATGAAAAATAAAATTCCATGAACTTCATGTAACCAAGATGGAAAAAAACCAAAGAAGTTAATGCTCAAACATCACATGAATGTAGCGTTCTGTTGATTTTTGACACGAAAATGCAAAAACTGAAACATCTGAGACAAACACAAACCAGGATGTTTTCTAATTGTATGCAGCTACAAATAGTGTGCAAAATAAAATTAACATAACTGGGATAACAACATTATGCAAGGTTAATATCTCTTGCATTGGAAGGAAGTTAATCTCTTCTCTCCACAATGTATTACACTCAACAAGGAACACCTGATACACACAGTACAAGAACTACAACAAAATACCTTATCTGCAATTGGGCACACTTAAAGTTCCTTAAACTGATTTAACTCCTTCTGGTTTTTTTTGCAATAATTAAAAAAAAAAAGACATTGACAACACTGGACAAGCAAACAATAAAAAAGAAAGATACATAAAATCTCAAATTTATGGACATTTGGAACAAATTTAACAGCACATGCAGCATTCCTTGATAGTGGGTCTTTTTGCACAAACAAGATTAAAATGAAGAAATTTAATTTATACTTTTCCTTTAAAAGGCTAAAATATATATTTAAAAATAACTTTAAAACTGCAAAAGCACCTGTGCAAAGGTGGAAAAATTAGTTTGGTAACTATGAAAGCCACAAAAGGACCCACTATCCTCTGATTTTTTTGTGTTTTTTTTTTTTTGTTTCATTTAATTTTGCGTCTATATCTGCAGGTAATTAACTCAAACATTGTGATTACATGCAACTAATGTAAAATGAGGTAAACTGCTCTGCAGTGTGTTCTTCTACTCAGAAGGCAGTAGATGATCATGCTGGAAGTCACATGATCAAGGCTGCATCTCCCATCATCCCTCTGGGCAGTGATATGGGATAGTGGGTCTCTTTGAGGACTTTCAAGCCTGAGTGGGGGATGGACAACATATGATTCCTAGAAAAAGGAGGAAAACAACACATAAGCAAAACAAAACAATGAGCAAATTCAAGCTAGGAAAATGAGTCAGGCATGTAAACAGCATGGTGCAAAAATGATAAAGGGTAACATGCTACAAAGGGGATGGGAACTAAAAATAAAACAAACATAAAATAAGGTTTGCATTACAGAAGGTCTTCAAAGAGACTTTGCCAAGTGCAGCAGTGGTGAAGCATTGAGTTCTGCAAACTGCAGCAGAATCACAGCAATGCTGCATGTTTCGTCTTAAAGTACTACATAAATAATTACAGCATGGCAGCAGAGAGGGTCACTTACATTGCTGGCTTGGGTCCGTATCTGTTGTCAGCTTCACATAGTTGGATGGGAAGAGACCCACTTGTCCATTCACCTCCCCTTTCCACCAGTCTGGGTCTTCCTTGTTAAGGACGTTTATAATCTGGCCTTTATTGAATGCTAGCTCATCATCATTCTGTGCAGTGTAGTCATACATGCCAATTACTTGGCACACTGTAAGATAAAGGAAGAGTTCTGTAGCACTGGTAATGTTTCAACGAAGCATAAGCTACGTGTAAACACTGCAGGTATCACAATGTAGTTCCATGGTAGTGCACTGATCTATACAGGCACTGCTGTGCTCCTGCCCCTGTCTCCTCTGCCCCTGTATCAGAATTTATCCAAGCTCTCAACAATTTGGCTCAAGGTTAGTTTAAAAAAAAAACAAAGACCTTCCACACAGCTTTACCCTCTTCGTCAGCTTACTGAGGATTTAGGATCACAATACGGAGGGCAGGACATAACAGTGCAAGCTGAGAACAGTGTAACCCACTGGAACTGCACTTAAGATATTTTCGATAGAAAGTGCTCAACAGTGAGAGACCAGAAAGATTTAGAATTTTAAGAAAAGGTCAAAATGTTAGCTTTCTGTTGATACTACTCTTCAGCTATATATATAGATATTTCTGCCCATAAAAGCACCAAACTTATAATGTATTTATAAAATTAGCATTCTGCATCCTCACCCTGTTCTAAATAAGTATCCTTTCCAGTAGAACCACTCAATGGACAGAAAAGTTTAGGAAATACTTTAAGTTCAATTATTTGAGAAAGGCACTCCTTTCTAATTAGCACTGACCATGCTAAACAGATCTGTAATTCAAGAGAAAGGCAATGGTGATTGTACTTGTACTCTTGTACTGCCCCACAGGCATTAGGAACATAAAAACCTTGGAAAGATGAAAAAAGTAAGAAGGGTCATTTAGGGTGGCCTTTTGGCCCCACAGGACTGTTGCAAGAAGCATTTTTCCTATTTTCTTACCATAAAACTCATCAAACCTGGATGGTTCTCAGGATACAATGGTTTCTGTTCAGTTATAATAGAGCAATTTTCTTAATTCTCTAAAGCAGGAGGACTGTTTATTTAAGTTATATAATTTCCTCTATTTCTCTGCTGATTTCTCCTTGCCAAGACACAGGGCTTCTGGTATTTTGCCTGACGACACAACACTGCTGGCTAAATGAGCCTTCCTGTCATGTTGTCTCTATTCTCAATCTACAGTTTTCTTGTATTTTTGTTCTTGTACACAGCCAGCAATTTAATTAAATTTGTCAAACAGTTCCTTCCTCTTTCAGGAATTTATATTCCAGAAATTATTCAACTCCTTTTAGTTAATATCTTATGCCTGTTTGCAAACCTCATAATCAAATATATATATCATATCAGCACATATCTCAAGATTTTGTTTAGTTACTCGCAGGAGAAAAAAAATGATTCTAATTGAAATGTAAAAATAAATAAAAAATAAAAAGTCAAGGGGCATTCACTGTCACTCATCATATCTAATACAACAACTCTCCAAAGTGCCCATTTCCCTAGCATACTGGATATAAAATGCATATTATGGCATACTACCTACTACTAGGTAGGTACTTTTGGGCTAATATAAGTTAAAATGTATGAACAGCACTGATGTTCATATTTCATTTTAAAGACCTGTGAATCTGTTTTATAACATTCTTGTTAAATATTTACAATCTATTACTAAAATTAGGAAAAATAAAAAGCTTAAACTAGATCATACTTGAGATGAATCCCATACAGATTTGTTTCCCATTCAAGAGTTTGTTTCTTCCAGGAAGTTTTCATTCTCCTGATTGTTCTCCTGTACTTCAAAGAATTTCTTGGTATTTGGTGCTGGCCAGTAGTGCCATCAGAATATTTAAATGGCATCTCAAGAACCACCTATAACTTGGGGAGGTAATTTAAGAGGGTTTTGAAGATGGGACTCCTCCATTGAGCTTGAAGTATTGACCTCATCTTGATCTTGTTTACACCTGGTCACACAGCTTAGAAAGCACTTCAGTCTTATATATAAAACTCTTTGAGTAGTCCCAGAAAGTTCTTCAATTATGTTAAACAACTAACAGCAACAGCTCCAAAAGCCACTGCTAACTACAGAAGTAGGCTAAAGCTTTCTCTGAGCTCCAGTGCTTTTTAGCTCTTTGTTTCTTTTCTAAAAAGATTTTGCCTGCTGATTAACTAGTCAATGGCAGAAGGAATCCAGGTTCTCACGGTACACTCACGACCATTACAATCTATAATGTTGTCTTTCTTTCTTTAAACATGCAGAATGGTTGAAATGTGTTTCTAACTATTCCTGTACTGTGAACCTCCTTGTGCCTGGCTAGATCAAGGAGCTTTAACAGCTCTTCTCATTTCTCAGAAGCAGGAAGATGTTCTGGATGCAAGTTTCGAACAGGGTAAGTATGAAGCAGTTGGAAATGAAGAAAACATCCAAAGTATAAAGCAAAAGAGTCCATGCAAAAGAATTTTTTAAAAGGTTGTTTAAAGCCATGCAGTTTGCATCACAGTATGATACACAGAGAGCCTATGCATCAAAACAAACAAAATGGCAAAAGAAAAGGAGGCTTCTGGTGGATCCACTGTCTTTAGAACCCAGACAGACTTGACCCAGACACTCTTACACTCTTCACATTGCACCGCCTTGAGCACTATTTTATCCTTGTAGACAGTTTACTTCAAGCTTTCCATGTCTTTTGCTATAATAAGACTTCTCACTAACACACTTCCTCCATAAAGGTGCTTCTCAAACGTTAACCTCTTAACATCTTACATAACCACACACTAAGTTAGACCACATCATAATAGAAAGGCAAGATGGTCCTATTTCTTCTTCTCACTCTCCAAAATAACGGGCCTATAACAAAGCTGAATTTGATTAGAATGAATGGCATTAAGATTTCCATGTTCTATAGGCAGTGAGAAATGCACTAGAAAATTTATTCTGTAAGTTTTATTATCATGTGTCAAAAGTCCCAAACTGTCAAACTTGAAATAACAAGCAAAAAAAAACCATCCCTTCACATTCAGATATTGTGTCTCAGTGCTAACAGACCAGTCTAACTACAGAACACAAAATCATTTACAACTGCCTCAAATATTTGGGTATTATGGAAGAAAATGAACTATTCTACGCATTTTTGATTGTCAAGGATCTCCTTTACCTGGTACTACAAAACTACCAAACACAAAATGGTGAAGGACTAAAACAACCACAAGCACTAAACTTTCCGTTCTCAGTCTTCTGCCTGGCTTTATATTTTGCAGTAGATTGACAGAGCTGATACAGAGCTGCCCATGTTGGAGCTGTAGCAAATAGATTCTTTAAGTAAAAAGGTCTATTGCTGCTGTATCCTTTCACAAACTTTAACAATAGGACAAAAAGCTCTATACTTGTGTAGTTTTCTCACACTTCATCTTAGGAAAAAAAGTCCTGAATAACAAAAGCCTCCACTGATAAGCCTATGGAACATTCTGAACCTTTAAAAACTCCCTCAATATATTTACTGTTAACAAACAGGACTTGTAACTTGAATATTTTACTCTTTAAGGTGTAATGTCATGCTACAGCTACACCTCAGGGATCACCACAATAAATGTAGAAACCAACTGTCTACCCTCCCTGTAAAAAAAAAATCAAAATAAATTGTTTTACCGTGGTGACTACTGTGGCATATATTTAATGCTTGTGATTAATTTTAGAAGTCTTACTGTAAATGATATGCATTACAACATCAACTCCATTAACGCACTGCTTACCTGAAGGTAATGCTGTTGATTTAGGTAGCTCGGTTGGCGTAGTTTTACTGGTACCAGGGCTCAAGAGTTTTACATAATTAGCAGGAAACCATCCTATTTGTCGTTTTTTCCCTCGTGCCTAGTAAAAAAAGAAAGAAAGAAAGAAAGAAAAAGAAGCAATTCTTTTAAGAGGAGTAAGCATATCAATAGAACCTTAGGCGAGGCAATTCAGCCAATACCTTAACTACTTGCAGTCCAAGCATTTCAAGTACAATTCATTTTATAAGGAAACTGTCAGCTATTTTCATCGTGATAGTTCAATGTCAGGATGCTTCCTATTATGAAGCAAGCTTTTATTGCAGCTAAACACTTATTTACTACTTATTTAAGTCTAGTATTAAATGTGGAGGTTGGCAGCTCAGGGTTGGAGCTTGACGATCCTTGAGGTCCCTTCTAATCTGATCCATTCTATGACTCTGTGATGCTATGAATTTAAGTGAGTTTTCACTTAAGCTTTCCTACTTTGTGTGCTTTATAAATAAAACTGCAGTAACCGCTCCTTCTAAAAGATTTTTTTTTTTAAACCTTAACTCACTCTAGCATGCCAGGCTAGCTGTCACAATAATGAATAGCTTTTTCATTATGCCAATAATTGTTTTTAAATCGTTATCTAGATTGTAATAGTTTAAATAGAGATTAAGAATTTCAATTACCTCTTTTCTTCCAAGAAGCAGTTTCTAAACTTTGTATTAACCTCTCCTGCTCAACCAATAGGTGGAGGAGTGCAAACGTATGTCACAGTAACCAAGTGCTAGAAATACAGCAAAACATGACCTGAAAAAGTTCATCAAGTTTGGACTCAAACACGAAATCCCAAAGCCAGAATCAATCAAACTACCCAAATGATCCTAATTAACAGATGTTAAGGTTTGGGAAAGCATGTTAGATGCTCTCATACTGTCAGAGAACATCAGTACAAAATGTGGTAAACATACATACTACAATGTATGTTCATGAACAGAAACAGATGACCACATACATGACCTAGAGTGGAGCTGTAAGGTTTGTAACACAGCGGCAATCAGCCTCTGTCAGAAACAGCATGTTGGGACAGAAAAGCACAGGCCTGATCAAGTGTGTCAAAGCTTATATCACTGAAGCAGGATAGCAATTTGAAAGAATCTGCATCCTGTTATTTCATCAACTACATTGTGCTTTGCAAATCAAATCAGAAGAAATAATCTTTAATTTTTCTCAGCTAAGAAAGGTTATTATAAAACTTCAATTCAAATCTCAGCTTATACATTATTAAATCTATATTAAGAATTATTTTAACTACTTTTTTTTTAGTTAGATTAAGGTTGGAATTTTGAGTACAAAGAATATTACCTATGAAAGAAAATAGACACTAATTGACTTCAAAAAGTCACCAAACAAAAACTATTTTTTCACTATTTTCTTCCCTTCTTACTGAAAATGAAAGCTTTTGATCTACAGTGTTTCTAGACCATTAATTTTAACATATTCTGCATTAAATCTAGCAATGCAATGCTTAACACATTTACCCTACTTTATTTTACCTTCAGCTAAGACAAGAACAATCAAAATACACGTCAGGTTGATAATTAACAGTAGCATATACTTATTAAAAAAATCTGCATTAAGAAGAAATAAATGCATTAAGAAGTTAATACCAATGTCCTTTTCCAAATCTAGTGGTCATTTTACAATAGCTTTTTGTTGTTGCTGCTTTTATTTTTTTTATCAATTCTTCAAACCACTTCACCATGTTGTTCCATTAGCCTTTGGGCACACGTAATAGAGGAGGCAAGGACTAGTATTAGTATTAAAACAGGAGAACGAAAAGAACAGGAACAGGACATCGAATGAAAAAAACACTTGTAAAACTAAATGTATGATAGTACAGTATCCAAAACTACAGATAAGAACTTACACAATAAGAAATTGAACTTAAAAAACAAAACAAAAACAGCCAACCAAAAAAAAAATCCACCAAACAACTCACTCTGCTCATTAGCTGTTAAGTGATCAATTGTGACAGCTCTTGCCAAGCGAAGCTTATTTTGTGCCTTAAAATAAACTTTGAGTCTCAAGTTACAAGTGAACAACATAAAGATGAGCATGAGTGAAAACAAAAACAATCTTGGAAAATTATTTACGGACAAAGAAATGAAAAAATACCACCAGGAAAGCAAAGAAGGGAAGTAGAAATGAGGAAAAAAAAAAATTAAGTTTGAACTAGGTCAAACATTGAGCCTCCAGGAAAATGAACAGGAGAGCAGATTGCAGGCCAGGTCTGATTTGTGAGATGGGTATCTCCGCCTCACAGTGAAGAAATATATTTTTTTCCTGCCATTCTCCAAAGTTATTTCAATTTCAACAAATTAGAATGAAAAGGCATTTTACTTGTAAAAGATTAGTTGCAGAACATTTTCAAAATAACGTATTTAGCATTGACACATTTATCATTTTGAACTATTAAAAATAAAATCACAGATTCTTTTACATGTAATTTTATTCCAAAAACCAGTAACTCACTTGGAGCTCTCCTTCCCACCAGCCACCTGGGTTCTTCTTTCTGATAAGAATCAACTGACCAGGAGCAAGGGTGAGTTGTTCTGGACCCGTTGCTGTGTAAGAGGCAATAACTTGGGCAATTTCTGTTAAAGCAGGAAGAAAAAAAAGTTAATCTGGAAAAAAAAAAAAAAAAAGAACACATTCTATTCAAGATTGACTCTGCTATTATCATTGGTACAGTATATCCATTTTGAATTTTTTTCCATTAAACTGTAATGCATTTACATAATTTCTTGAATACAAACTATAATTACAAAACAGATTAGAAGTTTCTCCTTAAAAAGTTCACAGCAGTACAGGAATAAGAGAACAGAGATGCAAGAGCTGTATGGGTAGGATGCAAAAAATATCTGAAATAGAGAAGAATAATGACCATAATTAAAGCCATGTGGCTCTTAAAATCAAGTTTTATAAATATTGTTTTCCAATAAACATGTTTTTGTAGCATCAGTTTGGACGATGTTCCCTACTAAGAGATAGACGGTGACGACAGTATTATGAAGATGTAGTAACAGAGGTGTAAACTAATAAAGGTCTGCAAAAAAATTCTCACCACCACACTAGACAAAAAATGGAAGTTTCTGAAATGCAACAGGCAGGGTTTATTTTGAAACCTTTCTTTTGTAGACATTAATAGAAAACCGGTGCCTTCTCTAATTCACCTAGCAGCAAAAATGTGACAGGAGAGTAATGGTAAGCACACAATTCTCTCTCAGTTACATTAGCCAAAGTGGATAGAGCAGTTCATGCCATTTTACAGTTGTGGAAATATAGATGAAAACTTAATCACCACAAAGTCTGACAGGGTTAACCCATTTCTGAACAGATGTGAACTGACAGGAACTTGTAAGTGGCTGCAGTTAGGGCTGAATTGTCTGACTGATAGCATTTAAGTCAGGTTAATCATGTCATCAAAACATGGTTAGGATGATAGAGAGAGTATATTTAATACAATGATTATTGGAAACCTTCGGTAAAAGCGTGGACCAAACAGGTGATGAAAAAGGTCCTGGCTGAGAGTTAGAAAGATGCTTTACACAAGGATCTGGAACATAAAAAATAGCATTTCAACTCTGAAAGCAGAAGAAGGAAGAAAGAAATGCTAAGTAAATATGATATTTGTAGGTAGAATAGAAAGGTCTATACAGATAAAAGCCAGCAGCAGCACAGACTGTTCTGTACAAAGACAAAGCAAGCTTTTTGACAGGATACATGGCTGTAGTGCTAAAAGATCTACAAGATCTCAGGGGAATGGTAGGCTTTTCACAATTGCATCAATTCACCCACCTCAGAGCAATTCAGAAAGTAAAATGAACACTAGCAAAGAAACTAAATATGGGCATTGGTCTTTTTTTTTATTATGCAAAATCCTCTCTCTACCATAAAAAAACCATCATCTTCAATATATCATACTATGCATTCTATTGAGAGAACAAAAATCTTATAGCTTGTAACTCAGAAAAAAAACATCACAACTTTATCTACATAATGACAATCCACACGGCTCCAGATATCAGAGATCCTCTTTCATCAACTGGTAGCATATAGAATTTTTACTGTGAACTGATCTGAATTACAAATTAATATCTAGCTCTCATGTCAAAGAAAAGCAGAAAGTTGGAGGAAAACATGCAGCAAAATAAGTTTGGGGGATTTTTTGTGTGTGTTTTTTTTGTTTGTTTGTTTGTTTTTCTTTTCTGTTTTTTCAAGTAAAAAAGGAAAAAAGAAAAAAAAACTTTTATTCCAGGAAGGACTTTTAATTTTATTATATTTAAATATTGAATTACTAAGAAGAGATCCAATTCATTTACAGCTCAGGCCAGGAGAACCTGTCCTCTACCAAAAGAGATTCATTTAGAAAGAGAAAGAAATGTCTTCTCACAGATACAGTTGTCCCCATAATGCCACTTAAATTCCAAAAGACAGCATTTTCTCTTCCTTGTCAAACACAGGCTATTATCAACACTCACTTGTTCATCCTGCTGCTTCTAGAATAAACTGGAATATTTCACCTCATTTATTAGCCTTTCACTTCTGTGGCAAAAACATCCATGAACCTCCTTGCTGAAAAATAGGCAGGACTGCTCTTAAACTGTTCTTAAATTCCAAAAAGTTCTAAATACACCTTTTGTCAACACAAACCCTTCTCTCCTCTGTTTAATATTCAGATTTAGCAGATTAGTGATTATAAGGCTGCTACTCAAGTCCTCTCATCCTTCATTCTCCCATGCATAGAAACAGTAGCTATACCTATCAGCATCTTGTCGTTATTCCTACCAGGTCTCACTTTTACAGGTTTTCCAGAGTTCTTTTCTGCCTCTCTCAAACTTTTAATCTATTAACACAACTGTGTTTGGTTATTCAAAGCAAAGTTTAAAAGGGCAGAAGTAGTTTATTTCTAAACCTTTCTTTCCACAGAAAGTGGATGGATCAGTCAGATTTGCCGAGAGCAGAGGTAAAATAAAACAAATGAAGCTGGGGCTACTGCAATCTATTCTGCATCCTCTCTCTTTTCTCTTACACACTTGAGTAGTGAGCCAGTTCAGGCAGACAAAAAGCAACTTTCTCCCCACAAAACAAAATAAAACATGAATATGAGTATGTATATGGGTATGGAAATAGGCAGGACTTGGTAATCCACATCCTTGAACTACCTCACTAAGCAACTAAATAAGTTTCAGAGAAAGGGACAGAAGCATTGAACATCTCCTGATTTAGTTCAACTGGATGCAAAATCATATCTTTCCTACAGAAGCAAATAAATACACTGAAGAGAAAAACAGAGATGCCTTCTGGAATGTTTACAAATGCCTGCCAGTGACAATGTGCTCTTTAAATGATCTTTGGAAAAACAGCCGTCTAAAGGGACAGCTCTTCCCCTGACCTCTAACCCAAGAACAAGAGGACTTCTTTCAAGCCAAAAAATAATCTGCAACATGATGATCTGCAATATGACCAGGCTTTTCAGGCAATAAGCTACACGGCATACATACAAGGTATATGCTCTTGAAAATAGGAAGTAGACACAAGAGCTCAGAGTCAATGTATACCAGATTAGGGCAACGCTGTGAAACCACAGTGTGAAATGTGTACTTACATTTCAGGGATGCTGGGAAACTTGAGAAACTTTTGTGGGCTTCCACTGTTCTATTTGGTTTAGTTTACACTTGTTTTTGAGCAAGGAAAATGCTACTTCAATATGGTGATTAATAGGTTATAAATTAATTTAATATAAACAGTATTCATTAATGTAAATTACTAAAGCATAACAGTGTATTTCAGAAGATATAAATGACCAAGAGCAAATAATTTATTACTATAGAAAAGATTTTGTTCCCACTGAAGTTTTTTCACTGACTAGATATACACAGTACTTAAGAGGAGGTGCTGTCAACTATATGTGACTTACCAGGTTTCTTCCCTAAGCTTCCTGTTTTTCCAGCTGCTCCAGAAGCCTTGAAATAGAGAGGGAGATGTAAGTTTAGCAGTCATAATTATATCTTCAGTATACTAAAATGATTTACTGTACTTCACTTTAACACACCAAAAAAAGATGAGAGTAAAAAAACTCAAATGAAGTATGTTCTTACATAACTCTTACTACTTGAGATAGCAATTAATATATAGAAACTAAAAAATGTGATGTACAGAAGTGGATAACTATATAAAGGTGCAGACATCTTTCCTAACTCTCCTGCCTTCCACTGACTGTAAATACCAATGTAATTACAATTTACATAGTATTTTCATTATTAACCTGCATATCTGCAAAATGTTAATGTTGCCAGGTTGAGCTAGTATGACAATAGTAGTTTTCAATTCTCAAATATTTGGATTGCAAATATGCCTAAAAAGATCATCAAACATAATTATTAAAATACTGTACATATTATGGTTCCAAATTTTCTTATATGGAAAATTAGTTAATGTAGAAATCCTGTACTGAATCCCTAAGATGAGCTATATGAACTTTTTAGATGATATGTGTTACATTAGTAAAAGCTCCACTATCATTTTTTGTGCCTAGCTGAGAGCATAGGACACTCAATAGTGCTATCTGTCTTGACAAAGACAGCTAATTCCTTGGATGGTAGGGTTCAGATGAGGTGTGAATATCCCGTTGCCCAAGCCAAGAGAAAAGAAGAGCTTCTGTGAACACTCATGAAAAAACTAGCAAAGCCACGGAAGTAGTTCAGTTCAGTTATGTTTAAGAAAACAGGTATTCTGAAAAAACAAATTTAGCATAAAAATGCTTCTTAATTTACAAACTCACAGTTCTCCTGTTCAAAAATATATCTTTCCTAAAAAACACCAGTCACTTGGAAAAAGTTATCTTTACTTAATTTTTTCAGTGCACTTTCAGACTAGTCACATACCTGCAATTAGAATATTCAAATCCAGGCGTGGTTTGGACTCTACCTTGCATATCCCTTTCCTCAGTCATTTTGCCAATCTTTTTAATAGATACTCTTTGTAGGAAAGAACCCCCCAATAATCTAAATAATCATCTCACTTTCTTCCTAGTACATTGCCAGCCTTAGCTATTACAGTACAAATGTCTGATACAGATGACAGCAACATAGCAAATCTAAACTGTCTTTTGGTCAGAAATACTGAACATACATCATATCCTATTGCCTTCAAGTGATGCTCACAATGCTTCACTCTCTTCTCAATTTTTCCCTTAGCATCTTCCTCACATATCTGGAGTCTACGTAAATGACTGGAGGGTTTTCAGAGTACCAGATCCTCTAAGGAAAAGAACAATTTAATCCTCAATATTCTCCTTAACTTGATGTTTTTAAAAGCTGGGAATTTTTAATAATGAAACTAATAAAGGCAATAACTAAGAATCTAGTTGAATGACTGAGAGAACAGTGCCATTTTAAAAATGTGTATTAGTTTTGAATACCTCAATAGAATAGATTATTAGGAAAAATAACTGTCTTGAAGAGTATGTGACTGCTCTAGGACTTCAATGTTGGGGACATTTTCCAGGAAAGCTACTATGGAAGCCTGATCTTTCAGACTGAGCTAAAATACTTCATAATGCTGTATTAGCAGAAATCTCAGTGGGGTTGGTGTGCATGTCCTATTACCTGAAACTGCCACTGGAAGGTGACAGTGAGGATAGGGAGAGGGTCGTTTTTGTTTTTTTTAAATCCAAACATCTGGCACAAAAGCACGTTTCATACACCTTGTAAACCACAACTGCCTTTGACATTTTGTGAATCCTAGGAAGGGTTGTGGAAAATGGATGAGGCAAGTTAAAAATCTTTTGGTCTCAGTGCAACTTTCTTGTAAAAGACTGATTACAGTTACTTTCTGGAAAGCCAGCAAGTCTTCCTTTCTTTCCTTGGTTCTCTTTCTCTCCTGCCTTCCCCTTCCTCCCTTCCTCTGTGACTACTGTGACCTATATTAACTTTAAAAAGTGAAATACAAAAGCATCATACAGTGATTCGATGCAAAGACCAAAGTTAGGTCTGGGAACAAGATGTTCCATGCAAAATGATGGTGGGTCCATCCGCAGACACGAGGAAAAATTAAAAGGTTTAGGCATGTAGAGCCTGATAAAGTAGGATGTGACACTATATCTTTGCTGGTAAACATGGATTATCCTGAGAGGGGAGTTTCAAAATCACCTTAGCTAAACTGAGCCTGAGTTCTGTTTGAAGATTCTCTGAATCCTTGTTAAAGAAAAAGAAGAAATAAACAGAAAACCTGTTTCAAAAATTATCTAAATTAGAAATGGTGCGCTTAAAGATAGACCCAACTTCAGGTCTCCCCTGGAGAAATATCTTGCATCTTTTTGTTAAGAAAAAAAAACAGTGTAGAGCAAATAAATCACTGTATCTCCTTTTTATACATCTAAGATACTAACTGCATTTGAAGACATTTTGTGCCAAATGATAACATCTTTTGAAACAAGAAGAACTTGCTCTGATAGTTTAATAAAACAAGGCAGTAGAATTACCAATTGTGTTGTACAGTAATGCCCTAAGAATCCAGACTGAATAGGTTTTGATTGCAAGATGTTTTTCAGAACACTTACACAAGGTCTTATAAGTTGAGGGATCTACATTTTTGGTTTTCCAAATCCACCGTACCGGTTCCATATTCCAATGCAGAGGTAATTATCACACCAGTCTCAAGGAAAGGGTAAAATAAAAATCCGTACCTACCTACCTCAATTTAACAAAAACTCTGAGAATAGACCATCAAGTTGCTTACTTGGAGAACATAAAGACATTCACTTTATTAATATGTTCAAACTTTAAGGAAGAGAAAATTCCTGAGTATGGTTGCTTGAAGTAAATGAATAGAACTGCTGAATGATTAGCACTGCCTTGTTTTTCAGGCCTAAGTCAACAGAGCAGAACAGAGTAAACTAATTTGTTTTTTTAGCAAAATTCTTCATGATCAGCCAGCAGCTGTCCAAGCACAGCAGCACATCCGAAAGTTAAGACAGCCACTATTGTGAAATCCTTTGCAAAAACTGGCTCTGTGACCAAGCTGAATAGCAAAACCTTGTACGTGTAATGGCAATTATCCACTTAGAACAACTACTATCTCCTGGGGGGCATGTGAATCACTTCAGGAAAATAACCATCCTGAATATAAATCTCCGTGAGCTCTGCACTCTTTCCTCCTTTTTTTTTCTCATCAAGATTTTATCTGAAGATGTGGTTTTCACCAGCATAAAGAGCAGTCGGACCATTGTTAATAAACTGCACTTTGTGGTTTCAGGCCCAGACAAGCTGAGATCAGACAAACATGAAACTGAGTTCTCTAATAAGCACAGTTCTCAGTATTAAATATCTGTTAAATATTAAATATCTTCTGAGCTCTCTACAAAGACTTGCCAATATGTGCCTCTTCTCCATCAGACAGGACAAGCATTTGATACGCCCAATACTTGAATACACACAAAAGGCAACTTAACATATCTCAATATACATTCCCAGATTTTGAGACAAAAGTGTGTTAGAAATATCTCACTTGTCTTCAGGACAAACCTCTACCCCATCTTAATGAGGTGACATCACAACTTGCTACTGTAAAACATGTTCTCTCTGACAGAAAGTACTCCTAATCTAGTCGGGGACTTGACCCAACTTTTTGCTGCTCCACAGTCACTAGATAGATTTAAGGTCTGACCTGATGATCTTTCAAGGTCTCTACTGACCTGGGCTGTTTCATAACTCTAGAGTTGACGCAATTGAAATGGCAGGAAAGAGCACAGGCATATCCAAAACTGAACGCTAAACATAAAGCACAACATTTCAATTCTAAAATGAAGATTGAATGTCTTGAACTGAGGTGCAGAGAATGGGACACAGTACTTCAGAAGTGGCCTTGCCAGGGCAGAGGAGAGGGGGAGGATCACCTCCCTCGACCTGCTGGCCACACTTTTTTTTAATGAACCCCAGTACACCATTGACCTTGTGAGCCACAGGGGCACACAGCTACTGGCTCATGGTTGATCTGTTGTTCATCATGACACCTACATAAATTTGTATTTATTTACTTAAAAAAACCTATAATTCTCAAAAACACAAACAAAAAGTCCTTCCCAAGAGATCAATACCATATACAGCTGACAATAAGCTAATTCCTACTGGTAGGTGAGAATTACCCTTCCCAAATAGACAAGGAACATAAATGAGAACACATCTTTCTTAAGAATGTCTAAAAAAAGTTTAACATAGACATGCTCTATCAGATTATTCCAGGATAAAATCAGATGAGACAGGACCTCTATTATTCAATGCAGTAGTTAGCTAATTTTTATTGCTAGATTTGTTTCCCTAAGTTGCAAGAACACTGAAACAGGGAAAGAAAAAAAATTTAATAAACTGAAATATTTTCCTTAATTTCTTTTTTAAAGAAAATGACAGAAGGATACAACTCAGCCATCAAAAACTTACCTGGAAAAAAAGTAATTGTAGCTATTTTTATTTGTCTCCACAAAACTGCTAAGTTAACTATCAATTTATCTAGGAGCTGTTGTCATAAATGGCTCAGAATGGAACTTAAGAAATTATGTTGTGAAATGTAACTATTATTTCCTTTTCCAAATTCATGTTCAGCAAATACTTCTTCGTCCCTTGCAAACCACTCACTTGCAAACATCACTACAATACCAAAGAAAACATAACTCCCCCAGGCCAACTGTGAAACAATTTAATGTCTCTACCTCAGAATCTTTGAGTCTCACATAATTAGATGGGAAAACTCCTGTTTTATCACCCAGCGTTCCTGTCCACCAGTCGCCATCTTTCTTTGTCACAAGAATCATATCACCTTGCTGAAAGGTTAGGTCTCCTTGCTCAGAACTCTCGTAAGTATACATAGCAACATATTCTGCAAGAAGGAAATAGATACACAACATGGGGAAACACTTGATAACCTGCTCGATTATCATTTGCAAAGCCGAATAGAATATGATCTAACTAGGAGGCTAGACAGAAGATAAATTGATTAATTACTTTATTCATAAAGCTTCAGTATTATTTAATGTATAAAATGAAATAGATAGCAGAACTAAATACAGTCTATCAAAAGTCTGCCCTGGGGAATCTTTTTGGTAAAATAGTTTCCTAGTGTAATTATCATTACATTATTATATTATACATTATTACTTTATATCAGAAAGTATTCTGAACATATTTCCCAGTGGTTTCTGATTTGTGCTGTTGACTAGCATTTTCAGATTTGAGGGCAGAAAAAAATCTCAGTACCCAAACATCTGTCTTAATCTTACATACTCTGTTTGGCTCTCATGTACAGTGAATTCTTTCATTACTTGAAGGTTTGCACAGGGAGCACACATCTCATTGCATCTTTTGAAACAGCTGGGAAATGTCAAGACAAAGCCTGAATGTTTTATTTTGTTAAAACACAGTCACCCACTTAGTATTCAAGTGCAAGAACACTAGACTGATGTTAAGTACTGCAGTGCATAACTGTACCACAGGACTACACAAAAAAAAACCCCAAACACCTTTACAGAAAGGATTACAAAGAATTTTGAACAATTAATTAACACTGTAGACACAACTTGATACATTCTTACTTAATAAGCATTAACAAACTTTACATGGGCAATAGATTACTGAAGATTATATCCTATGTTTCTGTGATCAGCTCTGGAATTAAGAACAGCTCACAGTATTTCAGGAAGATTATCATGCATACTTGACAGAAATGTTCAAGTATTCCATTGCAACTGGCGATTGTTCCATTTGCTTGAACACTACATCTGACCAAAACCTCAACTTGACTACTGAACTTCAGCAAGAATTCAAACCACAATAAATTTGCTTAATGAAAGCTAAGAGATAGTTTACCTAAAAACTGCAGTTGAAGGAGACATACATCTGTTTGTACACAAGTACACAACAACATTAAAATTCACAATGTATGCCATATACATGTATATTCTCTCACGTTCCCTACATCTAATAAAATATGGGTCTATCATCTTCTATTACTTCTTAAAAATACAGCTTTTTTGAAATGTTTTTATATAAATTGTGTCCCTTTTTAATACTAACATATAACCTAAGATGTCCTATAATTTACCAAAAAAGACAGCATTTCCAAATTGCTTTTAATGAAATACACACTGAGCAAGACTAGTTAGGTTTCAAAATAACTGATCATCCCTTTTTCCACTTTGGACAGATTTCTAATGTTCTCTTCTTTTAATTTCTGTAGTGCTCATGTCAGTAACATATAAAATACAGCAATAACCAAAGAAACTCTTCCACTTGAAATCATACGTAGAATTGTAGCTGAAAAATGCAAGGCATTCTGAAGAGATTATGTAGATATTAATTTGTAAACTAAATTTAGATCCATTAATTTATTCTGACTGTGATTTAAGTTAACCTTACAGACATTGCACTGAAGTGGATTAGAGTGCCCACAGTCTGTTAGCACAGCTCGTATGGAGACATTAACTTCCAGTTGAAGAGTGGTAACAACTAAGAATACAAGTCTTTTAAAACCCTTCAGAGACCTGACAATTATCTGTCTGTGCCCCATATGCTCCATCCTTAAAAATGAGGGGTAGCTTTGACCATAAGTATCACAACTTTCAAATAAAGAAACTACAATCAGTTACAGGGAGCTTTAATGGAACAGTGGAAATGAGTACCGAGTGAAATTGAGACATTCATTAATAATTGCTGGCATCATTAATTACTTACGAATTACAAATAAAAACAACATGGAAGCGTTTTACCGGCCCTCTGCAAAAACCCATTCTGAAGGGAATAGGGAATTCAGTTCCATAGGAAACTGAACTGATACCAAAATATTTACATACATACTAGTATGTATAGTATGGAACACTATAAACTGTAGAAGAAATATTCAATTATTGTTTCCACATATACAACATACCCACATTTTTACAGGCCTGATCTTAAAACAAACCTGTTTTGTTGATTCTGGGCTCATTTTTGGTTAATACGCAGACTACTTACATTTAATCACATAGTAAAATAGTGTCAATGCCATCCAGTCTGGAATGCTTACCTTCACCTGACATAGTTGCTTTAGCTGCTGGTGATGCTACTCTTTTCAGACTAGCAGGACTTTCTGAAGAACCAGAATCCATGCTTTACAAGAGAATAACAGTTATTTAAGAAATTAAATCTCTTCAGAAGATGCTTAATGTATGACAAAAATAAAATATGCACATGTATCCCTAAGCAATTCCCTAAATTTTCTAATAGACAGTAAACTTACAAATTACATATTTCAAGTACGATGGCTACTTGTAGTTATAATTAAGTAAATGCATGGAATACACAGTTTGCTGCCCCTCCTTCTCCCTCAGAAGAAAAAAAAAATCTAAAAACATTGTAATTAGTATTAGTGATGTTAATGCTGACTTCACCTTTCACAGAACTAGATTCTGATTGTTTCATCTTCCAAGAACAATGATAAGTGATTAAGCTTTGATGTATTGTAATTTATCCTGGGAAAAAATAAGCTGAGACTTATATAGCTGTAATTCATGTCAAAATAGTAATTTCTTAGTTGCAAGTCACATATAATTAAGACTGTAGATTAAGCTTTAGGTCTATTGGTGGTGGCGCATAGTGCAAGGAGAACTGAGGTCAGCCTATATATTCCTCACCTGAATTTTCAGCGATGGGAGTAAAAACCTACCAGAGAAGAGTTACATAAAAATATTTATGCAGAGTTGAGTCTAAACTTGAAAACTCAAGTGAGCAACTCTTCATATATATTTAATCAATATAGTATGGAAGTAAAGTATGGTATAAGCAAATACAATACCTTGTTGACTTCCTAATGGGGCCTGAAATAAGCTTCACATATGACTTAGGAAACCAGCCCTTTTGTCCTTGAACTTCTCCAAACCACCACATATCTTGCTGCTCTAAAACTGTGATGACATCATTTTTGTTGAAATTAAGGTGGTTATCTTTTTTTGCTCTCCAAGGATACAAAGCCTGTGCTTGAAGTCCCTCCACTTTTTCACCCTAATGCAATTTAGAGAAAAAGAGAGAGAATTCAGTCTTGCAACACTTTCCACAAAGAAAACTCCTTATGGAGTTACATTCTTATACTATTTATATAGCCACAATATACTATGACTTCCCCTCATCTGTATAAAGCAAAATATGTCAGTCAAAATTACAAAGTAATACAAGAAACGCCCACAGACCTCCTACATTTCTATCTGTTAATGTGTAATCACTGTAATGCAGGACTATTTGGGAGTTTGCTTCTTTGCAATTTCTACAATTAAGATATAGATACAATAAACCTTGACAAAGTTATTTTGAAAGGTTTAAAGCAAACTTTACAGAAAATTAAAAATTAAAATTCTGCTGCTAGTAATATATTGTATATACTACCTTTTAGTTTTGTTCAAAGACACTAAGGTATTTTGCATTTATTAGAACAACACATTAGCTTACAAGAACAACATGTCCAGTTGAGGAAAGTGCAGTCTCTTACAGATGGACTGAATTCATCTACTGTGAAGATTAGTCTCATCTACACCACTTAACCATATAACCCACTCTGGAACGAAGATTGTTGTCATGTGATTTAATAAAGCCGAAAGGAAGTGATTCAAAAATAGCACCCAGCCAAAACTTTAAGAAGACTGGACCACTGTAGTTTAAAAAAGCCAGCAAAGAACAGCAGAACAGCAGCTTGTTTGTGTTAGATTCTGCTACTGACTTTGTTAATGGGTTCACACTAATGCATTAGCACTTCAAACTGTCCTAGTTCACACATCTCATGAAAGGGTTTCAATTGTAAACGCTGGCTCTTTGCTATCCAGAAGTTCATGCTGGCTCAGAACAGTTCCAGTGAACACAGCTGCTCACCTGACCCAAAACGGGAGAGGGAGATGATCCTGTAACAGTGGCAGGGGTGAAGGCTGATCTCTGCCGCAGCTGCCCTGCACTGGGAACTGTCAACGACGGCTGAGCTGCCCAGGCATCCCAGTTGTCTGTCTCTTGTTTCTCATTAGTGTTTGCTGGCCATCTGAAAATAAGTGAATTACATTATTCCTACTGTATTCAAAGGAATAAAAATGCTCACATGCAAAGAAAAAAATTCTACATTCTAGGTCTATTTCTTGTAATTCAATACTCCATGAGTTATTAGCAGTGAAATTAACTCTGCAGTGAAAGTTAGGCAACCAAAGAGAGGGTTACAATAAATACATTTCTGAAAGGCAGCCTGTAAGAACAGTTAATTGCTCATCGTTGCTCATTTATGGCCAACCATTTCTGTAATTTAGTTTCATTGTTCACGTGTGCCCCCCATACAATGAAAATGTTAAGTAATGCAGTCTGTATTATGCACAGACACTGACCTCTCACATGCCTCTGTATTATGTCTCATACTACTTCAAATCCTTACCTTTTTTCTTTTGCTTAAAAATTATTTCCTACTGACTTTTCAACTCTTTTAAAAGAGTTTCGCACTATCTCTTATCCTTTAAAATGTCCAACAAATCTCATGATCCCTACCTTCGCCTCAAAGTACCTACTTAAATGATCAAAATTCAGTGAACTCGAGGAGCATGATAAAATAATCCAACTTAAATCTTCTCTGCCTATTTTCTTTGCCTGCTTCATGTGCTCTTAGCTGAGTAATCAGTTGTACGTCTGGACTGTAATCGTGCCAAGCGCACAACCAACAAAACTCTTCTCATGTCAGGGACAGCATTTCTAATTTTTATGAAAAGCATGAAAGTGTGTATTATCTACCTAGATATGATAGGAGAATAATTCCAGTTTTACAAGGCTGCAATTGTAACTACTACAGAAAAATATTTTACTTCAAACAAAATCTTTATCTTTTGCAATCTGTGTACTTGTGTCAACTTCTTGTCGTAGTCTAATCAATTAGAAAGTACTCCAATGGTACTTTGAGGCGATAATCACTACCCAAACATACGTTGAACTGAAGTCTGCCCAGTTGTTGGCAGTTGCCGTGCACTCTGTAGATGCAGCAGTTCCCAGTGATGTGGTTGTTTCATGCACAGAAACTTTAGGTGCAGGAGCTGCCTCAACTGGTTTTATAGACGCTGGAACTTCACTTTCAGGTATTTTTTCTGCATAGTTTGCCGGGAACCATCCAGTTTTTCCCTTCAATTCTCCACCAAGCCACCCTGGTTCTCCAGTCTGACTTTCATCCACCTGCAGATACATTACATTAGAAAGTTAAGAAACATAATATACAAATGGTATACTAAAAAAAAAATAAAATACATCTCATCCACAGTCATTAACTTTATCTACTTACAGAGAAATGAAAACTTTATTACAAGTACAAGCTCCACCTAGGTAGAACTTTATTATTATTATTTAATTTACCACTGGGAGAATTATGCCGCCAGCTATTCTTTCAATAACCTTTAATAGCTAAGAGAAGATTTTGCAATGTAATGCGCTTTGCAATGTTGTGTTTTTTTTTTTCCGAACCAGAATCAAAAGGTTTTCTGGGTGATAACGTAGAAAAAATTAAATAAATAAATGAATAAAAATTTTAATTTCAGCCCTAATGCATAAGCCAAGCATAGTTTTTGAAACAGATGCTTGAAAGTCTGTGACAGCACACCAGTTTTGGAGATATTAGTTCTGGAGAACTAATGAGTTTGGGGGGTTGGACTCGATGATCCCTGGAGGTCTCTTCCAATCCCTACAATTCTGTGATTCTGAGAAGACCATTTTGTGTTGCTATTTCTGTTTTAAAACATTTTAAAGTTTTTTCTAAATTTCCTTTTGCAGAAAATACAACAGAAACACAGCATATTAAAATCAACATCCACCAAACAATTTCAAAACAACAGTGACATATTTTCTAACATACTTATATGAAATAATTCCATGTTGATAAAGAATCAAGAATTGCAGAAGAAAAATAATCCACCATTACTATCCCTCCTCATAACTCATTAATTGATATGGTAGCTAAACACTGACACAATATCTGGAGGCTGCAGGCACTTTTTTTTTTTAAAAAAGGCAGTAATTGCATTAGGTAATAATTACAGCAAATCTGGTGATCTAGCTATCCAACCTGCCTTTGATATTCCAACAAAATTTCAGTTTCAAAGAGTTTAAGCAAATCTTTAAGTTTCAAGGGGTTTAAGCAAACATACAAACAAGGCTTGCTCCTGTAGCATGTCAATAACGTACATCTATCTGCTGCAGATTCCCAAGCAGTGATCAAGTTGGCAGTAAAACCAGGCCAGTAATGAAAAGTCACATGATCAGCTCTACACAGGAGCTGTTTTTTTGCAAGAATTTAATCTGCTTAGGCCAGTAGCATACACTATTTTAAAATACATAAAAGTTTCTAATGAGAGCGTAAGTCATGCGTTCACTGTTGCAGTTATCAATATAGCAACTGGTGAAAGATGCTTAAATCCGTAATTCAAAATCACCTCACCCTTCTTCCTAAGCATTCATTATCAACACGAGGCATTTGTTGCTAACATTATGCTACATGAGCTACAGAATTAGAAATTCTTTTCAGTCAAAGGAGACTTCAAAATATGGTGGCAAAGGATGACATCCTACAACGGCATGTGATAGTATCTCAGAACTGGCTGCTTCAACAATTGGAAATGCACCAATCTATACATTCTGTTTGTGTGGAGAATAAACAACAACAACAAAAATCCACAGTGGTAAAAAATTATTTGTGGCAATGGTGTAAATGAGTCACTCGAGACCAAGAGAGGGAACATTGTTTTGCATAGAAATGACTCCAACTGAAGCAGCATAACCTCCGATTGTTCCTGGATCACTCCTTGAAGCTAGACAGATTGCTTTGCTTTATACCCTGTGCTGCCTCTTTCACTGCCTTATTATTGTAATTTGTAGCCCACACTCCTCTTCTGGTACAAAACAATCCATTATTTCTGCTTTTTGTTGCATGTATCTTCTGTCTCAGTCCCTATTAACTCAAAGTAAAACCAGAAATGAATGAAGTACATGCTTGACCAGTTCAATGTGGTTTTACTGCAGTGCAAGGCAAAATTTCCACTGCAGAGCTGAATAGGATTTGTTAGAGCAGCAATATGAGTGATGGAAGGTCACAGCAGAGGTGAATCTTGGGACAGCAAGGGAGAGATGGACTATCAGCACGCACTGCAGAGTTGAATAATCTAAGCAGTAATAACAAGGACACAGTTCCTACATTCAGTTCCTCAAGTTGTACCTAGAATCACCAATACACAAAAGAATCAGTACTGAAAGACTAAAAATGTGTCATCATGGTCTTCAGAAAGTGGCATCTTTGAGACAAATCACAGTAAACACAAAAAAACACTGTGATTTTTCAGCAGATAAAAAAAATCACCAAAGCAATTTTTAAAGCAACTGATTCAATGTCTTCTTAGAAGGCATCTTAATGTTATTATTAAGAAATTCTTAAAACAGCTTATTAGGATACTCAAAAGTATATTCAATCAAATTAAGTTTTCAGTATATATTCATAGAAAGACACTTTGAAAAGCAATTTTTTTTTATAGTTCTTTGAAAATGATTTCTCAGTTATTCATATAAAATATAACTTGGATCTACTTTTGTTGCACAGTACTAGAACTTTAAATAAATTCCTTTGTATGTTTTTTTCAAATTAATTTGTTCTGATTAGCTTCTGTTTTTATACTCACCGTTCCAAATCCCTACAAGAAACTCTATTCCAGATTATTTTTTGCAAAATACAACTAGAATATAAATGTACATCTGAACAACAAATAGAAGTGTGTGCGTACTTTTAATTTACTCAATCATACTTCAGAGACACAGCTTACATGTTCTCATTCCCAATGGCTGAATACAAGTGACAGAAGTAAGAGCAATACAATAATAAGCAGCAGAAGCATTGGGAACAGCTAATTTCTTTCCTAACACAAGGACAGGCTTTGCAGTGGCCTAATCCACTTTGAACTGGCTTGTGTATCACTAGCAGTCCATGTACACAGAAAGAGAAGTTCTGTTTTACAACAGTGATTCACACTACATATGAAGTCAAACCCTTAGTCTCAAAAAGCTATTTAATGAAAGCTAAGCAAAGTACCACTGTTCGTTTTGCTCAACAATCTACCCATTAAATGATCATTTTAACTCTACTTCATTTGTAAGCTTTTGATCTAGATATTCTGAGAATACTGAAATTCTTATTATAAATCTGAATTTAAGCTCTGCCTGCCAGAGGCCATATGTTGACTACGCCTACACAAGATCTAACACAACAAGGCTGCCTATGTATCCATTACAAAGAACAGTCATTCTAAGTTTCACAATCAACAACTAAAAAAACTGACAACAAACTAGCATTATGAAATTGTTCTAGTCCTCCCTATTTGAGCTTCTTCTTCTTTGAGCTTTCTATTTAACATACATTCTGCTATCCGAGTCACTGCAGTTCAGTTAGTCAATAATTCAACTGTATTTCACTGAATTAAGTTTATTTAAACAGGCTGAATTATATCAAAGAGTATCAGTAACAACAGAATCCATTCATTTGCTCCAAGATGGAACCCAACAGAAGCAAATGCCAGCAGAATCTGTTTTTGTCAGAAAGCTCTCCAAAGGAGATGAATTCCATACATTGTATACATAATAGAAAGCACATAATAAGGTCTTGAACAGACAGAGCTCTGAACCAAGCATGGCTTTCTCAGCACAGAATATACTTGTTTCCAGAAAAAAAAGCTTGTTTAAGTTATAATTAGGGTTATAAATCAATCTATATAGTGAAAGAAATAACAACCTTAAGGTGAAAGGAATTAAACATACATAAAAAGGTAAGAAGCTGAGAAAATAGAAATTCAAGTTAAAATACAAATATCCTTTAATGAAAAAATAGATATTAAAAAAAAAAAAAATACAGCCCAAGCCTCACAAATTCTCTAAATCATTTCACAAGATGTATCAGTGCTACAATTGACTAACACACATACTCAAAAGCAAAGCAGAAGAAAGCTCTTCTTATCTTTACCTTTGCAAATATCTTCAGACTGAACTCTCCTCCTCCTCATTTTCACTATGACAGACCTCAACATTCACACACAGTGTAAAAGTGTATTATGCTGTTATAAGAAGCTATTTACAAGCTGTACACCTATTAAAGCCCCAAGTCATTCTGACATAATGAATTCTGCAGTCCCCTTTAAATCCAGGGTTTATGCCTGGTTTCCATGTGCTTTAGCTGGATTCTTTACTCATAGCAGTGACAGTTTGGGTGATATCTCCTGTATATAATATACAGGTACAGCACATGGCTTCATAAGCTTGCACAGACAATGCCATTTATAGCACTAAAATGAGGAAATGCTAAATTTGCCTATGTTAGAACACAGTTACTCTACACTGTGTTTAGAGTAACTGTGTCTAAACTCTAAACTCATAATGTTTGTTTTGTTAAACACAGTAAACTCCTAACTGCACAGGTCAACATAACTACAGAGTTGCATTTATGTCATAAATGAGAAATCAGATGCACTTTAACATGTAAGCTTGTAAATTACTATTTTCCAATAAACATAACTGACTGGAACCTTGTGGAACCACATGACATGACAAACACTGAAGGACAGAGTCTAGGAATCCAAATGCCCGTTATCAAAAGTAAGTTCTAGTTCACCGCACTTAAATTACTTTTGACAATGTGGGCTGATTTGTTATTTTACTCCTACATAAACTAAAAAAACAAATAAACTACATGATAACAGAATCTTGATTTATGAACATGAATAAATTGCATAGACTTCCTAACAGCCATGTAGCACACTTACCCATTCCCTTTTAACCTCCATCAGGAAAGCAATGATTTAAAGCAAGGCATAATTATAACACATTTCACAAAAGTGTCTTACATTAATTTTATAAGAGTAGCCCATTTAAGCAATTACTGCAGAGCAGGAGATAAATCCCACAAGAATCAATCATCAGGTTTAATTATTGTTAAATGGATGTTAAGTAAAGAAAATTGAGAGGTAGAGAATATTTTCTGGAGTAAGTTAAAGTCCAAAACAAGATACAAGAAGACTCAAATTACCCCTAAGTTTTTATTTTGGCAAAATGGTATTTCCCTGTGATTCTACTTTGTGGTGATCACTCTTTCTCAGAGTGAAAGAAGAAAAGAAGAAAAAAAGAAGGAAAACAAACAAACAAACAAACAACATATGCCTAGGCAATAATCTACTTTCCAATAAAGTAAGGTAGAGCATTTTCTAGAGCCTAAAGACACGCATGAACCCACATCCTCCCTAATTTAACAACACACTGACCTATACTATTTATTGATAAAAGCAATAAAAACTGCAGTATTATTCAGAATGGGATTGGTCCTCTTTACAAGTCATTCAGTACTGCTACTAATCGAGGATACACGTTTATTTTCCAAAAGCAGATTCTCATGTCACAAATATTTCACTGTGGCACAACAAAAGACTGAGAGATGAGGGCTCATCTCTGTAGAATAGATGCATTTCCTTTAAAGTTACCATTACAATTTAAGACAGACTACAAAGTGTAATTTTTTTCCAAAATTCATTATTACTGTGCTAAAAACAATAGCTCCTAAAACAGTTTTTTTGGGGTGGAACACTATAATGAATATACTCTCCCACAGTGAGAAAGATACCATCTGATATCCACGCCAGGCATTTTTATTATGAGCAGACATATGCATGCAAAGGTCATGCTAGCAATTTATTATTATTAATATAATTTCCATTACTGTAGTCATTAACATCAGAACTGAAATTTTAAAATATAATTATGCATACAAGCAGAAACCAGCTTCCAAGAATTTGAAGTTTAATATGACAGTTATAGGCTTATAGGTAGATTATATTCCAGTAACTCTACTACTCCTAAAAAATGAATGGAAATGCTTCTGTGTCAACACGCCTGCAAGTAAATTTTCACATTTTCAGGCTTCCATTTTTTTAAAAAGTGATATTTTTATCTACTTCATATCCTCTTGAGAATAAACGTAAAACTGCCTCATGAAAAAAACAGAGTAAATTATACAGTTTTAAAATTACAACTAAATTAGGTCATTAAGTCAGAAATAATGACCAAAAGAGCTGTAGAAAAATTCCAGTATTGTTAGAGAAGTATCGCTACAATACAAAGACCACATCAGCACTGCTGGGATCATGACAGAAGTGTAGTCATCCTGTAGCTTAGTGTAATTGTTTCACTTTGTGCTACCCTGGACATCACATTCTCTTAATAAAAACAAATTATTCCTTTTTTTTTTTTTTATTTTTTACCCCCCGCTCTTGTATTACTCATCTAAGAAAACAAATTTCTTATTAGAAACATTCTTTATTTATCAAAATCAGTTTTTTATTTAACCCATAGCAACCATACTCTCATTTGAAAATAACAGGAATTGTATTTCCTGGGTACCCTGGAGAACAAGAAACTTTTCACCATGTACAGGAACCTTTTCAACACCTCTGCATCTCAGACACACACAGCTCAGCACACTAAAACTAGCACAATCTACACATAGATTATCTTTCAGTTTTACAATACAATGAACTTTAAGAAGCTATCCATAATTAAGAAATTACTGTGTCACATCCTGTTTATTTTGGTATTCACTAAAATATTGTTTTCAAATTAAAAAAAAAAAAAAAAAATCTTGCCATATTAATTTCTCTCACACAAGTGCAAAACCTGAAGTATTTTTTCAAGCAATTTTATCACAGTCTGTTGTCTGTTCTTACCATGACTATGTCGCCAGGTTGAATAGTGATTTCATCATGGCTTCTTGATTCAAAAGGATACAGTGCTCTATAATACACTATTTTTACATCCTCCTGAGCAGAAATTGTTAGTGGAGCTTTTCCTGAGCAAATAAAACAACACAGATACAAACAAAAAAACACATCATTTTTCCATACTTGAAAAATATGGTAAAATTGAATAAATAAAAAACCCAATACCTTATATATTGTACATTAACCTCTTCTTATACAAGAGGAAATAAGAAAATTAATGATTTCAAATGTAACTCATACTGTTCTCTCTTCTTAACATCATGTAAAAAATTACTATATTTTAACTTTTTGATATGCAACTATTTTTACAGAAAGAAATGTGTACTTATGGTGCAACACACATGACTTATCAAATGCTTCACTGATTATGTTTAAGTCTGATCACTAACCTATAGGTTCAATTCAAACAGTAATGTTCTTGCATGCAACAGTGGTATCCCAAATACTTCTAGAGCCTGCTTACGTAGCAGCCTCAATTGCAGCCTGAATATAGTTTCAAAAAAGATGTCTCAAAATGTTCTAATACACACGGATTAGCTGAAAAGAGGTCACTTACAGATTGGTGCTTTAAAAATCACATGCTGTATTACAGATGCATTATTAGTGAAAAGAAGACTAGAGAAAAAACAGATAAGCTACATTTCCCCTGTATAATGCAGTTCCTATTTTGCCCTGTACAAATAATACCTAGCAAATAGATATAATTGATAAAAGCTAGATTACAGCTAAAAGATAGAGGCAATTTCCCTTTTACGCAGTACTCTGATCAACTATTTAAACAAATATTACATTCCCAATTAATTCTCATGCATAATTATCAAAGCTACTCAAGAGTGTACCACAATTCCAAACATGGGCAAAAAATTAGGTTATAATACTGAAGAAAGCTCTCAGCTGAAAGTGGTCAAGTGCATAGCAGAAGAAAAGAGATTCTATCATAGACTTCAGGCCACTTGTTCAGTAAGCAACACACATGTTGAGGAGGAAAAAAAGTAACTGCATGACACTATAAAAAATTCACATCAATACAAGAGTTGTAATGAGAAGTGTTGTAGTTTTTTGCACCTTATAGCAGGATTTTACACAAACATACAGCTTAGAGTCTCCCTTTGATTTGGACTGTGAGTCTCATCAACTACGTTTTATTCTGTCTGCTTAACATATTACTTTTAAAAATACCGAAGCCTAAAAGGGAACAAGTTTTTGGAATCTAAAGCTCAAATCATACATTATTTACTTCAACAAAATGAGCAATCCAATCTTGAAACGTAGTACCTTTCTGTAGTACATGAAAAGACAAACCAAAAATAATTTTTAAGTGAGGTATGTGCAACAGTATTTTTTGAATTTTTCCTCTACCTGCATTTGACCATGGAGCCTGGACAGCTGGCTTAACTGGTTCTTGATGTGGTTGGAAAAGCTTACTCGGTTTCTCTTGGATTTCCTGTTTCCCCTTATCCTCACTTTCCTTCTTTTTAATTATTTCTTCCCTTTTTTGCTTGTCATCTTCTTGATTTTTTTTTTGCCATTGAGGTTCCTCTTCTTGTTGCACTCGATCCAGCCGTTGTTTATCCCGATCCTGGATTCTCCTGTTGGATAAGTAAAAAATCTTTCTTGAGTTAGTCAACAAAATATCAGAGATTTTCCTTGTACATAATTGACAATAAAAAGTGTAATCCTTATGGCTTTTCTGTATCCTGTCAGATCTGGTGATTTTATTTTGGTAAATTAGCAAGCACCCCAACACATTTTCTAACAGTGACTCTTAAAAGGTAAGGAAGAATGTATGAATTCTTAAAGAAAGAGCTGTGACTCTCAGACAAGTGAGAGAATTTTCTGTATAAACTACTAGTAGCTGCAGGACTCTTACTTTAAGTTGCTTTGTCTTTTCATTTAAAAACCAATTTCAATGACTTTTCCTTTTAACTCACATGTAAAGTCTATTCCTCCAGAAGATAATTCCACAGAACTCTAACAGAGTTACAGAGCAACCCCAGCACTCAGTAAGAAATGAAAAATCTGTTGTGTTTTGGAGCTGGAAGAAGGTGAAGGGAGGAAGTGAAAAAAACATCTAACATATCTGCTTTTTCCTCAGAACTGTATATTATTCCCACAGTCATACAATTCTTCACGGAAGTAGACTTACTAAAGCAAATTACCTTTAGGAGTTCTTCAAAAAGGTCTCTATGGTCCCCAGTAGCTTAAAAAAAAACACTAAACTGCTAAAAATGGAATCAAGCAGCTACAAATGAATGATGTCAGAATAAAAGTAGTCATTAAATTATATGACATTCACTTTACATAAATATAATACAAATACATTTGAAAACTTCTTCAGGTGTGTAGCAAGAAAATATTCGCTATGTCCTTACACGTAGAAGTACCTTTAAGCAATGCTGCTGAAATCTGTAAGTATGTGACAGTTAAAAGTCACAGATTTAGATCACCTCCACAACATGCTTTTCATTCGAGGATAAATAAAAAGATTCTCCTGATTTCAAAACAAGTCATCTGCACTGAACTGAAACCTGATCTAGGTCTTGGATATTTTTGCCATTTAGTGATATATTATTTGGGATCAGACTACGCTCTGGGAAATATGAAGTTTGTTTGACTTTGTTGCAAAATGCTTTGCACTCCAACACCTCTGCAGTAAGGGCATAAACTAGAGCACTTTGCTACCTTTGAGCTTCTCTTTGCTTTTCCAGTTCTGTCTTCCTTTCTTGTTCTTTCTGTTTCAGCCTCTCAGCTTCCAAGTTCTTTTGTTTCTGAAGTTGCTGTTTGTTATGTATTTCTCTCAGCTCCTAGACAAAAAAAGCAAAGAACATGTAAACATATGCTATATTAATCATAATTAATGGCCTCATATTTTCATTGTGAGGTAACAAAAATCACAAATGTTGGATATCTCTTCAAACTTCCAGTAATGTCAAATGCATTGGTAGATGTTTAAGGTACATTTCAAAGGACCATAAACCATTTAATATTTTCCTAGCTTTTACCCATACTAGCTGAGAAGAAGATTAAGAAACAAGTCAGACTTTACTAAAATGTGGCTTTAAGATTTTGACAAAAGTTTGACAATGTTTCATCTAGATACACTAAATATGTAGAAACAGGAAATTCTTTCTAAACTCATATCTTAGTAATTTTCTGTTTCTATTGAAATATACGACTGACAGTAAGCAGGTTTGTTTAGTTCTTGTGTCCTGCAAAGCTTCATCTTCACTTACTTAGGCATTAAAATAGTTTATCTTGAAAGTAGTGTGATTTTTTTTTCAGAAATTCACAGATGAAGACTTCAAGTGATTCAAATAAAGGGTCAAGATGATAACTGAGTTAATCTCACAAAATGATTTATAACTTCCTAGTTATAAAAGTTGAAAGTTAATATTCATTAATTTTCAGACTGAATTTTCGTTGTGACTAAAAATTTGTGAAAAATAGTGAAATTAAACCATGCATTGATGCTTAAAGACTGCACTACGCAACATCAAATTTTAAGATCAAGACAAAAAACTACATTATTAAGAGAAGTAATACATGACCTTTGCAAGGTATTAAAACATTTCTGATATATGGATGAAAGTTTCTAAAAAGTCAAGTTGATCTTCGTGTTCTAGCTTTCAGTCCCATTTTCTTAATGATCCTCAATTTTAAATTCAATGAAAACTGAGTTCAGCATAATTAGAGAGATAATCAGTTCCTATACAAGTTTTAAATAAAACTCTGCGAGGGCCATGAAACTTACTGAAATACAGAGATAATTTGGGCAATACTATATTTTATGACCATTATTATTTTCCATAGTGACATGCAAGCTTAGCCAAAAGTTAGGATCTAGAATAGATATTGCAGAGTATAAAGTAAACTACTCTTGTGAAATCACCAGAATTATTCAGGCAGGATAATGCCTTTGGGAAAAATTTTAAACCCTGAATACCTACAGTTATAAACACTCACACACTGGCTTATTTTGGAAGGAGGAAAAGCAATTCTAAAACAGAAAAGTGTTAGCAATATTCAGCATAATGGGCTGAATGAGCATCATATTTGGCCCATATGGAACAATGAGAAAATAAAGCCATCAGCATATTGCAGCAAACGCACAATTGGACAACTGCTCCTGCAGCTAGATGTGGTCTGCACCAGACCTTTCTGCAGTGCTAATCACAGCAAGAGATCATTTCCAATAACTGATGTATTATATCAGCTTCCTTCATGTTGCTATACTTCCACTGAGGTACAAAGGATTTGACTCCCGTTTCCAGTTAACTTTTCTGAAGGAATCACAGACTCTGTTTTCAATATATGATCACCTGAACCCATATTTGCATTTTAAAAGTATGTAGGTACAAGTGCTAAGGACAAAATATACAGCCAATAAAGCACTGGAGGTAAACAGCTTCAATCTGTAAGGTCATAGATAAAAAATGGCACCGTTTCACAGAATCACAGAATGGTTCGGGCTGGAAGTGGCCACAAAGCCCATACTGCCCCAACCCCTGCCATGGGCTGGGCTGCCCCCACCAGCTCAGGCTGCCCAGGGCCCCATCCAACCTGGCCTTGAGCGCCTCCATAGCTTCTCTGGGCAGCGGTGCCAGGACCTCCTGAGAAGAGGTTTTCTCAGGAGATTACTGGCAGGTCTTTCTTTCCATCTGGGACTGATATGCTGCCACCATCTGCTTGCTCTGCCTGCCCTTTGTAGGAGTTGCTGGCTGGAGATGATATGGGAAAGCACAGATTGAGTAGGGAGAAAGAGGCATCACTCATATGATTTTAGTTGGCCATGTGAAAAACTGCTTTCAACAGTATTCGGTAGATTACAAAAGTCTTCACATGTGCAAAATGAAGTATTTACAAAGCTCATGAAGTTAAAAATGCCATTGCTCGGAAGTATAGAATGTCTTGAGTAGTACTCATGATTTTCAACTAGCTGCCACTCTTTTCTGGGTAAAAATACTGCTATCCAAAGCACAGGTTTCTATCTCCTTAGTTTAAATCTTTATTAAATTGTAGCACAATGTTTAGTTCAGAAATCCTTTGTTATTCTATTTGTCGTTGTTTTCCTTCACATTCATTTCCTCTGCTGTCCCTGAAGTATGCATGCCAAGAAGCTCAAGTTTTTGAGTCCTAGTCAATGAGACAAAAAAACCCTGCTGTTGCTACTGAACAGAAAGAACTGAGGTAGCCACATACAGTTCTAACATGGTAACACTGAAGATAACCTGTTCCTTGCAAAAACTATTTAGGTGATAGCATTTTCTAGTTTTTTCTTCTCTTTGCATCTTTTTCTCAATGTCTGTTGTTCTAGCAATTAAATAGGAATAATCACTAAGCAAGGAAAGAAGAACCGAAATTCTTGAAGAGTATTCTTGAGGACTATAATAGTTAAAAGAAAACAAAAAAAAATCACAAAGACTTTAAATGTAACAATCCAGATGCAAATACATGAGCTTAGTTTACTTAACAAGAAATTTGTATATTAAAAAGAATAATTCAGTTCACCTACACTCACAGAATCAGGAGGAATCTATCTCTAATTCAGAAATAGGTATTTTGCTCCGTTCAGAAAAACATCCCTGATTCTCAATTACATAAAAGTCAGAGTTTACAATACATCTGTACACCAAACACTACTTACTTCTACTAGATGTCTAACTGCAAGGTTTGCCGAAACTGTATTTTAATTACAATTTAGACATATAAGTTTATCACACTACTGAACATACAATATATGCCACTTTTACTGCCAAACAGAAAACTTTGGAAGTTCCAGCTATGAGCCATCTCTCCATGTCTGTCCAAAGCAAGTCATTTATCATATGCAGTACAAAAGGCAGCATCATTAAAGTCTTGTTCAAATAATTAAATTATTTTCTTTGCTTATTTCGTGATTGTATATATGTGCTCAACTAAGTGAGGATCTCAAGATAAAGTTTATAAAGATATCCACAGAAATTTTATCATATTATTCCTTCCCAGCTAAAGCAATATGCTAGTTCAGTATTTTGTGAAGAGATTCTTCTGTGAGACATATCTGTCTGTAACGGGTGAGAAAATCCAACCTAACTTTTACAGCTGGCACTGAATAGAATATTTTGGAAGTAAAAAACGTAGTAAATAACCCTCTTTGCATCAGCTAGGAAGAAATAAAGATTTTCTTGGTGTCTCATGCCACTGGTAGATGCTCTATTGCTTTGCCAAGTATCAGCGGGTGGCTGAGGGAAGAAATAATCAGCATCTACCACAGTGCTATAGGACATCAACTGAACAGAATTATAGTAACACTTCAACAGTCAACAGAATGAAACATTTACTGAATATTCAGCACAGTCCTACACTCACCTTTTACAAACACAAGCAACTTAAAATCTGTACAAATTGTATATTGTAACTCTGAGGACATAACGATGCTCTCTTTGTTTCTGGTGTGCAGGACAACAAACATCGTAAAAGCAGAGAGAAATACTACCTTTCACAAACAGACTAACAAGTATAAAAATATCTTTGAGACTCACGTCATACTGAATATGGATTAAAATATGAATTTCATACAGCAGAGTAATATTAACTATATACAGACAAGTCACATTGCTATGAAAACCTTAACTTAAAAAATGTAATTGTTGAAGCCCAAATTTTGCCTTTTGACAGCTTAGAACACTCTTCAAGGATTACAATACAAGATTTCCATCTAATCTTCTGAGACAAACAGGAGCATTTGTTGAACCCTACAGTTCTGTGCTCACTGAGGCTTTCCCACGGAAATGCTCCTCTACCCTATTCCCCAGCTCCCAAAGCGCCTTGACAGAGTTCTTCCTTTCACCCCATTTCAGAGCTACGGCGGATTTGAGAAGGTATTGTCATCTCTCTCGTACCTGGAATCCCAAATTACAGTGTTGTGTAGGAATACTTTACTTAATATAAAAGCTTTTTCTTTTTAAAAATTCTGAACATTGTGACCACAAGAGGCAACTAACTTCAAATCTTAAGGTGTCAGATATGCAAAAGGCAAAAGTAACTAACTAGTACTTTGTGCAGGTTGCAAATCGAGGCACACTTCTCATTTAGGCACTAAGGATCAGACAGATAAAATTACAAACTCTTCTCTTCAGTTATGCTTTACTGTTAGCACTTATTATTAAATACTAACTTATTTAAACACTGCACACTCATCTGTTTATGGAAAAGTGAAGCACATAACTGGAGGAGGTTCATCACTCAGATTGAGAAAGTTGTGTACTGCCTGAGTATGGCATGGAGACCTTTAGAAAGGAGTCTAAGTAGTTGACGCAGCCCAGGAGAACTGCCAGGCACTGCAGCATTGCATCTTCCATTGCCATTGACTGGAAGAAAGAAATGCTCAAATGTAAACAGGCATTCATATGCAAGACTTGTCCAGTGCACACTGACTAGACAGGGACTGACAACAACTGGAACATGACACAAAATGTAAAACATTCTTAAGAGCTTAAATCTAGTTGTTCACCACTTTTTGCAGGCACTGAGAATAGCTTCTCTAACTAACATATTTCAGAAACACCATTTTCTCTTGTGGAATGACTCAGATAAGCTCTAAAATATATGATTCTTCAGTGCTGTATGAAATAGCTACTTGGTCTTTGGAGACAAAAACCATATTAACAACTATTTTAATTGCTTTATTTGGCTGTGTAGTGACTGGTCATTGCGAGATTTAGAAGTGAATTTAGTTCATTTTACTAGTATCTGTATCAAATTTAATTATTACAGTTCTAGGCTAAGATTTTTGAAGAGGATCAGAGAGTTAGACTGCTACAATTTAATTAACGATACAAAGATGCGGCCTAATTTTCAACCTTGTTACAAACTCCGGCACTCATTTTTGTAGACCAGTACAATCAAGACTTCTGCAGCAAAATTTCACAAATCTCATTTCAAAAGATATTTCATCAATTTCAAATTAAAGTACTCATTTCTTTGCCAAACAAGTGCATTTGGTGGCTTTAGGCTAAAGCCACAGTGGCAGTCAGGTAATTCCAACAGTTTGCTCAAACTGAGTAGGTGAGGCCACAAATATCCAGTAAAGATCCATGGATCTATCTCCTTTGAAGCATTAATAATAATTTATACTCCAGAAAAATTTTGAGTAGAAACAAACCCTATGGAAATTTCGAACAGTTGAGATGTTAACTTGAAACAGAAGTAACTGAAGTATTCAAATTCCAAGGCATTAATAAGAAATTTCAATAAATTGTTTTGGAGGATTGAATAGTTTCACTGGAAAGAGAACTGGTCATTTATCATCAGAAGTCATTTATCTCCTTAGTTCTGTCACTTATGCTATTAAGACATTAAGCAAATATAAGGTGATTTAATATCAATATTGAGCATTCACATAAAACTGAAAGATGGAAGCAAATGCAGTGCAATCCACTGCATATGATAGGTGTTGAGATGTTGACCTGTAGCCAAAAATATTAGAGCATCAAGTAAACGTTATAGTCTCATCAAAGAAAAGGTACACTAGACACTAGTTAAATTGTTCACTTTATGTTGTGCTGTCTCAGCATATTTATCTATCAGCTCTCAGTAGATCAAGTGTAGCTTGTTTCAAGGGAATGAATTTGAAATGCATTGCAGAACGTAAATATATGTTCACATAGGAAATAATACAACAGTTATTCATAAACAAAACATGAGAAATAGATCTCAGTAACGATGATAAAAGTTAATGATTTTATGTTGTTGTCAACTTACTGTCTCTTAAGCATTTAATCAGAACTAGTAAGTTAGTTTTGGCATACGGTTTGTACTCAGAGAGCAGTAGCTTATATATGTCCAATGTTGGCTCTGTATTTTATTAACTTAAGCATTTTGTCTAAGTACTCTCTCTCCTAGTAAGTCAGTGCAAAACACTTCAGGATAGTATATACTTGAAGAGTATCCCACGTATACTTCTCTTTTAAGAGAATTCACAAAATGTATCATATCATTATGTTTCTAGCCCAGAATTTAGTTGTAGTATATAGTTAAGCATCAGTGCCTCTCCATCACTTAATAGAAAACAGATTCACGAGACAGTGTCAATTAGAGTAATGTTCCAACAGCTACCCATCAAACGTGCATCTCTCAGTACATTAGAGCACAACAGAAGAGTAGATCATCATAGAAAAAAAACTATTATTTTTAAACATACAAGATAATTTAGGAAAGTCCTTGGTTAAAAATTGTGTTTTAAATTCATTTATTTCATAACAATACATTTCCAATAAATACATCCTATTTTTGCATAGTTCTCTTTGGTTTTTAAGTTAAATAAACTTTTATTTAGAGCTCATATGGTTGAATTTTTTGATACATTATTTGAAAATGTTTTACATTTTAACATGAACACTATACAGCTGACTGTTAATTATACAAATTGTATAATATTTTAGCACCAAATGAACATGTAATGTTTACGCACAATATCACTAAGTAAATAAGTAAGTCATTCCACTTTTAGTTGTGGAAATTATTACTAAAAATTGGAAAAAGATCATCTTTCCAATGGTAGCATCTTAAGGTCGTCATCAGTTTTTGATTGTTTATGTTAAAAATTTCAGATAATTATTCAGGTTCCTAGACTAATGTGCAGTATTTTTACTTAAGACATAGCTATGATCTCGTTTGATTAAAGAGCAGAACTTCTACTTCACATAAACTGTAACCAAACTAAGAGTTTCAGGAACTCTTTTCACTAGCTTTGTGTACAGACTCACATACAAAATATTCTGAGAGCTCCCTCAGTAAGAGTAAATGGCCCTTAAAATAGTGCTGCATACACAGGGTCTTCTAAGCAGTTTCTCTGTCAATGGGATTCAGAAGGAGGAAAGGTTTTGATTGGATGTCTGGGGGAAGCTCTTTACAGAGTGGTGAGATGGTGGCACAGGCTGCCCAGAGAGGCTGTGGATGCTCCATCCCTGGAAGTGTTCAAGACCAGGTTGGATGGGGCCCTGGACAGCCTGATCTAGTACCAGATCTGCAGGTTGGTGGCCCTGCCTGTCGCAGGGGGGTTGGAGCTTGGTGATCCTTGGGGTCCCTTCCAACCCAAGCCATTCTATGATTCTATGATCACCATCCTGCGCCGAGCCCAGGAAATGGCATGTGTTTGCATGCAGATGTTTAAATCTAGTAATAAAGATATTCAGGTCTCCAAAAATGCATCTTACACATTCAACAGAACTACAAAAGGGAGAAGATACAACTCTCTCTGAACTAAGTTCCCACTTTGCAGTTTCATTAATAAAACTGCCCCACAACCACATTTTGACTTCTTAAATTCACCTCCAAGCAAGAGTAGGAATCTGCAGCAAGGCAAAAATAGTAAAATTCAGCATTGCAAAGTGATCATCCTATTAAGCACTGTGTCTACACATAATGAAATCAAGAACACAATGTCCTCAGTAAAAGAAAGGCTGCTGAGGTTTTCCCAAAATCTTTCCACATCATTAATTTTCAGCATTTAAAGTTATAATGTTAAATACCAAGATTTGAACACAGAAGTCAATTCTCCCAGTAAGCTGTGAAATAGCTTACACTTACACATTGTGCCAAGATAGATGGCAAACACTCTGATAAATCAATGTCTTCGATAAATGTCAATTTTCATTTTCTAATTCTTAGCTTGTTAGTTATTGAGTCCTTTCGTATTTACCAAATTAAATGTAGATGCTTGGAGTTTTTTAGTGCCATGGAACTAAGATTATTCGCATACACCCCCTTTCCACCCATTTATTCACTCTTCGGGTCACCTATTATCAAACCAAGTGCTGATGCTAATTTTAGAATGAGTATCCTTTGGTCACATTTATCTTCTATTTGGTTCAAAATGTAACAATTTAAAAAAAAAAAAAAAATCAGCTAGAAAGCACAATATGATAAAATGTGTCCAAAGAGTATACAAAGAAAATGCTAGTAAGGTAAACTGTTCTGTTTTCTTTTAAAGTGAACTGAATATTTAGTTCAGTTTTATGTACATTATGTCTTCACAGAGATTCTTCACTTTCTACCTCCCTGCCTTGAAACAGGTAGTGTTATCATCTACAGCTTTTCATTTTTCCTACAGTGAGTAATTTTAAGATTTAAAAAAGCTATTTGTTGCATAACTTCCAAAACACCTTCCTTCTTAAAATGTATGCTATAGTCATAGTTGATCTAATTTCAAAAGAACCACAGAAATATTAATGTATTGATCATTGTGCTTTTCCTTCTAAATACCAGTAGCACAACTTGATTTTGTCTTGCAGGAAATTGAGAATTTTTCTTGTCAGCTTTCAGTGGAAGCCAACAGATAAAAAATAAAAATAAATATAAAAAATAGCAAATAAAGTACTTATGCATTGAAATATTTTGCTAGCGAAAAAAAAAAACAACAATAAACAGTATTTTTATTTAATAGTAAATGTAAATAATAAAATAGTTTTAATTTTATTTAATTGTAAGTGGTTCTAACTAGAGACTGATTTATAACTTCCCTCTGAATAACTCTTCCTCTACTGACTTTTGCAACTTCTGTAATTTTCTTGTGCAGAAATAAACAAAATCACACAGTTTCAACAAAAGACTAATCAATAAAGTATGAAACCACAAACAACAGACAACTACATTCATGAACAAGTATGCTCTGACAAACAGTAGATAAGTAACTCTATGTGTTAGTTGGAAAACAAGCAGCTTCAACAAAGATTAGAAATTGAAGCACTGATTCCAGCAGATTTGACGACCTACTGTAGTCATGTAGTTCTTCCAATGCATAGGGGTAGAAAATAGTGATTTAATACTTATAGTTGCAGCTCTGGAATCAGACTTCAAATTTATTCTTAGGTATATTATGCAGATTAAGTTTATTCAAATTCTTACTTTGAATGTTAAGTAGTATTTTCTTCAAAAACAAAAATGTTAGATTTCACAATGTTGCTAACACTGACATTCTAAATCAATCATTTTAGTTCAATATACTTCTCCATGATAAATTACTAAATTTATTGATTGAACATTTAAGAGAGAGATTAGAAGTTTCAGATTACCTTCAGCTGATTATTGAAAATATCAATTTCCTGAAGTTTAGATCTGGTTTCTTTTTCTACTTCATCTAGCTGGTCTCGAAGCTGTTGACGGGCTAGTTCCTTGGCTTCTAAGGCTCTTCTGATAGTAAGAAGAGAATCTCCTGTTTTTAAATATATTACGAAATAAATATTTTCATACATGGAGAATTTCATGGCACAGCACACAACATTTTTCAAATTGTATCTTGCAACATAGAAAATCTTACAGAGTACGCTGTGTAATGCAATGTAATGGCTTTTAAAAACAGATTAAGACTTACAAAAAAAATATACTTACTATGCAAACTGTTCTGTTGAACCTGCTTCAGTTGGTCATTGAGCAATTGCTTTTCTGGAATCAACTTTCCAAGCATCTGCTGAGATTCCTGACAAGAAGACAAGGCAAGAGAATACAAGACAATAAAAATGCAGAGTGGTAAGTGACGGATGACGACTACGGTCATAAAAGCTTTCATTTTAATTTCTTCTGAAATCACTTTTTACTTTCCCACACAGTTAATCATGTATTATTGCTATTACAGAAACGCCACCTGTATGGTACCTCCACTCAGAAATGGTTCTCTGTCTATTTGTCCTGGGTTTTTTTAATATGAAAAAGTAAGAATATCAAATTTAAGTTTTTTACCTAAGGACTGATTTCTCATTGAATATGTAAGTTGGATTAGAAGTAATTGAAACTGAGGACAGAGAGATATAGTCATCTTTTCTTGTATCTAAATATGTTAGAAAAGCACTTCTTAACAGTTTACTTCTCATTTTAATAAAAAAACATTAACTACAATAATAAGTAGGACAAAATATTATCAGTTTATACAAAGAAAATAAAGGCTTTCACCTTACATTATGGACAAAGATATGCAACACAAACTGTTAGATGAGAATAGAGATCTCTAAAGCTCTGTATTTATTACTTGTGAAAGAGGATTAAGGCCTCTAAATTTCAACATACATTTGTACGATTTTGTACCAAAATTAGAGGAGACTGAGAAATTCATCCTTTTGTGGATTATATACAGTCTTCGCTCTTTGTGGAGGATCAAGCCTTGACCTCCAGCTTCAAGTTATCACAGCAAATTATAGAAGCATGATGTAAAACAGCTTATTGTACAAAGCTGTTCAATTGTCAATGTCTCATCCCTCACACAAACTACGCAGTTCATTTCAGCAGCTACCTTGAATTGCAGGCATTTGAAGAACATCTGACAATTTCAATTTGTCACAAAGGACTGTGAATGAAATAATACAACCCTAACAACAAATGTCACATAGCAACTCATGAAAAGTCTCTACTTCTCACCACAAGCTTGAACAAGCTTGAACACAGTGGCACGACTTCATAGTTGTCCCACCTAACTCATGGCAGTCTTGAAGACCCCAGTGTTTGGCTCAGATCTTATGATTATGCAACAACCACAGACACCTGTAATCTCCTTATGTTCAGAAGACACACTCAGCACAGCAGTCGAGGTCTCCATAAGTTCATAAGGTCTAAAAATTAAGATACGCTATGCATTTGACTAGCAGGAGTCACACGTCTCACTGTTTAGCTCTATTGTCTGTAGCACTTTTCAGCTCTTCAAGGATATAATGAAGGCCAGATAGTTCTATCATGGGCCTGTCGTCTTTATTTAGAAACAAAAAAGGAACAGCAATATATAATGCAGCATTTTCCAACTCATCTGCCTGAGGAGGTCTGCCTTGTTCCCAATAAATCACCACTGACATGTTTTAAAACTACATGCAAAATACCGTTCTCTGCATTTATGCTTCACCCTTCCACCAAACTCCCTTCCCACTGAAATACCTGCAAGCTCCATGTCACAGTTTGAGATGAAAAATTTTAAAAGAAATATAGTCTTGCACACAGCTATACCAGAAATTGAGTTTTCAAATAGTATTACTGAAGAAAGACGGCCTCTAATCAACTATATGTACTGAGGGATTAACTTCAATAGAAAAAAGGAAAGGAAACTGGTCCTCTAGATACAAAGATATCAAAATTCTATCATTCCAATCAAGGAATCATTTAGTTAAGAAAAATAGCAGAACAAATCTCAAATTGATCCAGGATTTACAGAGAAATTACATTCTACAAGTGCAGAAAGTAATATAGGACAGTATTTCAGAGCAGAATGTAAACTTAATGTGTTTGCTTTTAATGGGCAGTCTACTACTGAAATCCAGGCCAGTAATTTGAATACCCAGAATAATTTTGAGTGTATCTAAGGAAAGAGAATGTCAAGGGACCACGAGGATCAAGTTGTTTCCTGCTATCACAGACAACAGTGCAACAGTGATCTAGTCCAAGAATGTCTTCTGTATCCATTAGTTCTACTGAGGAAACAGATGGAAGAAATTAACGGCATCACTAACACTGTAGTTTCATGCAACAAGAAATTTCTATATAGCAGCAGAAGTTAAAAAAAAAAAAAAAAAAAAAAAGCTATCAAAAACAAGTCATCTTACATCCAATGAGGGAAAATTTTCTTTTCTGACTCTATGCTCTGAGTAAGAGGGTAAATGAGAAACTGAGATACCACAATACACTGTAAGTCTCTGTCACAAACTCTGCACCCAATGGTTCAAAGAAAAGTCATATTACTTGGAAACCGAACTGTTCATCAAGGAGGCAAAAAAACCCTCTGCAAAAAACTAGCAGAAGCCCTGCAGACAGTATGCATCTGGTTTAAACACCCCTGCAAATATAACTCTACCAGATACCAGAGATTCACGTAACTAGTACAGATTTTCATCATGCGATATTAACTGTTACAAAATTTCTTCCAAAAATTTTAATCAAATCCATCTTGAAACTAATTAATAGGTTAAAGAATAATTACTTCTCTTAATTATCTCACTTTTCATGCCAACTGTCACATGTATTAAATTATAATGCTTCCAAGTAAAGATATAATATTTTACAAAAAGAATTCACAATATTAACTTTTAATCTACTGGAGCCTTTATAAAAGTCACATACTGCTCTTCTCTTTCCTCTATAAATTAGACAGTAAAATGTAAAGGATATTGGAGAAACTCATCTATTTCAGGGAAAATCTTTCCATTCTTCTAGGTTCTCCCCAGGTAGAATTGACCTTTTCTGCTAACTAGTAGGATTTCTTTCTGAAATCATAATTGTGATTAACCCCTCAAGCAAAACTAACTGAAATACTAGGGGTAGAAAAAAATGAGCTGCTAAGAAAAGAGTCCCACAAAGCTGTAGCTATTGTTATCAACATAAAACAAACAAACAAAGAAAAAAGCCCTCAAACTCAAACCCAAAAATCCAACAAAACAACCACCAAGAGAGTCAAATGTAATTTTCCTTACAGAAGTGCTGTCACAATCACTGTGAATGAAGCAATTTAAAAAGTGCATAGTTAGAAGTGCCCTACCCCTCAATGAGTACAAACCATCTAACAGCAATGAGAGAAAGCTAAAAGCCACTACAAAGATAGTGATTCTAAAACAAGAGGTAAATTTCAGAGTAGTGTCAAAATGCTCAAAAAAAAAAGCAATCTGCTTTTTTATCATTGTGATCTGTTCGTAAGTAGAATAAATTAAATATTAGGAAAGCGAAGAATCCTTCTGATGTCCTTCACTTTTTCTTTCATATAGATGAAGCTAAAATTGATGCATAAAAGCAGTAGAGAAGGAAAGCACACCTACAACCAGCCAAGAAAACTAAAAATTAGCACTGTTGAATATTCTACAGAGAATACTGTCCTTTTATTAATCTAGTACTACTCAATAAGTTACTTACATACATCTACCTGCAGATGGAATATCCTCTCATTACTTGTTTCCTAACAGTGTTCAATTTCATATGTTTTTTTCTTTCATTTGTACCTTCTATTAATTACACTCAGCTGTGGAAGCTCATTCCAAGTTCTCAATAACCAACATTGTATTTTCTCATGATTTTTTTTAGGAAGCCTGTTACAATGGGACCCTATAGCAACTGTAGCACATTGGTCTTTTCTATTAAACAAATGACAACTTTTTGTCATATTGTTTTCTCCTTGTTATATAATGACAAAAGCTAAGAGATGCCTTACCCTTTCTGAATACAGAGGCTAACTGTTGAAAAATAACCAACAAGTTAACAGAAACTACATATGAAAGTAGGAAGTCAAATATATTCAAACTGTTGAAATAGCATTTACCTAGGTTCAGAAGACAACTGCTGGTAGCTGTTTACCTTCTTCTATGATGAGTTATTGTATCTCAGATCATTTCTGTAGAAATTTTTTTGGAATCTAAGTGGTAGGGAAATTCAAGCGGTGGTTTCTTTCACATAGAAATTGGCTGTGCACATAAGATCTTAAGTCTTTAACTTATCCAGGTAAGTGGGTGCTTTTTCATGGCTTTTATCAAGCACAGCCAGCTTTTTGCTTCTCTGAGCCAGTACTGCTAAAAGTGATATAATTTCCTACACTTCATCAAACGCTGTTTGACTTCACTTTCACTTGCAATACAGGAACATTTCGTTAAAGGGAGGCATGTGATTTCAAGCTAACTATGGTAGTTCTTAAATGTCACAAGCTTCCTGTTGTAGCATTTCTTGTTTGTATCAAGTGGACACAAATACTATAAGAAAACGATCCCTCAACAACACTTCATAACAAGCTGCTGCCAAAAGAAAGACATCTTTCCGTTGGCAGGTGTAATGATGCACACAAAACCTAAATAGAAATGAGAGGTGTTTTAAAAAGTAAGAAGAAAGTCCAAAAAATACTCATGCTCAAAACAAAACAAAAAACCAGAAAGTCTTACCTTCATATCTGACAGAATTTTAAACAGAAAAGCAGGAAAGAAGAATGCAAGGACTTGACCAAGAAATGACTGGCTTAACTGGCAAATGAAGTTTTGATACTTTTTTTTTTAAATTTTATAATAACAAAAGTATCATCAAGTCACTTTAAAAGGTCATCCCTTTTGGCACAGAAGCAGAAGTCACTACAATAAGAGTATATCACAAGATTCGTCTCATCCCCAAATCCATTTATTTACTATTCCATATGAAAGGATTCCATGAGGACAAAGCAGTAATCACAGATATACCTTCAAGTGTAGGAAGCAATTCCTAAATGTCTGAAGAACAATACAAAAACTTTAAAAATAACCATCTATAATAATTGCTCATATACAAGAAACAATACATCATATTTTGTGCCAAGTTTTGTTTTGTTGATGTTAATGAGGGCAAAGTGCAAGACTAAGAACAAAATTAGAAAAATTTCCTTACCTGTAGCTGCTGCTGCAAATGGGTGATTTCTGCAATTCTCAGTTCTCTAGATTTATTTGTACTTTCAATTTCTTGTCTTTGGGTAGACAGCCGACATCTTATATCCTGAAGCTTTCCTTCCAACTGATTTTTTTTATCATTCTTTAGATAAAAAGAAAAAGACCTCTTTGTTTTACCAGAATGCTTCTCATGGAAATCAGGATCTAAAAAGCACTTCTATTCCACACTTAATGTTGAAATTATAGAAAATAAATAGGACTATAACACAGACATTAACATGTTTGTGCATTTATTTTGCAACACCACTTACTAGAGCTTCCAGCTCAAATTCTAAAGTTTTCTTCTTTGCCTTCAGAACAACTATGTCCTCTTGTTCTCTGTTTCTTTGATTTAGCAGTTCTTGCCGACGATTATGTTCCCATTCAAGTTGCCTCTGCCTCTCAAGTTCCCGTTTTGCAGCCTTCAGCATTTAATCAAACCAAAAAGATACAAAAAATCTATTTTGAGAAAATATTCTAATCACTGATATTCATATTCTAATGAGTGATTAAGATGTTAATATAAACATGCTGCTAAGTTATGGAATAACTATGTACCTCTATTTAAGCATATAAATTGCTCAACATTTAAACGCTCGCTTGAAACTACTGGTGCTTCACTTATATAGATATATGATACAAGATACGTGAATTAACAGAATATCATTCAAGACCTAGTTTTCTGATTTTATAAGTTGTTTCACATTAAGATTTCAAAAACTCTTCAAAATAGCATCAAATCTCTCTCTAACATAAGGCATTCTCCGTCTTTGCAAAGAACAGACAAATGCTACTGCACTGCACTGATTGGCAATGTGAGAATGTAACAGATTTGTTAAGTTAACCAGTATGTGTTTTCTTTAAAAAATAGCCTCAACACAGGAAAATCAGGAATGTCACCAATGCCAAGAAATCTTTCATCATTAATTCAAACATCTCTTTACATTAAAGAGGACTAGCATTATTTTTAAAGAAATCAGAAAGTAGGCACACACTGTCCTAGATCTAAATATCTCATCTTCACTTCATGTGAAAAATTAAGAAAGAAATCGCCGAACTCTTTTCTTCCCTTCAAAAACCCAAAAATATAAGTCAATTGTTTAGATGTTTGCTTACTGAAAATAAAGATGGTAAAATATTTAGCGTACACGTTCTATTCTGTTCTGAACAAATAGAGATCTCAGTACATAGCCACCTTCCTTTTATCCAGTTACCTCTCTTCTTTCTATCTCTTTCCTCCTCTCCTCTTCTCTCTGCCGTTCCAATTCCCGTTGTTTCTCCAGCTGTTTCTCTAGCTCCAGTTGTCTTTTCCGCTCTTGCTCTTGTCGCTCACGTTCCTTCCGTTCTTGCTCTGCCCGCTCCAGCTGTGCTAGACGCTCTTGCTCTTTCCGTTGCTGTTCCAGGAGAGCCTGCCTCCGTTTTTCAAGTTCTAGATTGCCACGTTCAAAGTTCTCACGTTTTTTATCTTCAAATGTAACTTTAATTTGTGGAAACATGGGGCAAAGGAGAATTAAACTTTTTTTTTGGTCTTGAAAAAAAATCCACTGTATGCTGAATTAAAATGAAATAATCTTCCAACGATACTAGAAACAGCATTCAACTACTGATAGTACAGCTGTATAGGCAATCCTAGGTTTTATCATTACCTTTTATATCGTAGTTCCCTTTAAACCCACAACCTGAGGTAATTAGAGTGAATTTTAGCCCCCGTTTTTCAGTGCAGACACATGATCTGAAGTTCCTCTATACACTGACAATAGTAACAGCACAAGAACCAGCCCTTCTTTTACTACAAGAAAGGCAAAGAACTCAGACAAAGATGTTATTTAAAAGCTATTATGCAAATGATCAGAATGTATTTAAACTAGATATTCTCATAGGATAACTCATTACTGTCAGGAAAAGAAATGGCTTTTAATTAATTTAAATTAATTTGTTGAGCAGAAATCTCACAAAGACTAGAACCCTGCTCATACACATCCTCATCATTTACTGTCCTAAAACAATGCCATCAGTTCCAGCACAAGTTCCCTCACATTTTTCTGCAATATCAGGGGTTATCCTTTCTCTATTACATGCCCTGGACCCCCCTCTCATGGTTCCTCCAAATTATTCCCTCCACATCACCTCCTGTTTCTTTTCTTACCCTCTATGTCCCATTCCCATACTTTGTACTCTATATTTCTCTTCCCTCATGCTCAACTATTGACATGCAAGCCAAATCAAGAGATAGTTCATGTTCACTCCAAAGTGTGAACGTGCCAAGTGCTTGACATGTTGGCCCAACATCTGCTCAACCAGTTGAATTCTTGTCTTTTCTTAAGTTCGAGCCTCTTTCCTATTACCTATAACCAATTTTCACAGAAGAAGAAATTCAAACATTTTAATGTTTTGACTCTGAGAAAATTTATTTATTTCAAATTAGTCACTAGATTCAAGGGATATTAAGATACAGACCGATAAGATACAGAATGGGATTATAAACACCATTGCTTTAGAAGGAAAGGAAAAAGGGGGAAAAAAGAAACTGTCAAAGAAATCATTTAAAAGAAATGGGTAGAAGAGCAAAATGCTTGTCATCAGCATAGGCACTGTTTAAGAAAAAAGCTCAAAGAAAACATATACCAACAGGATGAAACACCAAGCTCTAAGAGGATTGCCCTCTTACAGTCCACAGACTAGTTACTCAACGGTTACTCAACCGTTACTAGTTACTAGATGGTTACTCAACAAAATCAAGACAACAAAGTATCAAAACAGAAGAACAAATAAAATGAAATCAATAGCTATTGGTTTATGTTACAGTGCTGAAGGGATAGCTTCTAAAAGTTTATAAAACTAGTAATAAAAACTCTTCCAAAAGTCTCAATAAAAAAAACAACCCCAACCAGTTAGATATACTAAAACCAATTAAGAAGCAAGAAATCATTCACTATGTGAGTCATCTTTGCAGCAGAAAATCTATACATCAAATATAGTGAAAGATTTATGCACTCTACATAGTTCTTAAACTGCAAATAAATGGCTTTAGAACAAAAATAAACTCCAAAATATTAACAGGTCGCCAAGCCCAGAGAATGTTAATTCATAGTTCAAAGACTAAACAAAATTCAGGAACTACTAAAGGTGGCCTTGCTTGAACAGGATCTTGGACCAGATGATCTACAGAGGTCCCTTCCAACCTCACCCATTCTGTGACTGAGTGATACTAGATGTGCTTGCAAGCCTTCCTTTAATCAACATCAGTGTAGTAAGACTAGATGATGAAAAACAGAGCACCAGTCTTCAAGAAAAGACAGTATAATGACCAGTCAGTTTAATCTCAAGCAGGGCAAAGTAGCAGAGGCTAAGTAAGCATGACTAAAAAAGATAACCACATGGAAGAATCAATGCAGGGAAGAGCTGCCTCTCAAGTCTAATAGAGAGTTTTGTTTAGAACAAAACAGAAAAGTATTATCTTGGCACTGTATAAATCCACCATGTTGCTACATATTCAACTGTTTGAGATTCTGGTCATCTTAGAATTGAATAGAGCAAAAAGTGTAAAAAGAACAAGAGGGGATGACCAGAAGTATAAAAAAGTTTCTTTCCATTTAGCATCATTGAGACTTTATGCTTCTCTCTTTTATTTTTTAAACAGAGCTGCTAAAGCTTATATAAAGGAAGCACTTTGTTACACAGACAGAAGTGAAAGCCTCTCTCCATATACATCAAATTATACTGCATATAAGACAGAAAACTGAGGTAGTAAAGTTTTAATTGCAGTCCTATAAAAGGGCTGCAAAAGTGCTTCCTCTATTGAAAGTACCTAAGGTAAACAGCCTGAAAGCTGTTCCTATCTCCACTGTTAGGAACAAATGATTCAGGAATCAGCTGGACCAAGAAATATGGTGTTGGTTATGCCTCTGACAAACTGATATGAAAAGAAAGTATTTCTTAAAACATGATTATAAGTTCAGAGCTTATAACCTGATGTTCTCTAATAACAGCACACAACACATCTCTATTTATGCTTGCTCACCTGGTAATTTCTTTTCCAGTTGCTGCTGTTCTTCTTCTAATGCTGGTTCTTCTGGTAACCTTTGGTCTACAGATACTGAACTTACAGCAGATACGCCACTACCAGAGCGTACTCTTCTGTCAATAAAAGGATAATTCCAAGTTGCTTAAAAGAACCTACGCCTATCAAATTTACTGATTATTTAATGATGGAATCATAAATTAAATGCAATGATGTAATGGTTAGTGACATTTAATTCTCATTGCCTGAAGTATTTTACTCTGCAGTTGTCATTATGATAACAGTACTGTCCAGAGTACCAACAGCACACACTGGTGATCTAAGCATCAAGTAGCCTACAGATGCATTTAACTCTCTCTAAGATCTTTTAATTATGACCAGTCTGAAGCTGGGGAAATAGTGAATTTAACTATAATGAAAGTTGCAAAGACAGAAAAAGCTTACTATAGTCAAACTGAAAGCAAGGCACCACACAGAAGAAATAAAAAATTATCATCTTCAAGACTATATTTTAAGAGCATGAAGCTGTGACTGCATGTAAACATTTCCTTCCATTTCTGCAACTTGTCTTCCCACCCATTTCTCCACCAAAAAAAATTGAAATAGAGAAAGAGAAGTACTGATTCAGCATTACTATTCACAAATAAAACTTTAAAAAATAATAATAATAAAAAAGAATTTGCTACAGTGAAAAATTAGGGCACATTTTAACTTCTAAAACATTCTAACACATACAGAAGTATAAGGTTTAACTAAAAACCTTTAAGTCCATGTTGCCAGGCTGAGTCAGCAAAACACTGGCAAAAACTGTACTCTCACAAGGATATTTTTGTGACAGGGCTTTTTTCCACTATTCAGCACTTCTAATAAACACACACACACACAAAAAAAAAAAGTAGACAAGCATTTCCCAATGAGAAGGCATTGTCTGCCATCTATGCAGCACAAAACCAAGAAGGGCTATTTTCCAATATCTTGCTTTTCACACTCACAGGACAGCTTTCCCACATGAAACAAAAACTGGTGAACAAGATTCCAGAATTATAACTAGTTACCTAAATGAAGGTGGAATATATTCCGGAGGCAGCACAGGTGGCAGTGGCTGACCAGACATAGCTACATCAATTAAGTGCATAGCCAGAATAAACTCTTCAGCCGTAAGCTTTCCATCTTGATCAATATCTGAAAGATTCCTTTTTAAAGAAAAGATACAGTATAAGTAAATTATTAAAGATACAAAATCACTGTTAAAAAGTACAACTTTGAATATTCAGTTCCAAACTAATTCATTTTTTTCCATTATTTTTTCACACTATTTTGTTGTTTTTTTTTTTTTTAAAAACAAATGAAAAGTGAAATCCAAATGCATCACAATTTTCCACATTTCTCTTGTATATGTTCCCTGGAACAATCCATACAGTCATGACTTCCACTTTATTTGAATGCTGCCAGTACTATAAGCTATGTAGGTAATGTTAATCAATGGGGTATTCTTGGACACCTTGTGAATATCCACTGTGCAATATAATTCAAAAAATGAATGGTTCAGACGTTTGATAGAATTTTTGGTTTGTTTTTGGTCTGTTTTACATCTTCCATGAAGACTCTCACCTTGCATATCTGAGAGCATATCTGCATTAAAATCAAAACCATTAACACTGTAACCTTGAAAAGCACAAAAACATTTTATCATTACGCACACACAAGAAAAAATGGATGGCCTAAATCCAGTGCTTCAAAAGATTCATGAAATCTCCAACACCACCTTCATATGAAGGAGATTTTTGACAAAACTTAACAGTCTAAACATCAGCTTCTTTTTTCTCCGTCATGCCAGTGACTCAAACCAGAACAGGAAAATCCCCCATGATGCTGTGAAAAATCTAGGTGAGCAATTGATATATTTTTTTAATGTCTTAAGGTACAGGACTTTGGTCATGGAATTCAAATTTGGAAAGTTATCATAGCCTCATCTGATCTATGCTTATTAGTGGTAATCAGACTGGAGCACAGGAACAAGATAACAGAATGAAAATTTAGCATGTAAGGATATAAATTTGACACGCAAATAGTTTGAGTCCACATCCTTGTCCCCCCCAAAACTGAAACAGCAGCTTCAGAACAGCTGCGTTCTGCACATCAGTACTTTACCTTGTGTGCCTATGAGACAGCAAATCAACTCCCAGAACAAATTGAAGCCAACCTCAATACAGACTGAAAACTCTTGCCCCAGGGAGCAGTAACAGTGGTTTCAGTGACAGAATAAATTCAGGAAAGACAGCAATACATAGGCCAGAAAAAGCTGTAAAGTCTATTCCTTATCTCAATAGACCAGGCAATTTTGAATGTCAAAAATTACTGCTATGATATGTTTAGAACTTCTGGATTCCCCACGCAACCATCTCAAGCACTGGCAACAAGCACAGAACTTTCTGGCTAACCGGGATGATTGGGCTGCTATTTTTTTCTCACAGTAGCCTTGTTAGGAAACAAAGAAGAGGGTGCTTTTTAAAGACATAACGAAAACATCAGTGCTTAGAAAAGAAAGCTACAGTACTGTGACATTATATTACAGTTACAACAGAGTTGACATCCTCACACAACAGAAGTCAAATGGATTGTTTTGTTGACAGTGTTTTTTTGAGGAAAGACTGACAATTAAAGAGATCAACTAGAAACAACTTGTAGAGGGAAACTGGAAGTTAAAATCAGTATGAAAGTTATTTGAGAAATCACCACAGATAACCATAAATCAAGTGCTACTAATTAATAAAGTAGAAACATTACACATTACATAGAGCAGACTTTCAAAGTGCGAAGGCAAAAAGAGACTAATCCATGTGATAGTAAAACCACAACAAATTTGGCAAATGAGAACTTGAAAGGAAAAGAGAATCCAAAACAAACCCTCCTAACATCCACAATGATAAGTAATCCCGCATCTTTGCAAATAAGGCCCTAGAAACTCACATAAAAGGCAGAGAAGCCTCCAAAAAAGCATGGTTCTAGGTTAAGCTTTCTTTTGTACTAGCTGTGCAAATCTGTAACTTTCACTGGTGCTGTACTGCATATGGCTGAGGATGTATAAGATAGGAATCTAAGCATTTGGTCTACCTGGAGTCCCCATAACTGAAATCCAACACACTAAGCATCTGCATGAATAGTGCAAATACACTCTTTTTTGGTTAGGAGGAATAACCTAACATAGGCAAAGCAGCGCAGGTTTTGTTTTATAAAGTTACATACTAAAAAGAGAAGAATATAATGATAGAGAGAGTTTGAAAATGGGGGAAAACAATACAGGAGAGGACAGAGGTTTAAGTACAATTTCCAGTTTGGTAGAAATTCTTAGATTTATCTTTACCATATCGTAGCCAGCTGAGCCTGGGGTAAACTTGACTGCATAAGAATAGTTCTTGCTTGCGGACCTAACAAATTAAAATAAGGGTTAATAAACAAATAAGCAATTTTCTCCTTTTCTTGTTTTACCAAGCAGTTAATGCACAAGCATTAGTTAGATTTGAACAGGTAACACCAAAGTGATGTTACCAGCATGAACAGGCTTACACATACTACTATTCCCACGTCCCTCAAGAAGAAAGTATTTAAAAATGCATAACACTTCCTTCATAACACTCAGTCAGACAAAAAAAACAAAAAACAAAAAACAAGAAAAAACAACAACAACCAAACACCTCTTTGCCACAAAAGATGTTCATAGAACTACTAAATCTAAGTCAGTGCATCGTTCAATTTTACTTCTGAAACTGGGTAGGAACTCCTACCAGCAGATACATCAAACATTGGAAATGGCTGCAGAAGTTTTCACAAAGCCCACTATATCTTTATTTCCCAGTGCCAACTTATTTTTACAGAAAATTCAGGAAAGAAAGAAAAAAAAGGATCCCAACTATAATGAGCACTTGCTCCCAAGGACCGTTGAGCGGCTGGAAAATTTTAGCTGAAAAATATTGATGGTAATAACATAGAGATGAAAGTTTCTTTACTACCTGAACAGCATTTAGCATGCTGTTACAATTGTCTCCAAAAAAGGAGACAACATTAACTGTTTCAATACCTGTTAAGTGTCCACTCATTGTTTTATCGTGGCTATTGAACAACTGTCTGTATTTCAGTCTTGATGACTGAGGTACTGCCCACTCTGCCACAGGAGGCACACTAGAATGAGAAAATGGATAGGGAAGAGAGGAAAAATATTTTGTTACATTTAATTGCACGAAGTGACAAATACAAGAGGATGAAGTGCGGCGAAGAGGTCAAGTTTCATGCCTGTACTGCTTGTTTTCACAAACATCCCTTTCTACTCCTGAAACTACAACAGTTTTGACTTCTTGTTTGAAAACACTGTCATGACTCAGTGTCTTAGATGTTTTTTAGAAAAGATAAATGACAGGCCTAAGATCTTTACTTTTTTCTTTACTAGAAGAGAAGTTCAGTGACCTCAACAGTTTAGAGGAGATAAAAAATTTTACTGAAACATATGATAGGAAATGCTTTACCACAGTCAGTGGAAGTAATATCTCATTTTACCCTGTCTTTAACTACTTGTCTTAGCCAAATAATACATAAGCTGATTAAGCAAAACAAATGTGAAATCTACTAAAAACATTAAAAAGTGTGAAAGAAATACACTTTAAAGCAATCAGATTTTTTCTTTACAGAACTCAACATACAAATGCAATACTTCTAATTCAGCTGCATAGTAGGCTGAGTGCTGTTATTTGTAGCTACAATTTCCCATGCTTGAAGGCTGACAAGTCTTCCTACTGCAAACCAATACATGTAGTTTTTCTGTTTTTAGGCACATTAAAACTTTTCCCTTTTTTGTTAGTTTAAAAAAAAAAAAAAAAAAAAAGTGGATTATATTATATGTCTGAAAGCATACCAAATTACAAAGACAAAACTGAAGGAAACCCACAGAATCCCTTTCCCCTGATCCAACGAGTAAGACCTTTCAAAATTGAGCTAAGGATTACGTGAACAAGCTACTAATTGACTTCATATCCTATTTTCACATGACAAGAGCCCAAAATGCTAATACCTCTATTTCTACTCCTCCAGAAGTTTTGATATTCTCTTTCCTGAGAGCAAAACAAAAAGAAGCTGCTTTTTTTTTCTTAAATAATGAAAATAAAAATTGAAACTTCATATAAAAAATATATACACTTATCCATGTGAATTCCTCTCTCACCAGCTTTGCTAGATGTGGAGTTTCTACACACAGTAAGTCTACTTTTGTTTTATGCATGCATGTAACTCGATCTGTGATGTAATGTTACTGTACTGTTAAAAACCCAAACTTTCCTTCATGGATACTCCAATGGTAGTAAAAGAAATGCTGAAGGACAGAAGAGTGGTCTTACATATGGCAAATCCCACGTATGCCAAGAGTTTACTGATGGTAGGCTAATAAAAGCACCATAAGAAGAATCTTGAAATTCACCATTCTCCAAATCAAAATTAAATCGCAGCTAGAAAAAAGCCACCTCTTCAACTTCTAATTCCAATTTAATGGGTTTAACTCTTCCAATAATGAATATTTTAGCAAAATTACCATCTTCACTCTTCCGAAGAAACTGAAGAAATTCCACATTATTAGATACATTTTCTACAGACGACAATAAAATATATTTTGCCTAACCATACTTTCTTCTAGGCCTTGAAATACATTTAAAATTCTTCAGGTGATTTTCAACGAGGAGCTTTTGAGTACATATAACAAATAGTGAAGTTCATTTAAAATATAAGAAACATTGAATATATTTCTTTTAAAAAGCAATCCTATACTTGTTAATTTTAAACAATTTTACTTATTTTTCCATGCTAAAATGAGGAGTGCAATAGTGAACAGTGCAAAGTATGCTTACAGAATCAAATGCTTTTCTAAAAACTAAGTTTTCAAGAGCTTGCAAATAGTATCAACACATACTGTAACAGCTTATTACATTTTAATGGTTCAGTACTCACGCAACATTCTTTGAAAAACCACAGCATGCTACAAAATCCTGAAGTAGTATCTCAAAGGGAATCAATTTCTACAAGTATTTTTTTCAGAGAATAGTTTTGTTAAAGAGAAACAGTTCTTTTAACTATGAGGAAAAAGACACACATCCACTCACTCTACATCAACTTACCTAGCCACATCAAATGATTGTGCCTTTTGCAGTTTTGTGTTCAGCTGTGATCCTGGACCAGATCTACTAAAGGAAGAACTCTTTGGCAATGTGGCTGTAAAATAAGGCATCACCCCTATTTAGTACAAGCTTTTTAAAGTGTGTAATTTCAATGATATTCCTTTAGTTCCTAATGTCAAAAAAAAAGCATTATGGTTCTTTTGATAGTGCGACTTTAAAAATACTAAGAGAAATAAACAGTGTCTAACAGAATAGTGAAAAAGCATAGGTGCTTTTCTCATGTTTTCTCACATTTGTATATATATATTTTTATATATACACTCTCGATAACAAATTATATTAGAATTAATGATAGAACTTATATGTATTTCACTACTTTAAAATAATAACAAGAAACAGCAGTACTTCAGTTATAAATAGGGAGCAGAGGTCCAATTTCTAGTCAACAGTTTACAGGCAAACTTGATTTATCACACCATTGCTCAATGTGACTGACTGCTACAGTACTCCATGTCCCACATGCCTTGTTTTAACTTTCATACATGTCTGCTAAACAATTACATTGGGCTAAATCAAATTACAGTCCTTAACCCAAGTCATTCTTTAAAGTAAGTTAGAATGGCTAATTTCATGTATGCTTTCCCCTGGATTTAAAGAAAATGGCAAAAAAACGATTTGTTAAAAGCAAGATTGTACTCAGAGGTTCAGTATGTAGCATACCAGGATGAGCAAAAGCAGGCAGAGGCTGTATAACAGCAGGAGCTCCATTGGCCAGGGGAGGCACTGCTGCTGCAGGAACAGAAGATACTAATGGCGGAGACATTCCTACTACTGGAATAGATGCCATTGGCACTGGGGCAACAGTTGTAAGAGATGGCATGCTGGCAATGCCCCCAATACCTATGGGGGAGAAAAGGAGACATTTTTTTTCTAATTTGGAGACTCCCAACATGGTATAAAAATTTAATGTCAGCCTGCACTCCAGGAAGTAAACACAGGATTAAACAGTGAATTGAAATGGAAACTTTCACACACTCTTACAATCCGCTGCACCATTAGCATGGCAGGGGAACATAAAACAGTGTGGAGGGAACAAAATACCATTTTATAATGTAAGCATTTAAGATCACACTGAATGTAACACTGACAAAAAGAAATTAATTAGCATTTGCTGAAGAAAACAACTGTTTGCCTTGAACTAAAGGAAGTACTGTCAGGTTGCAGTGAATAATGAACCCAAAGTCCACGTTTAGCCACAGCAGAAAGGAACAAGCTCTGGGATAACTGCTTGCAGACTATTGTGAAGATGAAACACTGCAAAGCTAATCAGATAAAGCATAGTAATGAGGTATTTTAGGTGTAAGCACAGCTGTATGGATAACAAGGAGGTTAAGAAGGTCCGGTCATGCCAATGGGAAGAATGAGGATGCATGCAAGCAGCTGAGTTTATAGTAAATAACAAGAGAGAAAATCATATATTTTGCTGGATTTCTTGGAGAGCTGAATTTTATTACACCTTTTCTTACTTAGAGCAGCATTTGTTTTGTTCAATTTCACTTATTTCTTAGTCAGTAATCAAAACTGTAAAATTATGGAAGTGATAACTTAGCAAATAGGACTTTTCTTAATGCTAGTAATTCTCAGGCATCCTTCAACTACAGTCACAGCAATGACTGAATCACAAAGATAAAGAACCTCTAATTATGGCAAAATATCAAGGTATAAAACATGAGGTTCAGCTTCATTTAGATATTTCCAACATAGAACTGCAGAATCACTTCTGTGATTGGAAAAGACCTTCAAGACCATCGAGTCCAACCCTCAGCTGAACCTACAAAATCCCATCTCTAAACCACATCCCTTAGTGCCACATCCATAGTTTCTAGAACACAACCAGAGATGGGGACTCCTGGGCAGCCTGTTCCAGTGTTTGACCATCCTCTTAAGAAAGAAATTCTTTCTGACATCCAATCTAAGCCTCCCCTCATAAAACTTACGATTATTTTCTCATGTGATACCACTTGTCACCTGAGAAAAGAGATTAACATCTTCTCACTGCCACCTCCTTTCAGGTAGTTCCATTTGGAACATACAGGGAGCGGTCAAAGACCTGAAGCAAACAGGACCTCAGCTTATTTTATACAGCATAGTTGGGTGTTCAAAGTTCACTGACATTTTTCTTTTAGCATGTGCATGCAAGTGAAAGCATTTGTTTTTGAGTCCAAGCATTGTTGTTTCAGACACTGCAAAATGAAAATCAAATTATAGTTAGGTTGCTACAATACAAGCTAACTAGATAGACAACAAAGAGCTTACCAAACCCTGGTGCACCAGACAGAGCAATAGGTGGCTGCTTCATGACAGGAGGCAGCGCAGATGGGAGTTGATAGCCTTGTAGTTTTAATTTGATAAGTTTCATAGCTATTGAAAACTCCAGCTGATCCATCCTTCCATCATTGTTCATGTCAGCTAAAGCCCTATAAAATACACAGTTTTCACAGTTAGATTCTTAAATTATTATCTTCGGGACTGACCTAGAATCATGCACACACAGACCTGTATATTCAAGACTAATTAAAATTCACTCAAAAATAATCATGCCAGGGTAAAAACAGTTATCAAACAAGACATTGTTTAAACCAAGAGCTTCTTGATTTCTTTCTTGGACTGAATACTGAGGAGTTTTAAAGTCACTTTTGAACTCCTGGAGGAATTACAACAAAGCAAATGGAGAGAAAGGATTAATGTAGCTGTACAAAAACTTTTCAAAATCACACAAAACTAAATGGCACTACAAACAGAACCACAGACAATCATACGACTGAGTCTGCAAATTAGTACTTCAGCTAAACTTACAACAAAACGTTCTTTGAATTTGTGCATTTTACTAAACACCATTATGTGTACAAACAGTTTTCCACATAAAAGATAGTACAAAAGACAAAACATAGAGACTAGGTCTTGTGTAGGCTTTCATTCAGCGCAGTCCGACTTAAACTGTCTTGTTTTGTGTTTTCATTCCATGGTTAAGAAAGCAGAGCTCAGCATGGAATAGGAGTGAGGGGAGAGGGAGAAGAAGGAAGAATGTGAGCTCCTGCAGTTGCAAACAAAAAAAAAAACACCAAGAAAACACAGTAAATGCATATTAATGATGTAATCAAGATGTAAGCTTAAATTTTCAAATTATGCTAATTTTTTGCACTTATTTGAAGAATGAAGTACACATTTTAAGTTCACACATACATTTACAAGTCATGGATGTAAAGGACCTGGGCAGCTTAGCTAAACAAAGATTTTTATTTCTAGATCAAATCTCCATCAACAAAAGTTTTCATACATGTATGTCAAAAGTTATTAAAACAGTACTGCAATAAACTGACAGTTATTTATAATTGATATTTAAACAAGTAGGTAGTCTGGTAAGCACAGTGGCACAGCATTTGAAGTAATGAAAACCCTCCCAGTCCATGTCAAAAAGAAAAGAAACCTCGGATCTCAGCAGATCAACCACATATCTTAAGTGTTTACCCTTGTTTAGACCGCCAGTAGCACTTTGTGAAAACCAGATAAACTAATACTTTCAAGACATTTTCACCATTGTAGCAACCTTCTGACCATAGTGGAGTAAAATAAAGTAAAACTACCAAGAATCTACCAGCATTATTTAAAGATGAAAGTCTTAAGAGTGAACTGAAAGAGGATGGTGGGACTTACAGTCACAAAGAGAAGTGGGCATTACACCACTCCCTCTAAAATACTGAATTAATACATACATTCCATTCAAGAACAAGTTTTGGCTGTGTGAATATCTAAATGTTGTCTTCTGAAGCTCTGTATCACAGTGAAGTTTAATTTACATATCAAAGCTGTCTGCTTTACAGTAACTTCAAACTTTGCTTTAATTCCACTTAGCTTTTGAAAGCCCAAATTTGTAGTCAAAATTGGTTCTGGGATCCACACAGCATAATGCAATTTGGATTCAAGTTTCACAGCTTAGTATGTGATTCATTTCACTAATATTCAGTTAAAAGTAGCTTAATGCAGTAGTCAGACTTCATGTCTAGTAGTCCAACCAGCAAAAGGAAAAGACAAAACCAGCATGGCAAAACTGGACCAAGAGATGTACAGCTTTGGAATGAGTATCTGTTCCTTGCGGAGCACCATGCTCTGAAGTTTCAGCGTCTGACCACACCTCCACAAAGAGCAAATAAAATATTGGTACCACCTGAAGCAATGGGCTGGCTAAAGTAAAACAGAAATGTAATGCTTTCGTTTTCATGCAACTTGCAGAAATGAGTGAGAGAACCCTAGTGAAGGCAGAGGAAGCCTCTCTCCTAGGAGTGGCAAGGTTAGACTGCAGTAATAGTAAATAATGAATGTGACCATAACTCGGGCTTATAACGAACAGGATTTCTCAGGATATTTTAATTTGCTTCCTCACATACATTTTTCTTTTCAGACCCAAAGAAGTTCATATACATTCGTTACCACCTATGAACAGTGATGTCAGATTTCTAAAAGTCTCACTTGGGAGAAAAATATACCGCAAGTCTTACAAGCCTGAAATATTCACAGGTGAAGAAGAAAAAAGTTACGTGCAGAGTGGGAATGTCAGAAACTTAATTGCTAAATTTATTTTCTGAGGTGCTCTCTTCTGTGGGTTTTGTATTAGAAATTAAACCAACATACAGTAAACAAACAGGGTAAAATAACTTCATTAGAAAATAAAGTGTTAAAAAAACAATGGAAGCTAGGAGAAGACAATTAGTTTCATTTAATTGATGCTTACAAGCAGACAAAACACATTACTGAAGGCAACTAAAGAAAACACAAAAATATCAGTAGGGAAAAGGTGTGTTTTTTTAATGAAAGTTTAGTTCAGTGATTGCTTAGTCATTTTCCTGTCGAATGCCTAGTGGAAAAGGGAGAACAAAAGCAGGTTTATATAGGTAGAAGACATGCAGATGTTCATACAATGTCAGAGAGAGTCTGGAGAAACCTATTCTAGCAGATTTTTGACTGCACTCCAATTAGCCAGTAGTCCTCCCAAAGGAGACACCTTCCTCAACACATGGAGGAGTCAGCCAGCTCCACTGGGACCAACTAGCACTGACAACTCAAACTAATAGTTTCAATGCTCCTTACATCTCTGCATTTAAGCAAAGATTTATTTACAATTTTCTTATTTTTTCAACTTAAGTGCCTTCTACAAACATGCAAACAAAACAAAAACTGATTTATACAAGTGAAGGCCTTTCATCACTGAAGCAAAGGCATGGTGAAATACAAGGCCATGAAAATGCATAAGAGTAATAAGTTCTACTGTAGGCAACCTCCATTCTACAGACACTACCTATTGTAAGAACACGTAAGCCCTTGCATTCAACGTGAGAAAACATTAACTGATCAGTATTAAGAAACTTTAACATGCACCAGTCTTACTGCTGGTTCAGCTCACTTACTCTGCATCAATGACTTTGTTAGTTAATTGAAGACTATGAATTTCAGTGGAAAAAAAAAATAAAGTATATGCCACAAAATTTATACCAGTTTTTACAGCTTGTTAACAAAATCTGCTTTTTTCTGGCAAAATCTTTAGTGAATACACAGGACAAAGTTCCATTTCTACTGATTGAATCTAGTTGTCCTACTGTTAAGATTACAGAGCTACTTTTGAATAAACATCACCTTCAAGGCAGCAAGTGGCTGACAGTAAACACTACCTAATTACACTGTTCTGCTTATAATGAAATTTGGAAGAATGTAATGCCCTTAAATTTGTTTCACTTAACGTCTGACCGGAAACCTGTGGAGAGCAGTAAATGGATTAAACATTGACTAAATATTGCTTGCATTTCATATACATGCCTGTGATAAAAATTACAGCAGGCTTCATCACAATGCTTGATTTCAGGTGCTGATCAGATTCTTTCCCTACAAATCTCTCCCTGCTTTTTTCTCTTCTGTTCTGCAGAACGCAGAAACAACTTGATTATTTCTGCATCTATAAAAGGCAGAAACTAAGCGCGCACTCATTTTTTTTCCTTTCAAATGAGCTTATTATTAGGCTACAAAATATCTATCTCCATGAAATTAAGTTGTGAACTTGTGAAAGAAGCCTATGTCTGGGAAAAGTAGTGTCAACCAGTAGCTTTAGTTTGTCCCAAATAAAACAAATAACTCCAAGTGAATGAAAGCAGCTGGCATTGATTATTTTCCTTCCCATTTAATTCAAGAGAGACAGGCTACACAGAAAATGCTTTTAAAGGCCACCACTCAGGACAGCTTTAGAAGAAAGCCAGATTATAACCTACTTAAAAACAGCTATCTCTCAAGCCATTGCGCTCTAGATTCAAAGCTTACTTAGAGGCTTCTTAGTACATTACCAGCTTGGCATACTACAAAGTTTATAAAGGACAGAATAGAACCATACTTGACAGACCATAATAATTCCATTAATTTGCTATACTGAGGACCCAGATTAAAATTAAAAGAAGATACACTCTTTGGAGGTGCATCTCAGAAAGCAGTTCCGCCAACTGCAGAATATCCTCAAAGCAGCCCCTGAAGAAGACATTTAACTGATGCTTCAGCTAGCTGGTGTTTCTTGAAGTGTTTTTCCATGATAGAAAAATGGCAGTTTTATTTAAAATTAAAACATAAGATAGCTACTGTCATTACACTGCTCACTAAAACAAAACTCTCTCTCAAGAGATAACATGTTTGGAAATTCACAGAGGGCTTGCTTTTTCTGCAGAAAGCTGGCCAGTCACTCATTAGGCCAATCCCCTCCACAATTCCTTTCCCAGTTGTGTTTTTCTATATAGGAACTTCCACAGCCAACAAAACAGACAAAACTTTCTATTAGCATAGGCTTATTTACACATAGATACGATTCTATTATCTGCCACACAGACAGATAAGATTCCTTTACAAAACAAACACTACGCTCTTGTCTGCATCTGTTATTGATGTAATAAGCTGTATTCAAGTAAGTACAATCATTAAAAATAAGAAAATGCTTGCAACACTCAATATGCATACAATTCCACATTTCTAGGATCAGAAAAGTAATTTGAAGATTTGTATAAGTTGCTCAAATTCAGAACAGTAGCCTTAGGATACTGCTATTAACTTCTAGATTCACAAAGCAAGTGTGCCACTTCCAAGTCTTAACTCTGGGAGTTAAAGCAAACAATGATCCACATTTTTCAGTGTGGTCTGGAACACACTGTGACATCCTTCGGCGACTGAAATGGACTTTGTGTCACTAAACAGTCTGACTGCTATTGTTTCTGTGGGACAGTATTAATACATGGGAGGTTACTAGCATTCACCGATTCATCAAAAGAGTTAAATAATTCAAGTGGTGGGAAAATAAGGATTTTCTTTTATTTTTATTTTTTCTTTTTCTCTTTTTATTTTTCTTTATTTTTTTTTTTAAGGATTCTTATTTTTATAACCACTATGAAAACACTGTCTTACTTGGTTACTCTAATTCCAACTGAGAATGCATACAAGTGATCTAGATTTTCACTTGCGTAATTACTTCTCTTAATTCAGAGATAATTGAAAAAGAGATAGTGAAAAGGAGAGATATCTACATTGTTTTGTATGACTTACAAAGGCAGCATGAATAAGTTTTAGTTCAGCTTTATTTAAAAATTGTGCAAGTTCAGGTCTTGTCTCTATGACAACTACAGAACTAGTGGAATGATTCTCTCCCTCTCAAGAGACTGAAAAACTGAATAATTCAGAGAGGAAGAGATTTTTAAGTCAGACTATTTACAACTGTTTAGTTTTGTTAACACCTATTTAAAGCTCATGCCTATGGAATGATTTTGAAGAAAGGCTTTTTTGTTTAAGACAAAACTTCTTTTGCTTTTTAATTAAGAGGCAAGAGAAGTTCCACAGGGACATTTGAACTTCCACTGAGTCTCCCTGCAACTAAGGTAACCAGATCAGATTTGATATTTGTAAGACAAAAGTAATTCTAAACCAAAATAAACTATTTATTTAAAACCCATGTAAACTCAACCCTTCTTTAAGGCATGCATATTTCCAAAGCAAATGTTTTTCTTGAATGAAAATAACATTCCTTCTCCATTCTGTGTAGGATTCTGCTTTTAGAAGCCCTTATTACAACAAAAAGTTTTTCTAAGTGCAAAAGACCACTCTCTCTTTTCAACAGATAACATCAGAGAAAAAGTTAACACATTTGCCAAAAGTTGCTCTTGTAGCTTTTTCCAATCAATAAAGTTCCTGCAGGAACACAACTAATGAAAATTATAATGAACAGCCTATGTAAGTTAGCATTTCTGAATCCAGAAGGTTCATGTAATTTGGAGAGGAAATTCTCCAGCACGAAGAACTGGGAGATTGTAGAAATGTGTGTGATGCGTAATACACAGCAATGCACATTTTAAGGTATTTAAGTTCACCAAGAAATAGTAAAAATGTCAAGATTTCAAACTGTATTTCTAACTATAACAGAAATAGTCTACTGCCAATCTTAATTTAGTAACAAATTTTGCTGGTGTTACATAGGTTGTCCAGTAATAAATGTTTTTACTACTACTTACTATGCTTAATAATTCTGTTAGTGAAGTTTTAACAGAGCAGAAAGCATTTAGTGGTTTGAAATGAAGTTTCCAAATCACTAACTTCAGAAACGCCATTTGTAGGATGGCTACTTCCAATAGCTGAAAAAGTAACTTAAAAACTCATGCTAAATTATACTAGAAAGCATATTTGCACTGTAGACTTCAGGAAGCACACACGACAAAATGGGTGATTTTAAATGCTAGCATACAGAATATTATTTGTGTCCAAGTCTGTACTAATTAGCTTCACACTGACAACTACAATGTTCCCCCACTACATATACTCACCATATCTGTGCTAACACCGGCTGAGGTAACCCAGACTGAAAAAAAAAGTTTCTAGCTTGATCACCTATAAAATAAACAGGATATCATTTCAGAAAACGCTAAAAATACATATAAGAGTAAGGAGGAAATCATGAATCAAAATATCTAAATCAGAAGCAACAGTAAAGCCATAAATACTTAATGCTACACATACACAACAGAACAAGAGATTTAAATTGGGTTTGTCACTTGAGAGCCTGCAAGATACTTGCAGCAAGCGTGTGCTGTTTCACTCTGCAATAGTCAGCACCTGAAGACAACTGGACATAAGCATTCAGGAAAATGGGAAACTCACAGTCCCTAATCTGTGTCAGTGGCTCTCTTTGAGCAACATACTCTTTGTGAGAACAAAAAAAAAAAAAAAAGTTTCTTCCCAAGGTTTGTACAAATACAAACTTCCTGATTTTTTGTTAGTACTGTGCCAGTCAGCTGGCACTAACTGAAGTGGTCTTCATCCTGATGCCAGTCTGACAAGCAACCTTTAATGAAAGTAATAGTGCATTTCATTTTTTCAAGTATGAATTCAAAGTAAGAACAGAAAAACAATTACAAAAAAATCAGGCACTTGGAAATGTTGTGACCTGTAAAGGAGATTTGTAAACAAACTAGAAATAGCACTAAATATCAGAAGAACTCAGTAAAACCAGTACTAACTTGCACACTGAACCATAACAGATTTTTATATCAAGTCTGTCACATAACAGAGCAGAAACAATAAAACTGGAGGTATGCACTAGTGTGATGTGTGATACTGATTTGATACTCTGGAAATTTGTTTGATGGATTAGACAGCAAAAAAAGGTAACACATTGATATGCCTCACACTTCCATTGAGTGTAAGAGTTTAGATAGGACTGAAGATATTTTAATGTAGTAAAACAAAACAAAACAGCAGACATCACAGTGCCTTTAAAGCCAAAGCAATCAGTGGGTTTTAACAAAAAATTAGTGGGAACTGTGCAGCCTTTACTTCAGAATTGCTTGCCACAATTTATACCAACTTTTGCCATTTAGATTTTTTTTAAGAGGTCATCCACACCAATTTCACTACTTTATGCACAGTTTCTGAATCAGACTTCAGTTAAATTGACAAATTTTTTGAATAGACTTCTTATTCTCTCAGTATGTCAGTGTAGCAGGTTGTTCCCGGGCAGAAATTAAGACCCACGCCATCATTCACTCATTTCCCTCCACAAAACAAGATGAGAGGAAATTGGAAAAGTGTGAAAACTTGGGAAGCTTGTTGGTCAAGATACAGATAACTGAAACATGGAAAAAAAAAATACAAGCAGTACACAGGTAAAAACTCTCACCACCTCACACAGGCAACCAGTGCCCAGTCTGTTTCTGAGCAACAGCTACTTTGGAAGACAACTGAACCCTTATAAACTATTTTTTTTGTCGTTTTTGTTGAGCATGCCAATACAGCATATGTTTCTGGTTGGTTTAGGACAACTGACTTGGCAGCGTCCCCTCACAACTTATTATCCACCCCCAGCCTACTTACTGCAGGGGGCAGCATGAGAAACAAACAAAGCCTTGAGGCCATGTAAGTGCTGGTCAGCAACAGCCGAAATGGTGTTATTAATGCTGCTTTAGTCACAAATGCAAAACATAGCACCATATGGGCTGCCATGAAGAAGTTTAATTCCATCTCAGCCAGACTCGGGACAGTGAGTTACTTCATTAAGGACATTAGAAACACTATAAATATTACTGTGAATCGAGGTGATTCCACATCCTGAATTATTATTACACTAGCAGCTGTCTCTACAAAACAGAACTGCTTTATAAAGCTAGTTACAAACAATTTTAATTGTACTTAAAAATCAAGTGGCATAAACCAGGAATAGTGTGTGTATATAGTATAGTGTCAGAAATGGTGGAGTCAACAGTGAGACATACAAAGTGATGCAAAGTGAACAAGAGATGTTCAATTTTCTAAATTCTTACACCCTACTTTCTCCTAGGCAGCTCTGTACATACTTAGGCTCAATTACCTAAGATGCAGTTAAATGAAATTAGAAGTGAAATCTCTTCCATTACCAGTGATAAATCCAGATGTTGGTTTCAGACTGTGGAACTGTTGATCATGTTTAGCTCTCTCCTCCACAGTAATAGCCCAGATATCCAGGTTGCCTAGTTGAAAAGAGATGCAGAAATATAATTTAAAAATATTGTCTAAAAAAACCTTCCCTATTTCTGAGTATATCATCCCGTATTGGATTTATGAAAACAACAGAGAAATACGCAGAAGCTATTCCTCCAAAGTCTCTAGCTGAAAGCTCTATGAATTCTTAAGCAGCTAGTTGGTACTTGTGATCATAGTAGAACTACATGTTAACAAACTACGATGACTGCTGAGCATTGATTCACTCATCTGGCTCAGGGGAATCTTAAGTCACAAGTAGGCTACCTACAGTGCAATCAAACTTTAAAATGGGCTGTTAAAAGACAACATCAGAGGATGTAACACAGAAAAGTCACAAAACTAAATATTCAGCGGGCAAGGGGCCACCTGCCTCAAAGAGCACATACCACGCAACTCGAGTTCTTCTAACTGAAAAGGTATGTCAATTATGAGATGTATATTATGTAGTTCTGTACTCTTGTAAGTGGAGAACTCCACACCTGTCTAGGAGAAGTGTGATACTACAAGACAGCTAACAATTTTCACAGGCAACAACAGCACCATTTGAGAAACGCAGTTCAGGAATACACTCATCCTTCCTCTGAAACTGAGAAGTCTGAGTAATCAGATCACGTTACGCAGCCCAGATTCTTCACACCACGCTTGTAAGTTGGAAGCATTTAGTTTGCATTGAGATTTACCACATCTTCTACAGGACTATGCTCCAACAACGTGTTCCTTAGTTCTACTTTCAATTTTTCAGCAGTTTCTCCCCTCTTCCAGACATTTCACTAATAATGTATTGCAGACTCATCTCAACAATTTGTAGACCAGTAACACATTGTGATTTCAACATCCTGAGAAGTATTTTCTGCTGGTGCAACTTCCTGTAACTCCTACTGTATACACATGCAATGATCTGAAGGCATCTAAGTTAATGGAATTACTGTTTTGTGGGAATAAAGAGGAGAGTTAACATTCACTCTGTCTCAGCACTAAACTCTCAGAGATTCAATTTCAGGCAATAGGGCCCACAAATCTTTACAGCAAGCATTTCAAACTGCTTGCAGGGTGAGGCAGAAACAAACTCAGCAGATAAGAGGAACAGGAGGATTTCCTGCCTCCTAAATGTCTTCTAATTAAAAACTACTTTCATGTGGCAAAATGTACTTTGAGAGAAAACAAAATGGACAACTGGGAGAGAAACATCCTTTTAAATGTTAAGTTTCATTAATTACATAAAAACTACATTTTTCATAACAAATTCTCATCTCTGCTTCAGATAATCTATGAATTTCTAGAAGAAGGCAGGTTGATAATAACTCATTCAAAGAAAGGACATCCATTTATTCAGGAGTACTCCGAAGAAACAGAGGCACCGTAAACAGCTTTCAGAGCTGTGCTGCCTGTAGGAATTAAATTGGATTCTCGTTTGAATATGAATGTTCCGAAAGACAACAGTATAAGCAATAATCTCCCCTGCAAACTTCTGGCAGGAGAAAAAAAATGGTGCCAAGACTTTATGACCAGTATACAGCCTAGGCCAACTAACAGCAGATGAGCATCTGCCTGTAATGGAAACATGACTGCTTTTGTCTGGCATAAGATCAAAAAGCTGGATGCAGTAGGGTGCACGTGCAAAGAAAATTTCTTGAATATAGTTTGAATAAAAGAAAAATACCATGGCATTTGTAATGAGCCTCTGACTTGCTCTAGCCCAATTGAGGTGTACATGACTCCAGTATCCCTCTCCCCCACTGAAAACACCACAAAAAAGCAAAAAACAGCTCCTCCTATCAATTCCCAAAAGAAATAAACCCCAAACTAAAACTCTTTTGATCTGAGATAATAAAAAAATGTTATTAACTATTTCAAAACAAAAACTAATGCTTTTTTCTCTGGATTCCCTGAAACTAAAACAGATGACTGTATTTTCTTCTTCCCGATAGAGATTTGGTCAGTATTAAAACTGTAGATCTCCTCTGGGGGATATGAACATCAAAAGAGCTGAAGCTAAGTCAAGCAAGTGTAATAGTCTCTTCAGGAGGGCTATGAATGGCATCTCTGATGCCTCATCTCCATCTTTTCCTATTTGAGGAAACAATGAGATCCACGGGAGAGCATGAAGTAGGATCTTTCCCAGCACTAAGACATCATTCATGGCTTCAGATCCTGGATGCCACTGTAGAAGTTGCGGTGCACTGCAATATATTTGAATGCAAAGGAAGCAGCCACCAAACCACAAAACTGACTCATCAGAAAGTTATCCTTGAAGGCAGCAGCAGGCGCTCTAAGCTTCTCTTCTTATAAAAGGCTTGGCAATCATCACATCTGCAAAAGTGATGCAGTGCATTCTCATACATGAAATGGACATTTTCTTCTCATGAACAAACAAACTGAAGGTTGAACACACCACATTCTCCCCAGCAATTACAAAAAGCCTATTATGCACATTCACTTCATTTAAATAGTCATCCTTAAAATGAGCAGTGTTCCAGAACGTCCGTGAGTCACTCCAATTTAAATGGTGGGTGCTGTGCTCTTTCCGTTCTCATTCCCCAAGAAAACTGGAATATTCTTCAAAAAGAAAGAAGCGAAATAAAAACAAAACCAGAACTATTTATATTTGCATGGAGGTGAATACTAGAGATTACACATTCGGAGTAAAAGCTCTCCCCAGAAGGAGATCGCATAAATTTCACCTGCATCTTGAACAGTGACTGCAGGTAACAGTAAATGACAGAAATCCCATTTGTTTCCTCTCATAACAATCTTAGATTGTTCATGTAATTTTTCCACAGAGTATATATGATGCTGCCTGGTAGATTTGGTTTAATTACAAATATTGTAACAGGCATCTCTCACACCATGTTTGAAATTAAAGATACTCCAGAAACTACATTAACCACATGCTTATTTTAAGCTACTTGCTGTAGAGCAGCCAGATTGGAAAAGCTGTATGAGAAGAAATGTAAATTCCTTCCTTCCTAAAGCCACATAGTACAGTTAACAAGATCCTGGACAACATATGCAAGATCAAATGGTAATACATAAAGTTGAAAAAAGAAAGCTGGTATCCATCTGCAATGCAATAAGAACTCTCTGAAGATAGTAGATTAAAATGCTTTGAAGACAAGAGTTTCTGTAAGAATGTTTGTGTTTCAATATGGGTGCATGCAAAGCACAGCCCTAACTATAAACACAAGGAAATATGAGTCCAAACCAGTAGATTCCATTCACATCATGACTGATCTCAGAGAGTGAAAATCAGGATAAAAGGAAGCTTTTCATACCTTTCTATATAACCTAGAGGTGTATCCTACAGGACTTGATCAGTGACTTTATTTGATGAAAACTTTCAGTAGCCAGTTTTGCTCACAACTGAGTACGTCTGGCACCAAACAAGATGTAATTCCAAAGGGACGGGTAATCAAGGCAGTGAATGGCAGCTTCCTATTATATATTTGTTCTGGCTGTGCAATTGCAAAGATAAATTTCTTCTGATATGTTTTATGTGCTTTTTCACAGTGGCAGAGATTGCATCCAAACAACTGGTCTCTCTCTAGCATACTTTGAACAATGTGCTTTTTTTTTTACTGAAGTCTCTTACTGAAACTTTAACACCAGACAGAAATTTAGTTCCTAGCTATTTCACATCCCAAAAACTAGACATCCATTTATATATTTATAGATATAAACACATACATGCATTTTTGTTTATTTATGTATATTTGCATCCGCATAAACATATACATACATATGAGAATCATATCTGCGTTTTCAGAAAAAAAGTCCACAACAGATGCATCATTCAAGTGGAATCAAACAAGTTCTGATAGTTACTAGCATTTCATTTCCAATCCAAACACAGATTTTGGGACAATGTATGAAGTGATGGCATACAAAGGCATGTGCCATACGCTTTAGCAACGAAAAAAATCCAAGAGTCCTAAAACAAAAATCACACCGGTTTCTCAACCACCAACAGTGCTTGTGAAGCAAGAATTTGTCATGCTTAAGTAGCATTTTAGAATTTCCTCTGGGGGGGGGGAATAAATAAATAAATAAAAGACAGGCCTGAGCATGGAAACTTAGGCAGATAAGACCAGGTACCTTCAGAATGCTGATATGCACTGCTGTTAGTGGCTGAATCCCCTGGATCTGCCCTAGTTACAAACTGAAGACTGCAATGGAACAATGTGCAAAAAGGGAAACAGTGAAGCTTTTCTGCTTGACCCTCCCAAGATGCCTTTGCAAGATTTCAAGCATGTTTTCTAATGGGTCTGCAAAAACATCATAAGGCAGGTAAGGTAAAGTTTCGCTTCAGAAAGATGCAAGACCAAAAAAACACTTCAATACAGAACATATTTGGAACACAACGCATTCATGAAGAATTTTTGCATATAAGAATATATCAGAATACAACTTACCCCCAAAAGGTGTTGGAAACTGAGCCATGGTTCTTTCACTTTTAGCTTATTAATGGATGCCTGAAAATTTTAAAAGAAAAACACAGTCACAATTACAGCATCTTCCATTTTCAGTGTATTAACTGTACCACCATATAATCAATTAGTATAGGACAAACCAAGGCAATGAAGAAGCAGTATAAATGTTACTTGTAAGAACAGCTACTTATGTAAGATCTAAATATTTAATTTCTTGCACTACCCTATACATCCATGAGTGTCTTAATAGGAGAAAATAGCTATGTTTCAGTTCTGTTCAAACAACGTCTTCAAAAATGATCTTCATTTATAAATAATCAGCAATGTAGTAAAGAACAGAATTAAGTCAGCCACAACTGACAAGATCTCAGTGACACTGTCCAATGCTGCATTACTTTACCAAGTATAACAGCTCCACTCCTACTAAAGAGCAAACTTGGCTCTGGTTCCAACTGTTGAAATCATACAACGTTGGCAGAGATCTGTTTTTCACTCCTGACCAAAAAAATCATGTAATGCACTGCCTTGCTGAAAGTTCCTTTGTTTAAACAAAATACATTTAAAAAAAAAAACTAGATGGCAAGACTCCTTTACCCCTCAATCACCTCACAAATTCAATAAGATGAATACAGTGCTAAAGCTGACATCGCAACGAAAAACACTTTAGTCGGTGGGTGATACTCTTAACACTGCTTGCTTTTCAAATAAAAGCAGCCTAGAGTCCAGAAATTTAATCTTTAATGAAGAAAAAAAAAAAAAAAAAAAGCAGAGGGAAAACATTTTTCTTGCTCCACACAAAGACTGACATGAATTGCCTGAGCAGAGGGGACAATAGCTAGCCACGGAGCCACCAAACAATGCGAAAGCAGCCTCTTGTCCTACTAGATTCCACTCATGTTTTCCAGGCAACAGGAGAAAAGCAAAGGAAGCAGAATCAGAAGGAGAATTATTTAGACTGCTTGAGCAGCAGCAGAAATTTATCAATATCACTAAGAAAAGACATTAACTTGCACCAACAATTTCCTTTTGTCTCAATTTCTTGTTTGTTCCCCTCTCCCCAACCCCCTTTCACACTTCCCACATACTCCTCTAGCTTCCAACTTGGGAACCTACTATACATACACTTCACAGATGTCACTGAAGAAATTAAAAAAAAAAAAAAACAAAAACAAAAACCAATAAAATGACAACAACAAAAACCCAGCAGTTCTGTGCATCAGTCTCCCCATCAGTTGCAATTCATGAAAAAAAATACTGATTTTTTCCCTCATAATTCGGCAAAGCAATCAAGCATGGTACATAACTCAGAAACCTTCACCCAAATGCTAGACAACGTGGCCAATACTAATTTCATGCACAGAAGGTATCATCTCAAAAGTTTAAAATCACACATGTACCCATATGGCATTTCCAATCTCTGAAGTGTACTCACTATCTTTATTACTACGCTTCTATTTTTCAAAACTACAAGCAAACCCTATAAGAAAAGAGTTCTCATAACTGCCACAAATGTAACACTGAACTGTATGGCACAGGCAGCTTTTACACTCAAGTCAAAAAGAGAGCAGGAGAGACACGAGCAGAGATTCTCTCCCTGCTTCCATTTCCCACACTATGCAGACGGACAGGCAGACACGGGAGGATAGGAGCAGAAAGACAAGACTTCTTTTCAGACTTGAGAAGACAACTTAGAGTTTAAAACAGAAATAAAAGATCAATATTCTCCAGTGAGAGATTAATTTGTTTGCTCTTTATTGTCAATATTACATCCATCTTCCATAACCAGAGATTTCATTTTACATTTCATTGGAGCCCCAAGGGGTACATACCCAAGGGCTCTATCTTTGCAGAAATTAAACTCTGCAACTGCAGACAGCTGATTCCAGCAGCTCAGGGTTTCTTACACATGAAAATGAAGGTTAAAAGAGATAAGAATTCACTCTAATGCTGAGTAACTTTGTAGGTTTTTTTGGTTGATTAATGTTTGGGTTGAAGAACTCTGGGATGGAGAGCAGATATTATTTATCTGAAAACCATCTGGCATATTCATTACGTTATAAACTTACCGCGTATTCAGAATTATTGTAATGGAAATACAAGCATTGACATTTCAATTTGCAACACCATTCTGAAGTAGTAACAAGTTGGTTTAAATCAGTATTCTTCACACTCCAATCTCTGCTGCGTGAGCTCTTTCCTCTGCCTTCTTTGATCCTCCCAACAAGAACACGTAGCATGGTGAAACAAAAACTATGTAGGGGCCAGAAAGATGGTAGCAAAACAGTATACCAGTTATCCTCAAAAAAACTGTAGGTTCACTCTAATGAGCTACCAGTATTCATATTTGTAGGGACTTCTAGGGAGGGAAGATTAGGGTTGGATGTCAGGGAGAAGTTCTTTACAGAGAGTGGTGAGGTGCTGCACAGGCTGCCCAGAGAGGTTGTGGATGCCCCGTCCCTGGAGGTGTTCAAGGCCACGTTGGATGGGACCCTGGGCAGCCTAGGCTAGCATTAAATGTGGAGGTTGGTGGCCCTGCATGCGGCAGGGGGGTTGGAGATTCATGATCCTTGAAGTTCCTTCCAACCCTGGCCATTCTGTGAATCTGTGATTCTCATTTTGGCATTTTTTTTTTTTTCTTTCCCATTTTTTTTAATCCTCTAACAGATTTTATTGCAGTTGATCAAGAGTTCAGAAGTTACTCAAGCAGGAAGTAGAAGAGACCATAATGGGAACCATAACTGCATTGCTAGTAAGCACTGTCCTTAGAAAGCCAGCCTCAAACCCATAACAACATCATAAGCAAAATTCTGGAAGTAATAAAATGTTAAGAGTTCATCAAATATTTTGTTTTGCTCACATAGTTTATGCTTCCTTTAGAAAGAGCAATAGAAAGCTCTGAGCAACTCATCTTCACCTGCCCACAAAAAGAGCTTAACGTATTACCTCTCTGGCATACAGAGGTGAAAAGCCCATAAAGACTGGAAGTGCCCACTTCCAGTAAGGAAAGTGGGGGAAGAGTGTATTAATTATCAAAATAACGGGGATGATAAAATGAAATAGCAGGGTTTTTTTTAGTTAAACTTATCTACTCAAGGCCAGCCTGGTCTGGTGGTTGGTGACCCTGCTCACAGCAGGGGGGTTGAAACTAGATTATTATTGTGGTCCTTTTCAACCCAGGCCATTCTATGATTCTATTGACAATACTTGGAGAGATTCTCAGCCCAGATTCTCTTCCACTGAATCAACCCTACCGGAATAAACCCAGTCCTCCCATCCATGATTCCCCATGGGCTTCAGAGCAAAATGAAGTTTTCTCCATACATGAGCATGGTGGTGATGTAAACTTAAGTACTTACATCTTACTTCAAATTTTGAAAACAATTTTGAAATCACATTTGAAAAGTAATTAGGTTGAAAACAATGACATTAACAACACTTAAATACAGAAATCAGATGTACAAAAATTCCCTCTGCTATACGTTACATACAGACAACGTCTCAAAACTTTGCTTTTATTTCTATTCAAAGTTGCCTGTGCTCTTAGAAGAACATTAATGTACAAAATTGGAAAAAAAAAAAAAAAAAAAAAAAAACCAAACCCTAAAAAAATTAAAAAGAGGTATAAATTTAAGTGTAATTTAACTGTTTCTGTGCGAAATTCCTGGTATGAATCATAGAATGGCCTGGGTTGGAAAGGACCACAATGATCATCTACTTTCAACCCCCCTACCAAATGCAGTGTCACCAACTATTAGACCAAGCTGCCTAGAGCACATCCAGCCTGGTCTTGAATGGAAAAGTTTCACTAGAAAAAAAAAAAAGAGCTGTTTTTTTTTTTTGTTTTTTTTTTTACTCTCCTCAAAATGCCACATAACATTTCTATTCCAAAACAGTAATTCACAAGATAAGTTGGGCATACAAAACATAAGTTGCTTCAGGGATTACTGTATCGGTCACCTTCCTCATCCTACAGGAAAAAAAGAAAAAAAAAGTATAAAAAGAAAAAGAAAACCAGATAAACCACATCCTTTTCAAGAATTCCAAGTTATGGCCAAATACCCCCAAGCCGGATGTCATGTGAGAGTATCACAGACTAACAGCAGGTTTTGTTGCTTTCCCACATTACATGATAAAGTCCTTAGACTACTATTAATAAAAGGACATCAAGAGTTTCAACAAAGCCTGTTTTTTTTTAGATAGATGTTGGAAAATAATTTGAGGAATTCACAGGGAGTCTGACTCTCGCTCTTTGGAGATCAGATCATGAATACAGTTACCAGTTTCCGGCAACTTTTCAGAGTTTCAGCTCTTCACAAGAATCGTTTACTATCCTGAAACACCCACCCAGGTGTCAGAAGATGTCACGTCTACTGTTTCTTGTGTTTTTTTGCTGAGCAGCAGCAGACTAACAAGGCCAGGGACAGTTGCAGATGCTGTTCACATTACTGTGGCAATAATCAAAAGGGCTGAGAAGGTTACTTTTGTAAATATAGTATCTATCTCTTGCTAAAAAGAGTAAGCTGGCCACAAATGGATGAAAAATCACTACAAGCCCAGCAGGTAGGCAAAATGTGCTGTAACAAAGGGCTCTTCTCTTTGCTCTGCTCCAAATCAGAAAATTGCTCAGGACTCTTGCAAAGATCAAACTCCTTACTTCCTAAAAACAGGAAAAATTGAGACATTCATCAACCTGATGTTGACAACAGCAGGGGAAGCCCCAGAAAAATAACAAAAATGATGTTTCTGTGTACAATAAACTTGCAAGCAATTATGGCCATTGTTTATTGCTTTGCACTGTCATCCTATCTTGTTCTGTCACTCTGCTATGAGTTGTTTTGGAAGAAAGATCTCAACCTCTTCCAGGAGCTATGAGATTTTTGTCTCTTCTGGCTGCCTAAGGGATACACTGCCCCAAATACGTTTTATTTCTTCAACACATTAGGTCAAAGTTCAAGAGAAATGTTACAAAGAACATTCTTGGTCAAATCAGACCCTTAATGCTCAGAGACATCTTTAATAAAGTTCAGACAGCAGACTTCTAT